GACCGATATGAGTCGCACTAAGGTCCTTCTACCAACCTCGTGCTCGGAGGAAACCATCTCCACCTGACATCTCGGATCCACAGAGGGTCTGCTGAACTGGGTGAGGTAGACACCTCCCGACAGACGGCGTCTGATGCTGTTCTCTCTAAGAAACCATAAGTTAGCTGCAAAATAATATTTTTCACCCAGAACGCATTCCTCTCTCTGAAAGAAATCTTCTGAGATATCATCCACGCATCCAAACCTCGCATTTCATTTTAGCTTTTCATTTTAGCTTTTCATTCAGACACAGGTAAAGCTATTAATACCAAGTTTAACATCAAAGCTGTTACAAATTGTCATTTTCAAATTGTCATCTTTAAAATTGTTAACTTTTTAAACCTGACTCTTCTTTGAAATGAAGCACAGAAAGGTGTATATTTGGTTATTGAATAAGCAAAGAAACCATTAAGTCTTCTGTTTAATAAATAAACTTTGCTATTAAATGTAATTATCTTAAATTAAACATTAATCTTTGGATTAAAATATAGACCAAGACAGTTGGTGTATGAACTTCTATCGATTGTATTAATATTGTAGATATTTATGCATAATATAAGTTCATATGCTAATGTGTCCGATCTTTTCTCAGGATCTAACCAAACTGATAGCAAACAGTGTTAAATCCTAGTATGTAGATTGCCAATGCTACAATGATAAGGGTAGTGATGATGATGATGTGATGATGGTGGTGATGATGAGGGTAGTGATGATGACGATGGTGGTGGTGATGATGGCGTTAAGGATGGTGGTGATGATGATGGTGATGATGGTGATGATGGTGGTGATGATGAGGGTAGCGATGATGATGATGGTGGTGATGATTAGGGTAGTGATGATGATCATGGTGGTGATGATGATCGTGATGGAGATGATGATGATGGTTATGATGATGATGGTGGTGATGATCATGGTGGTGATGATGATCGTGGTGTTGATGATGATGTTGATGATGGCGATGACGATGATCATGTTGGAGATGATGATGATGGTAATGATGGTGATGATGGTGATGATGGTGGTGGTGATGATGATGATGGTAATGATGGTGATGGTGATGATGATGATGCTGATGATGGCGGTGATAATGATATTGATGATGGTGATGACGATGATGATGATGATGGTGATGAAGATGATGGTGATGATGATGTTGATGATGGTGATGAAGATGATGGTGGTGATGATGATGATGATGATTGTGGTGTTGATGATGATGTTGATGATGGCGATGACGATGATCTTGATGGAGATGATGATGATGGTTATGATGATTATGGTGGTGATGATTAGGGTAGTGATGATGATCATCGCGATGACGATGATCGTGATGGAATGATGATGATGGTAATGACGGTGATGATGGTGGTGATGGTGATGATGGTAATGACGGTGATGATGGTGGTGATGGTGATGATGGTAATGATGGTGATGATGGTGGTGATGGTGATGATGGTAATGATGGTGATGGTGATGATGGTGGTGATAATGATATTGATGATGGTGATGACAATGATGATGATGTGATGAAGATGATGGTGATGATGATGTTGATGATGGTGGTGATGATGATGGTGATGATGATGATGATGATGTGGTGGTGGTGATGATGATGGTGATGATGGTGATGATGATGATGTTGATGATGATGATGATGGTGATGATGATGATGATGATGTTGATGATGGTGATGATAATGGTGATGATGATGATGATGATGGTGGTGGTGATGATGATGGTGATGATGTGATGAAGATGATGGTGATGATGCTGATGCTGCTGCTGCTGCTGCTGCTGATGATGATGATGATGATGGTGGTGGTGGTGATGATGATGGTGATGTTGATGATGGTGATGATGATGATGATGGTGATGATGATGATGATGTTGATGATGGTGATGATGATGATGATGATGATGGTGATGATGGTGATGATGATAGTGATGATGATGATGATGATGATGATGGTGGTGGTGGTGGTGATGATGATGGTGATAATGTGATGAAGATGATGGCGATGATGATGTTGATGATGTTGGTGATGATGATGCTAATGATGATGATGGTGATGATGATGATGATGATGATGGTGATGATGGTGGTGATGATGATGATGATGATGGTGATTATGATGCTAATGATGATGAGGATGGTAATGATGGTGACTGTGATGATGATGACGATGATGATGATGGTGGTGGCGATGATGATGATGATGATGATGATGATGATGATGATGATGATGTTGGTGATGGTGGTGATGATGATGATGGTGGTAATGATGATGAGGATGGTAATGATGGTGATTGTGATGATGATGACGATGATGATGGTGGTGGTGGTGAAGATGATGATGGTGATGATGGTGGTGATGATAATGATGATGATGATGGTGATGATGATGGTAATGATGATGAGGATGGTAATGATGGTGATTGTGATGATGATGGCAATGATGATGATGGTGGTGGTGATGATGATGATGGTGGTGGTGATGATGATGGTGGGGATGATGAGGGTAGTGATGATGATGATGATGATGATGATGATGATGATGATGATGGTGGTGGTGATGATGATGGTGATAATATTGGTGATGATGAGGGTAGGGATGATGATGGTGGTGGTGATGATGATGGTGATGGTAGTGGTGATGATGATGATGAGGTGATGATGGTAATGATGGTGATTGTGATGACAGTGATGATGGTGACGATGATGGTGATAAATATAGTTGCAACAATAGAACGAGGTTTTCAGCTGTCGTGACACCTGGTTTATTGCCGATACGTAAATTTTTTTTCATTTGGGTACATCTGTTGTAGTGTTCCCCTAAACTCACTCTGGTTTTAGATCTTTTATGGTCGGTCCTCTTCTGAAAAGGATAACGACATCTTCTGGGCTCACAAGCAGCTGCTGGATCTGCCAAGTCCGCCATTTTCCACAGTGCCAGCGGACTGTTTGGTAACCCGCAATTATGCCCTCTGTTGGCTGGTAGATGTAAACATAAACCCAGTGTCGTGCTCATCAAAAAAAAAAATTTTTTTTTTTAGTAAAATGTGACTTTTAAAGGAAATACTGTACCTTCATTCTGCACACACCAAAATGCCCCATGGATGCATTATTTAAAATTTTTTAAAATATTTTTTAATTAAATTGTTCCATATTCAACCTTTAAATGTATATATTTAGATGTAAGCATTTAAATAGATAAAATAACAGTAAAGTGGTAAAGTGAAATAAGTTAAACACAAAATAAATCCTGTATCAGATTGTAGTTAGACTGATTTGTAAAACATGGATGAACACACATTTTATTCCCTAGCTTCTTGTTTATTCTAGCTTCTAGTCACTCTAACTGTAGATGTGTTTCAATTGTTCTATTGTTTTAGGTTTATGTGTCTGCTTTAACTGTTAATTACATAAATAGAATGATGATGATGGAGTGGATGCATCTGGTAGATATTAAGATTTAGAAAACAGACTAACAAACCAAAAATAATTACCAAAACATTAGGAATAAACCAATACAATTATTTAGATCAGATCAATTCAGTAATATACTACTCTATCTCTCTCATTCTCTCTCTCGCTCTCTCACGCTCACACACACACACACACACACACACACACACACACACCCTCCAGAGCTCGGTGTAAAAGCGCTGAGCTGATCTGTTGGAGTTCAACTGCTGAGTGAAGACAAAACATCCTGTCAGATGGCTCTGTTGTTATCTGTAGCTTTGGGAAACTCTTCTTCTTGGATTATCTTCAAAAGCAGCATGTTCGAACAGTTTCAAGCGTTTTTGTCAAGGGTTACAATAAAAAAGTGTCTACTTGTTCTGTTTTTCACATCAAGTCACTCAGAGAAATCTTTTCCGTGCTCAATCTGCTTTGCTGTCATTTCCAGTTTTGAACATATCCCATCAGAGTTGAGCCATCCATCCAATGTAACAGATGGGAATAATCCCTCCCCAGACAAACTCTCCTTCTCCTGGAGGATCCCAAGACTAAAACCACTTTCTTTCACTGCTCTCTTCCACATCTTATCTGTAGGGGTGAACCTGGTCCAATATGAAAAATATCCTTTTCAGCTGCTCCAGGTTCTCCTAATTTTAAACATGATCCTATGGTGATGATAAGAACAAATCAAAATGAAAGCTTTCCACTCCTTACAGACCAGAGACCAACATTAACTGTCTCCGTTTGAAGCAATAACTCAATCCCAATCAAAAGAGCATTCCTTCCCTGGCTGCACACCACCCCTGTGTCTGCCATATTGCTTGAAGATGCCTACATAGCCACATCTTCTTGTGGCAAGGTGGAGAAACAAGGGCCTGGGTGGGATTTGCTCCCCGGACTCCCAGGTAAGAGTCACGTGTGCTAACCAGTCAGCCAAAGGGACATCCCCTTGGCCAAGTAGCCAAGGCGCATGATCAATCAGGTCACAGTGACAGGACGTCCACACTGTCACATTCTACGGGATGACTTTTCCAACAGACTACTCTCTATGACTAAATGATGAGCTCTGTTAACACCATTAACAGGATGAGATCTTTGTTTTTACTTTTAAACTTTTTTGTTGCAACACTTTACATTTATATGTGTCTGACCCGTTCATACAGGGAGATCACCTTTTTAATAGGTGCTGACTAAAAATGGGGCTTTGCAGCACTCATTTTCAGTGTGTGCCAAAACTGCCCGCAATACAGCATCAGCTTAAGTGAACAAACACCACAACCAAAATGTGTGTGTGTGTGTGTGTGTGTGTGTGTGTGTGTGTGTGTGTGTGTGTGTGTGTGTGTGTGTGTGTGTGTGTGTGTGTGTGTGTGTGTGAGAGAGAGAGAGAGAGAAACAGAGAGAGAGAGAGAGAGAGAGAGAGAGAGAGAGAGAGAGAGAGAGAGAGAGAGAGAGAGAGAGAGAGAGAGAGAGAGAGAGAGAGAGAGAGATGCTTTTTGCAGAGCTCAACACTATTGGATCAGTGAGTGTGTGTGTGTTTTCCATCCAGTTCACAGTGCCGCACCCTGTCTTCTGCGCGTAAATCCTCCCACATAGCGACACCATCACTCAGCCCGTTTGCCCCAGCAGTAGTAGTAAGGGAAGAAGGTGGCACCCCTCGGACTGGTTGGACTCAGAGATGGGAGAGGAGCGGTGCAGGTTCGGTCTATGACACTGACACACTGGCCGGGAAGGATGGCTCTCAGCAGCCGGGAAATGTTGCGCTTGATCGGATCCGCCTGCCTCTGGCTGTCGCTGCTGGCGGAGGTATGTATGGGACTCGGTCTGGTGATGACCAGGTGGATCTCTTTCTGTCGGCATGGCCTGATCTTTGTACCATAATAACCTGCTCCTCGTTTGATTAATTAGGCAGATAATTGAATTAATTTTCCAATTAAAGCAGCCATAGGAGAGCTCGTGTTGGGTGTTTATAACCTGCACCCATCAACAAAGCGGGTGCAGGTCGGGGCGTTAAGGAGCGCCACATCCGCATTTTATCCAATTACCACAGGCACCGTCCAATTAAACGGCCTCTTTATTGATTCTCACGCACGCAGACACGCATGCACGGTTTTGTGCGCTCTCCACTCTCCCTCCTCGCGGTGCTGTGGAGATGAACCCTGCGCGCCCGGTTGTAACCTGTCACACCGATTCTGGTCAAAGTCAGACGTGTTGGAGCAGAAAACGGCAGGAGATCATCTGTACTGTCAGGTGGAGGTCAGAGGAAGTGTCCGCTAACATTCTCATGCAGGAACAAAACAAAAAAAAAGTAGAGGAACAGTTAATGCATTTGTTTTTAATCTCATCCACTTTAATTTGTAAAACGTGTTTCCTGTTAATGCACATCATGAACTATGCAGAAGTCACGCTCTTCCTTGTATTTTAAAAGGATTTGGGCAGAAAGGGTTATAGTATAATGAATGATGAATTTATTTTTTAGTTAATAACACTGAGCTTATTTAAACAAGAGTATTTTAAACGTATTTAATTTAGTACTTTATTATGTATTATTTTAGTTAAAAATATGCAGAAAAAATGTAAATGACCTACATTTGTGTAGCACTTTCTTAGGGTTCTACAACCCCCAAGGCACTTTACAACACAATCATTCACACAGACATTCACGCGCTAGTGATGAGGAGCTACAATGTAGCCACAGCTGCCCTGGGGCGCACTGGCAGAGGCGAGGCCTGCTGAACACTGGCACCACCGTTCCCTCTGACCACCACCAGCAGGCAAGGTGGTTTAAGTGTCTTGCCCAAGGACACAACAGCTGCATTCTCTGGTCGGAGCCAGAATCGAACCTGCAACCTTCCAATTACTGGACAACCTGCTCTGAAAAATATCCATCCATCCATTATCCATGCCTCCATATGTTTATGTTTGTTTATGTTTATGCATTTAGCAGACACTCTTGTCCAAAGCGACTTACATATCATGCAGGGAATTGTCTGGTGCCTATATCCCCAGCAGTCTTCATGCAACTGCCTGAACATTTTCCCAGCCCACAGCAGTACAGAGACGCACAGGACAAACAACCACACACACATGCACACACACCTAATGTCAATTCAGAGGCCAATTAACCACTACAGTCATGATTTTGGGCTTTGGGAGGAAACCAGAGAACCCAGAGAGAAGCATGCCGAAAGACCCCCAGGCTGGCATTTGAACCCAGAACCTTCTTGCTGCAAGCAAACAGTGCTAACCACTGCACCACTGTGCAAACCCACAGAAAATGTCCTCTACTAAATGACCTAATTAGTTTAAACCTAAAGCTGCTATAGCAAATGCACAGAACAAGATAGGTTTTGAATGCAAACACTGTCCCTGAACACACCCCTCCCCTTGGGTATCTTCTCTGAGACCCTTCTGCAGGAACCGGAAACCCCCATTGCCAGAGGAAACGAGATAGTTCTAAACACCAGTCGCTGTATTCTAGGTCCAAACGTCTTTTATTGACCATGACTTCAAATGGTGTTTTTATTTTTGGGAATCTGGTAGTTTGTCCCAGAGTTGAAGTGGTAGCAGCCAGCTGTTTCTCCTCCTCTGATATTATTGAGTGGAGAACCTCTCACACCAGTGGTGTTCTGTTGCTAAATACACAAGTGTGTAATGAATAGAGGATCCAGGGAAGTGCTGCGGTTTGCCAAGACCAGCAACTTAATGGTCCAGGTTTTGCTTTCGGTCCAAAACGTGTTATTGGCAAAGATTTTGAGACCAATGTGAGATAACCACTTTTTCTCTGTTATCTCCAAAATATATGTACAGCTATACTGTGTTAGAAAGTTGTAAGGAGGCATGATGTTTTCCATCAGGAAGACATCAGATGACATGGGCTTTTTATTAGGTACACCTCATCAGCACTGGGTTGTTCAGCCTTTATCTTCATGTCATCGATTAAAAAGATGTTAGAAACATCCCTCAGAGGTTCTGGTCAATGTCAACATGACATCCGTTATGTGCATCTCCTGTTCCACCACATCTCAAAGCATCTGGTGACTGTGGAGGTCGTTGGAGACCAGTGGACTCACTGTCATGTTCTAGAAACCAGTTTGAAACGATCTGAGGTTTGTGGTGTGTTGTCACACTCAGACCAGCTTGTCTGGTTCCAACAAGCAGGTAACATTTAAACATTTATCCTCTTCCTTCTTCATTCTGATGCTAAGTGTGAACCTCAGCTGGTTATCTTCATCAGGTCTAGAAGCTTAAAGGTGTGGAGCACATCTTTGTGGTACGAATCTAAATTACACAAGATTAAAATATGTAACAAACACCATCATTTGTGTAAAAGCAACCGATCAAATGTATCTAAAACATTTCTTATTATTTAGTGGGAGAGGAGTTAAATGCCCGCCCTGCCCCAAAACTGGAGGGTTGCAGATTTAAGCTCTACTTAATCTGTCACAGCCGACGTGTCCTTGGGCAAGACACTTCACACTTTTGCCTGCTGGTGGTGGTCAGAGGGATCTGTAGCGGTGGCAGCCTTGTTTCAGCCAGTATGGCAGCTGTGGCTGCATTGTAGCTCATCACCACCAGTCTGTACGTGTGTGTGCGTGGATGAATGACTGATTGTGTTGTAACGTGCCTTGGGGGGCTGTAGAACTCTAGAAGGCTCTATTTAAACACAGTCCATTTACTATCTTTGGTTTGACATGTTTCTACATTTTATTTGACAAATCTTCAGCAGAAGATGAAATGCTGACCATAAAACTAAAAATGTTAGCTCTGATGTTTTTTAAGAGAGGACCAGATTTATAATGTAGGAGTCTGTTTCTGACACGCTGTCCTCAAACAATCTACAAACCGATATTATCTGAAATCAGCAGCACAACTTTTAAATAAACCAGTTGATTGACCTGGAAGGCTTTAGAAATGAAGATTCTCACTAACACTCTGTAATATTAAAACTGTAATCTGATATGTTACAAACAGAATTATAGATTAAATAATAGATCGTAGATATTAGCCTATCTTTCAGGTGTATAAAATACCAGATTACAAACAGATGTGAAAACAACCAGCTTCATGGTCGTGTCAACAATAATAATTTAGTTCTGGTCATGCTGTTTCAGAGTGCAACTTCAAGCTTCTGATGTTCCAGACTCTTTTTGACATTTAATCTGAAAGCGCTGCAGGGTTTGAAGGGTCATTGATGAATTAGAGAGCAATCTACTGAGCCTTTTTCATTTTCATCTTCAGATTAAAGGAAAAACATCACCAAACAACACGCAAAATGAAGTGTCATAAAACAACTTCAGAATAAAGCATGAGATCAATAAAGCGTTTGATATCAGTCACCAATCTAGATGCCGATCATCATTTCAGTTTTAGGCACAAAATCCCACAAGTTTATTACTTTGTATTACAACTGCACTAAAATGTCTTTATCTGACACAAATTTTGTTTATAAAATGTCTTTTTAAGAGTTAAATAAAAATATTAACAAATTATTACAGAAACATGCTTACATGTGTGATACTTACATCAAATATATGAGCTCATTTATCCATTGCATACAAAATGCTTGTAGCTCTTTTTTCTATCCACCTGTATGTGTGTGTATGCGTGTGTTAGCAATCGCCAAGTGGCCGCAGCTGCAGCAGATTATTGCCATAATGGAGCCATGGAATTGACATGAATGGAAGTATCAGCACTCATGTTCTCCATCACAGGTCACCTGTTAGAGCTGCAAAACCATTAGGCGGAGTACTTTCCTCTGGGAGGTGTTTGATTGTTGGTTTTCTAATGAATCTGCAGAAAGCGTTTGTTTGGGTGGTCAGACTGAGACCACTGGTTTGCCGTTATTGTTTATCCTGTTGCACGTGGCTTCACAGTATAAAGCTTGGTTTATGCTTGACACATTTACTTTCCGCATGTTGATGCGGCTCGCGGATGGAACACGCTTCACAACTCGCAGCGTTTATGGTTCATGCGGCTTGTCTCTGCGGTGAGCCAATATTCTCCTAAACTGTAGGGGGCAGCATGGAGCTCTACAGCATGCATCCAACACTAAACCATAGTAAAAGTAAAAATGACTGTTGTTTACAACATGGCATTCCAGCATTTTTAACAGCGTTCTCGTCTTTTCCGACAGTACGAGCTATTTCTCTCCAAGAATTATTAACAACATGTTGATCACGGTGATCTCTGAGAGCTGAATCATGCAAATGTCTGTGTTTACGAACCTCTGCCATACTAGTTCTTGCCAGTCCGCCAAGTTTTTCCGCGTCCGTCCGCGTGGTTAGAAAATGTCCTAGGTGCGCGGTGCGGAAAGTTTGGGCCGTGCGGAGGCGCGGTGGAGGGGCGTGGTTGTTAAAATGACGCAATTTTGCCGCGCGGAGCCGTGTGGACCTCGCGGACGCGTCAAGCATAAACCAAGCTTTCAGATCATTTCACATGCAGTCATGATGCAGGTAGACTTTAGCTGTTTCATATTTAAGCATAAACTTTGCTGTGCCTCAGGTTATGCCTTTGGATGACATTTATTGTAATTTTTAATAGATTTTCTATGTGACTGATTAGTTTGTTCACTTAGAAAAATTCACATTTTCCATTCTGTTTACTTTCATCAACATTTATGGCCATTTGCTCTTTTATAATTCAATAATACTGAATATTTTTTACCCAATTTCAGTGTTTTCACTTCATAAATCTTCATGATGTATGAAGCCTGAAAGCGACAGTCCTTATGTAGTCCTTTATTGTGTGGGGTAGCCAAGCTTTAGTGGGTGGTGGGCGTGGCCACCGCACCGTCCATGCTTAGCTCTGCCCATGGGTATTAGTGTAGTTTTGTGTGCTTGTGTGCAGTATTTTGTAGCAGTGACAAGAGGCACGGAACAGAAGTCATCCGTGCGAAGGTGAAATGTGTTGTCCTTGTTATTGTTATTCCACAGAGACTCTGTGTGTGTGTGTGTGTGTGTGTGTGTGTGTTTATATGTGTGTGTGTGTGTGTGTGTGCGTGTGTGTGTGTGTGTGTGTGTGTGTGTGTGTGTATGTGTGTGTGTGTGTGTGTGTGTGTGTGCGTGCGTGCGTGTGTGTGTGTGTGTGTGTGTGTGTGTGTGTGTGTGTGTGTGTGAGTGTGTGTGTGTGTGTGTGTGTGTATGAGTGTGTGTCTATGAGTGTGTGTGAGTGTGTGTGTGTGTGTGTGCATGAACAATCTTAACTGATTTCACAGATAAAAACACCTCTGTGTGTGTACGCTGCAGTAACAATGTGTACCAGTGTTACCTGTTAGGTTTTTTGTTGAAGTGAGGATACAGTGAAACTAATCTGTGAATGGGTCTGAGACATTTAATGTACACGAGTACGTAAACACCACTCTGAAATCCTCACTGCGGCAGTTATTGGACCAACTCTTTAGCCGCTGCACGTGGATCCAGATACAATCTAACCACGTCCAAGGCTGGTCTTGATGAATGAGTCAACTGCGTTCTTGGCAGAAACCATTGAATTCGTGAGAACATTCCCTGAAAGTTTCAGAACCGCTGACTCCCAACGTTAGAAATAACGATAATAAAAAAAGAGCTTGTACAAATGAGTTTTACTGCATAACTGATGCAAAAATCTTTCCTCAGTGAAGTTTTGTACAAGGACACTTATTGTCACTCCATGCATTTTTCTGGCAACCAAATCAATTTCTAGTCATATGTTAGGTTTCTCTTTTCATAAATGATTGAATTTCAAATGAGCAAGAACAAAAATTCTCCGCTGCTAATTAACCCTTTCAAACATAATAGTTTCCAGTTTGCCTTTTGTTGGCACATTTGCAAATAAGCACTAAACTGTCATCATATATTACTGAATGGTAATAATGGGAATGTTAATTTATCAAATATATATTTCAGTCAAAACTCAAGTTGATTTGATTAAACATATGAAAATCTATTTTTTTATTGACACACAAATGAAAATATATATATATATATTGCTTTAAGATGATTAAAATCTCTTCGGAAACACCCTTTCATGCATGAAAGGGTTTTGGACGTTCAGCGTGGTGATTCTGGAACCTTCTGGCTGCAATAATAATCATAGATTATAAAGTAACTTGATCTATTTAGTGTAAAAGTGTATGCAGTGTGTGCCACTTGTGGTATTTTTATGATTTTATATTTAGCCTAATTTCCCATCGTGACTCATTTGTTCAGATTTTTAAGGTGTATTTTTTATTTCTTCCTCTGAATATTCCACCGATGAGATTCCTAAGGATTTTGTTAAATAAAAATAACAGATAATTAGATATGTTGTTCCAACAAAACAAAAAGTAAAAGTGAAACTATTAAAACTGTTTAAATGTCTTCCTCTTTTCCTGTCTGCAGGTCGTGGCCCAGGACAGTTATTTAAACGAGGTGCAGAACTCAGGTAGGCGGTTCCGTCCATCCTTCCTCTGCCTTTTTTCACCATTTGCTCGTTTTTTGTCCCTCTCTCCATTTTCCCCCCACATTCTGATTGTCATAAAGCACATCTCCTGCTGCTTTTCCCATCTTAAATCCTCCCCCTCATCCACTCCGCTCAGCCTCTCATTTTCATTTTTTCTCCCCGTACGTCCCTGAGAGGAGTGAAGGCTGTGATGAAGATGATGATGGGGGTGGGGAGATGAGCTCCTCCTTCTCAGGGTGAAATATCGGAGCTTTCACAGCGACAAATGAGTGGAATGTGGCGATAATGTAAAATAAAAAACAGCTTCATCATCACCAGATTCCTTATGAAAATCACCTCAGTGCACTTAGGCTTGTGAACAGACTGAATCATTGATCTTTTGTTGCACAAATTGGCCCAAATCATGTTTGTGCAAATTCTCCGCATGTTTGTTTTGTGAGGAGATTTTGTTGCCACACAGACACACCGAGCATGTGACTGTGAACCGTGTCAAATTCTCATTGTGGCTGGGAAATGGATTATAGGACCAGGGAGGCTGAGCGTTCCCATGGCGATGAGCAGACTGTTGTCATGGCAGTAAGGAGGGTGTGTGAGTGTTGCGGGTGTTGTGACGAATTAGAGCCTGAATGACGCAAAAATATGAGGGAGGAAGTGAGATTTGGAGAAAAAGAGAACTAAAAAGGTACGTTTATCATTGTTGAGGCAACACAATGAAAACTTATTGGTTTACATTATTCTTTTATTTAAATTTAATCTGAGTATATTAAGGTTTGATTACTGAACAAAAGGCACACAATTTATATATTTTAAACAACACAGCACAAAAAACATTTTTAAAAAATATGTAAAATATGGATATTAATCACAATAAAATGAAAATAAACAAAGTTTTAAGCTTCCAAGTGGAATCCCTCTGTTTAAATGACTAGCTGCACATGAGGGATTAAAAACAAATCTGATAACTAAATCTCAGTTATGAAGGATTAAATTCAGATAAAAGTAAGCAATTTGTCATTTAGCCATCCATTGCAATTTTATTTTTGGTTAAGGGATACTAGGTCATTTTGGCTTGCACCCCCCACAGATCAGTTCGGAAAAGATTAGTGAAATATACGTCTCCTCGCCTTCATTAGTGTCTACAGGAGTACCTCATATCTAAATCAAACAAATCAGCTGTGTTCATGATCTAAATAAAACATGCTGGAAGCAGACTGCAGCGAGAGGCATCTCAGCTCAACTTTACTAAGTCCAACGGGGAGCGGACCGGCATTCTGGCCACAGTGGCGTCTCCTTCTGACTGGAAATTTAACACTTGTCAGTTTAGTTAGTGAGAATTTAGCAAATAAAATTTGAAAGACTTGCAAACAGACATAATTACGGTATTTTGTGAACAAACTGTGAAAAGAAAATGTGCACGAATGATGCTTCAGTGTCACAATTTTTTTGTTGTCAAGCGTTACAAGAACAAATTCAGTGACACAAAGAGAAAATCAACTTATGTTTGCATCTCAAACGTGTAGCAGTCTAGTGAGATGACCTCATTTTCTTACCATTTTAGTGATCCAGAAAAAACTGAAAATACAACCTGAATAAATGACTCATGTCAGCTCACTCTACACTACTGACAGGAACTATTATCATTGGACCCAAGTTTGAACCATACTCATTATCACAGGGATTAAAGTACGGGTAGAGCTCCTCGCTAAACAAACATTCAGTAAAAGAGTAAATTGGTGTTGCTTTGACGACGTCAAAGAAGGATATCTCACCTCCATCCCAATCAACAAACACCCCAACCTTCTCCACTTTCCCAGCATGCACAGACACACCTGGAGAACTGAACGTTTCAAACTTGTCCATCAGGAACCAGATAGACCAAAGTCCACAGTCAGAATTCCGAACCATCGCCCCGTTTTTCTGAATGGATGCTGTGGCCACGCCCAAGCACCACTCTGTCTTCTGACCCACAAACACCTCAAAATAAAACTTACATGACGAGAAGCCTCTTTGTCCCAGAGCTGCGAGGTGCACAGTGAACGTGTTGGGTCTCAGAATCTGGTTTCCCCACAAGCCCGTACCGCTGTTGTACCAGACTCGCTTCCCATCGGCAGATACGCTGAGCAGAGGGTGGGCCGTTTCTGGATCGAGTACGATGTTCACTTCATGCTGCTGCATGTATTGGAGCATCACCTCGTTCGATGCATCCGGGCAGTTGGAGAATCGATTTATCTCTTTGTTCATTTGACTCACCAATGTCCGCAGCTGAGAAATGGATCTTCTTAAAGATGTATGCGTGTGTTGTATCTCCAGGTGTTTGGTGAATACGAATCCAGACAGGTCCATGGTGGGTGGCAGAAGGGGCTGGTTCTGGTAGCTCTGGAGAAAACTAGGCAGATCTTTACTCCGTTTTAATTTCTCCAGCTTGGTTGCAGTCTCCTTTAAGTCAGAAATCTCCCTCTCCAATTGATTAATAAGTCCCTCTGCTTCTTCTTCTGCTGTTTTTCGCTTCTCCTCCACTACCCTGACAAGCTCCACCTGGATCTTCTCCATCTCAAACACCAGCTCAGATAAGTCCTGAGTTCCTTTTGCCATCACCTCTTGAGCCTCCCTCTTGCTTTTTTCCACTGACGTCCTCATGTTCTGCACCTTCTGCAGACGTTCTTGAATCTTTCGTTGCACTTTGATCTCCAACTCTCCCAGCATATCCTGCATATTGTTGTAGCCCCACTGCACAGGAACCACATCATGGTTTGTGTGGTGTGAGCTGACGCAGATGTCACACAGCACCACACCGTCATCTCTGCAGAACAACTTCAGCAGCTTGTGATGCTCCTTGCAGACATTGTCCACCAAGTTTGCCACAGGTCCGACCAATGTGTGTCTCCTCAGTGCAGAATCTGTGTAATGTGACTCCAGATGATCGTTGCAGTATGAAGAGAGGCACTCCAGGCAGGATTTGGTTGCAGCGTTTCGAGGATCTATACAGAAGTCACACTGCACCTCACTGCCAGTGCTCTGGAAGGAACTATTTGTCACATGAAGCGATCTGAATTGTGACACCAGCCCTGAAATAAAAGTGTTGACCTTCAGATTGGGTTTTCTTGTAAAGGTCTCCTTACAGACGGGACACCAGCACTTAGCTGCATTGTCCCAGTAGGATGTGATACAGGACATGCAGAAGTTGTGTCCACAGGGAGTGGACACTGGTTTGTTAAAGGTTTCAAGACAGATTGGACAAAGAAACTCCTCCTCAGATAGCAAACTGCTGCCTGATGCCATTTCTGAAACACAGAGGGGAAAAAAAAATCACATTAACATCTAGTTTGGCTGCCATTTTACAGTAAGAAGATGCAGGGGGCTTTTTCAAACAGATATGGTGGTGGTGAAGGACCATAAAGACTGGTCCTAGTTGAGATTCGTCAAACATTTGGATTCAGAAAACAGATGATATGTAGCATCTTAGCTCTCTTGTGTGTGTGTGTGTGTGTGTGTGTGTGTGTGTGTGTGTGTGTGTGTGTGTGTGTGTGTGTGTGTGTGTGTGTGTGTGTGTGTGTGTGTGTGTGTGTCTGCTCTGTCTTCTTGATCGAACACATTCCGTCAGTTGTAGTCTAAAGGGGTTCGAATGAAGACATCTGGACTTATTTAGTTCTTTGAAGAAGTTTCACTTCTCATCCAAGGGGCTTTGTCAATTCTGACTGGAATATTCCAGAAACCAAAGAAGTTAATTTGTCTTCATTCAAACTTCCCTTGGATTACCATGAACTGGATGACTGAGAACCTTAACCAGCACATTCTGTCATTTGGTTACACCAAACCTTCTCCCTCTTTTATCCAGTACCTGGAATATTTTGGGAATATTTTCCAGAAATGATCTCGTTTGTGATTTTAATGATCTTGTTCATAACTTTAGGAAAAGTGAAGTGGATTTAATATGGAAACAGCTAAACTTTACTTAAAGTTAATATGAATTATGTCAGAATCTTAGGATGACTAGTTGATCTAAAAACAGGACAATTCTGTTTAAAAGGGCTTGGATCAGGAAGTGTGACCAACGAAGGTTTGATTTGGCTCCAACTTTGTCAATAAGCTCACAGTTTATTTTATTTCATATATCTGGTCCATGATCATTCATTTACTATAGTGTTTTCAGTATTTCAGACTTTTTGTCAGGGACAAATTTGTCCCTCACTCTCCTCCACCTTTTCATGCGCTTGCCACCTCTAAACTCACGTTGACCCCGGCTTTCCACGGGAGCAGTCAGCAGCACGTTACTGCAGCAGCACGTCATAGCTGCTGATAGGAACCGCTGTGGTCAACAGAACCTTTTCCACTGGAGCCGTCGGCAGCCGTCAGCAGCGCGAGTCGGCCGCGTCTCAGGAGCAGCATGTCGCGGCCTTTACGCGCCGGTTCTATTTCCTACACGCGACGCCTCTGAAACGGGTCAAGGTCGACATTTTTGGGGAAGGAAAGACAGGAAATCGGACGCGGAAATGGAGAGAAGCTCCCGAGATTTTCAGAATAAAGAACGTACTGCCTTCCGGTCGCTTTACTTTAAAAAAGGTTACTAACTGTGCGGCCCCGTGAGAAGTTATCACCTAGCTAGCGGTCTCCTTTGTTTTTCAGGTCCGTATTGGCGATTATAAAACGGACAGAACATAAAAACACAAACATTTTGGAGCCATGTTGTAGTTTTCTCCAGCTTGTTGTTGTGTTTACTGACGAAGTCACTCGTGTGACTTCGTGCTCTGTCGGTGACAGCTGCTCCCCTGCTGATTCGCGTCTCGTGGGAAGGGCCAAGCAGCAGCTTACGCGAGCAAGACGTGCTGCTGCAGTAACGTGCTGCTGACGGCTCCCGTGGAAACCCGGGGTTACAGTAATTTCTATCCACGAATAGAACGCTCGCTGCATATCTTTCTACACATCCTGTGTCGAGGGAATAAAGCGTTCAAATTTGTAGAGTTTTGCATGGGGTATTCTTTAAGCTGCTCCATGCTTGCCATTAGATATCTTCGGCCTTCTTTTGTTTTTGTAATGGCGGTGCTGTTGACGAAAGCGGCATCCTGACCAATCACAGTCTTGCTTTCTCCATTTTGTTGTTTGTTTATAAAAGTGGACTCCTTGCAAGCCTGCTGGAGAGCCCTCGCAAGGACGGATAATGGCGCTACGCGTCTCCGTACTGACGCAGAAGCATAAACTAGGCACACCCTTACCATAACCACCCACTCACCAAAAATGTATGCTTTGCATAATTATAATGTACGAAAGGACATTTTTTATGTTTGTTTTAGGGTTATGGCTAGGGTAAGGGTTAGGACATGCATTTTTGGTGAGTGGATGCTTCCAACTGGCGACTAGGTAGAGCCGAAACAGATCTTGAGGGGGGAACTCAAATCGACGTAACACCGGCTTTAACATAGGATGTTGTGGACCAACTGCTTTGCCTCAGTGCTGAAAACCTGCATCTATGAGCTTGTGGCACAAACACAGGGGTACTTTGGGGCTAGTCGCAACGTCTGGGTTAAACTGGCTGCCTATTTCTACCAGAAAAGTGCGTTGTCGTCACTCTTTTAATAACAGGCTCCAAACAGAAGGCTGCAATTTCAGCTCCGACTTGCTCCTCTTGTGCCGAAGGGACCTGCATCTTTCCCGGTAATTTTTTGTTAGCACAAATTGGCTCATCAGTGTTTACTGGCCCTCCTTTATCGTATGCTTTGAACCTGAAATACTCCCAAATTGCATAAGTTGTGCTGTTTTTAGACACCAAGTTATTTGGTGCGCGACCTGTCATTTTTCTCTCCATTTTTCTCACACTCGAGATGACATTACATTCATAAACTTTATGGAACGTCTCCGAAAATTGGACAAATCATTTAAAACTATTTAAAAGGCAACTAGGCAGTTTTGCTTTGCTTTTAGCACCCCCTAGTGTCGGTTTGTAGAACCACTGCGCGTTCATCTTTTTAACACCTTAATCCAACAGCTGAAATGTCTCCCCAGCCTTGCTTAGTGTCTACAGGAGTGATTCATCACTAAATTAAACAAATCCACTGTGTTCATGATCTAAACATGCAGGAAATGTGCTGGAAGCAGATTGCAGCACCAGGTATGTCAGCTCCATTTTTTAAAGTCCCAACAGAGCAGCCGCCAGTCTGAAGTTGCAAATGGAATATTCTGCCCACAGGAGGTGACAGGGCTTAGGTGGTCTTTCACTAACCCTGTAAAAGGTCATTTTAGCTCATAGTGGCTCAAGAAAAAAAAATTAAAATACGAAGTTGCAAAAATATGGCTTTAAATAAAACAGAAAATGTAACCACATATGTTTATTTTTTTTTACATGAAATTACTTTTATTTTCTTTATTTATTCCTATTTTATTCTTTTTATACTTGACCTATGTGCTCAGCTTTTTGATGGTATTGGAATTGATACCGTTGCTATTTTTTAAACACTGGCCTAATGAGTGGGTAAAATTTATTTATACCTGTACTATGTCCTTTAATTGAAATGTTACTAATGTTTGAATTCGCTTCTTAGACTTGTTATCATTTCTTTGAAAACAGGAAACTAAGCTTTTCAACGAACTACAACAAGACTAAACATCACATGTTTTGGTGCGTTCAGCAAAGCGGTACTTGATTTTTTAGACTGTTGGGGGATCACGTGACCAAATGTAACTAATTACCCTTATTGTGTCTTAAAACCAGTAAAAACAGAGAACTGGCAACCTAACTAAATGCTCTGTTAATGTTCATCCATTTGAATCATAAAACCAGTAAAACATTCAAATAGAAGAAAATAAACCCATAAATTATTCTGAAGTCCGTCCCGTGCTGATCAAGTAACTCATGGCTACATGTGGTTCAAACATCCTAAAGCACAAAAATTCACTTTGCAATGATAAAAATATGATAAAAGCGCCAGAGAAGGTGAATTTGTTTGTTTACACAAAAATCTGCGGAGGGGGAATTTGCCACATCACTTGTTTCTAGTAAGTTTCTGGTGTGTACAGAGCTTGTGCAGATCAGCTAGAGATCACACAAGAAGACCTTCTGGTTCTAAGTTACAGGGAGAATAGACTTACATGAGCTGGTTTAGGCCTGGACTTCAGCCGCGAGGAGAGAGTAGAACCCACAAAGGTTGTTGTAAAGACTTTCAGTTTCCTTCTCACGCCCCTTAAAGGGACAGGCACGTGTGCGAGCAGGAACTATTTCTAGGTAAACTATCTCCATTTTGTTAGCCCAGTGAACTAGACCTAAAGTTTTCTTAGCAAAAATAATAATATATTTATGAAATGAATTAAATTATATATTTAGTTAAGTCTGGCTTACCAGGCTACATTTTAGTTTCATTATCAGCAACTCTGTGTGATTCACAGTTTCCCGTTTAATTTGTGTGTGTGTGTGTGTGTGTGTGTGTGTGTGTGTGTGTGTGTGTGTGTGTGTGTGTGTGTGTGTGTGTGTGTGTGTGCGTGTGTGTGTGTGTGTTTGGTGGGCATTGGGATTTGCCGTAAGGAGATAACACTGGTGGATGGCCAAGCTGCATGTGTTTCAGAGATAAGAGTGTTGTTCTGTTTCTGGAACACCTCCACCATTAATCGTAGTTTAGTTCTTCCTGTGGCTTTACGGTGGAAGAACTACCAGAGTTTTCAGGAAGAAATACTTCAGAATGACCAAAAAGTGAATTTTATGATCTTAGGATCTTGAAGGCAAGGCAGCGTTATAGCACATTTCATACACAGAAGCAGTTTAGTGTGCTTTCCAGGTGCAAGCTCAGCAAGAACACACAACATTAAAACCAACATGGCAACAGAAAGCAGCAGTTTTAAAAATAAAATTTAAAAATACTCAAATAAAATTAGATATAAGAATAAGATTAAAAAGACAAAGTTAAGGGTGAGCAGTAACAGTGCTGAAGTCATCAACGGTTGACGAAAGCATGACATTTTAAAATTTGGATTTAAAAGTTTCTTGAGTTGGGGCACATTTGAGGTCGTGAGGAAGCTGAATCCATCCGTGTAGCATATAGCTAAAAGCAGCTTCACCCTGATTGGTTCTGACCTGAGGTTCTACCAGCTGACTGTTTCATAAGGATCTCAGAGCCCTGATGGGCGTATATAAGGTGATCCGACATGTATTCTGGCCCCATACCACTGAGTGATTTATAAACTAGTAGAAGTACTTTGACATTGATTCTGTAGTTTACTGGTAACCAGTGTAGAGATTGGTTCTCTTGGTTCTTGTTAGGACTCTTGCAGCAGCATTCTGAATAAGCTGCAGTTGCTTCACAACTTTTTTGGGAAGACCAGTCAAAGGACCATTGCAATAGTCCAGCGTGCTGTAGATGAGCGCATGAATGAGTTTCTCTAGGTCTGGTCTGGACATGAGACCCCTGAGTCTTGCTACGTGATGAAGATGATAAAACGCTGATCTAGTTATAGCCTTAATGTCACCAGTGGAGCTGAGGTCTGAATCAATTATGACACCAAGATTTCTAACCTGGGTCTTGGTCTTTATTCCTCTGGAGCCAAGCTGAGTAATAACCTCCATCCTATCCATCTTATTTATAAAGACAAAAACTTCAGTGTTGTCTTGGTTTAACTGGAGAAAGTTTGACTGCATCCAATCATGAACTTGCTCTAAACACTGACAGAGTGAATCTGGGGGACCACAGTCACTATAGTTATAGAGCTAGGTAGATGTGGGTGTCATCTGCATAACTATGATAGACAATGCTGTTCTTGAAGAAGAATCGAAGACGCGATGATGAAGAATAGTAATCTTTTGTGTTAGTGAAAGACTGGAACAAGAGTGTAGTGTCTACCACTGGGGGCAGTGGAGGATAAGAAAAGTAGGTAAGCGAGAGAAGCGAATGAGGAAACAGACATCATAGGCCCAGTCCCAACACTGTGCATAGGGTGTCCCGAATCTCAAGTGCAAAAGTTGACCACACCCAAGTCTGCATTGATGGGGACTTCGGCAAAGGGTATTACCCACAATCCAATGCTGCGGGAGCAATGGCTGAAGAGCCTTTTCTGAAAATATGTATTTTCAAAAGAAAGTAGATAGTTTTAGGGCAAATAATTTATGTTCTTAATATCTAGACTAAGATTTTATGTGGACAGCAGTGAATGTAAATTACGTCAAATTATTTGTTGGTTATTTTATGCTCCCTGCCTCAATTTGGTAATTATTTGCACACGTTTGTACCACACACTCGAAGCGTTACTGCACACTTCCTCCAAGTGCACTTCACAGCAGACTGTAGAGCGCAGTGCGAGTATTGGGATTGGGCCGTTTACATAAACGCCCCGTGGACTGGCGCTGTCTATAGGAGATGCGGTAGTGGCTGGATGCCATCTTAGATGGGTCTCCATTCGCCCCCAGTGCATTTTTTTCCATGGAGGAATGTGTTTATCCATCTAAAAAACACATTTTACAATGCTTTTTCACAAAATCAGGCATATGGTATGGCATGATTGATTCAATATAAATATAATTACAGGAAATAAATAAAAACATGTTATATATATATATATATATATATATATATATATATATATATATATATATATATATATATATATATATATATATAAAATCACAACAGGTAGGCTAGAAAAGTCTCAGATTAGTCCCACATGATCTGTTTTCAATAGCGTGCCAGCTGTTGCAACCATAGGTTGTACAAAAAGCGGGCATAGTTGCTCACTCCTCATTGACTCCAGTTGGGTTTGGGGAGTGAGAAACCCATCCATTGTGGTGGCAACGCTGTAATGCTGTCCAGCACCCATGGGGTGTCTACATATTCATGTCAATATCTGATTCTGCTACATGTGACGTTGGTTTAAATAAAGTTTGGAAAAGGAATTCTTGCCTACTCGTGCTACTTCCTGATTCAATGGCCGACCATAACAAAGAACCTTTGAATGGGGGGGGGGGGGGGGGGGGGGAAATTCCCTGAAGCATTTTAAGTTTTGAACCAGTTTTACTGTGTACACAAAAGAGACATTCACCAACACAGCCCTGTCTAAGTATCCTCACAGCTACAAATTCAGGTTTCAGTGCCCACATATTAGAGGTTTTCAGTTTTATCTGCTGAATGAATTCATTATTACCAGTTCCTTTAAAAGTTGTGCCATTTTCCCCACATGTTGAAACAAGTCACTGAGGCCACAATGAAGTATGTGCAACCCGCTTTGTTCAGATTTAAACAGAAAACTTCCTCCTCAACTGGTTGTTTCAGAGGGCTGGGTTTACTCTGTGGGTATGCTGTGAGGTGTTTTTTCTTAAATACTTTAGGATCATGCTGCAGTCAATAGACAGATTGTTTATGGAATTGTGTTTCAAACTAAGCCACGTGGACGTGAAGCATTAGTGACCCTTACTCCACACCACTCTGGCAGGATATTCTCAACATTCCTGCTGAAATAATCACTTAACGTGAAACTGACACAGGTTTATAAATAATATTACATGAACCAATGTGAACTTTTGGAGACTGAAGTCATTTAACTTATTGACTGCCAGCCGTTTTGTGATCAGAAAGCGCCTGGCTGCCAGTGTTTTAGAGCGTTTTTAGAGTCACAGAACATTGCAGTCTATGATGATGTCAACCCCCAAACTACCAAAACAAAGAGTAGACTCACCTCTTACATCAGGAAGAAACTGTGTTTCTAGCGTTGTCTGTTCTTTCATAATCTGTTGTCGGATTGTGAGCTGCAGAAGTTTTTCCGGTTCATGCCTCGCTTTTTTCACAGCAGCGGCCCAAAACAATCTCCTAACACACAGATTTTCTGCTGATCACGTGACGTGTGATATTCGTGTGTGAAGATCAGCTTTAGAGCTGTGATGTTTATTCTCACGGTGCGAGGGCTCGTTTCGATGCCCACCCAGTCAATGCCATTGAAGACTTCAGTCACCAACGGCAGCGATCCGTTGAATTTAAAATGACGACTTTAGTCATCAATGGCCGTAAATGAATTAAAGACAGCGGTTTTTCTCTCTGCTGCATTTGCGTTTACTGTTACCTCATCAGTCCTGCTGAATGTGAACACCATTTCTCAGAACAGAGGCTGTTCAGGAAGCGGTCTATGAAGTTTTTGTGCGACAGCGGTGGAGTTTTACTGTTTAGCAGGGCTACATGCTGAATCTTTTTAAATATGAGTCCAAGTTTTCTTTTAAACCTCTGAGTGTGAATATGCAGGGACGTGTTTTTACATGAGCAGTGACTTCTGAAAGTAGTTCAAAGTCAGTAGGCATCTCTTTGGGACGCACCGTGGATCGTCCGCCAGCTGCCTCAGATGTAGGAGAAATGCTGAAGCTGAAAATAAAAGAAGCATATGAGGCTTGTGCTTTGTAAATTCAGTCACATTCTAATGTTAATGATTGATGAAAATTTTCACAATAATATACTCTTGCAGTCCAATGTATGTCAAAATTGATTTATTTATTATTTTGATCATGTTTCATGGTCTAGTACAGGTTGGCCTGGTGGTTGGACTAAAGTCTGTGGCTCTGCAAACACAAAACACTAATGCTGAGTTCAAAGACAAATGGGACTTCAGACCATTAGATTTCCAAAAGGGAGATTTTTTCCCTCTTTAATCATTGAAAAATCAATTTATCAAAATACAAAATATAAGTAATGCACTGTTAGACTCTTGTTAAACATTTTTCTTAGCTTAAATGAAGAACAACTCCTGAAGATTAACTCTCAGTGAATGCAGCAGGTTTGATAAATTTGAACTGTAAATCTGAATACTTCACTGTCACTCACCCAGCAGCACCTAAATGATGTTTTTATGACTTCTATAATCTAACTGTGTGTCTTGAAGGTCAGAACTACATCGTGTTTGTTTCCAGCCACAGTGGTTTCTGCTCAGCTTGTTTAGGCCTTTTCATTAAAGCATGTGTTGGTTATTAATAAGCTACAGCACAAACTGCCTTCATGTTGTGGCCTAATTCACTCCTCTTTGATGTCAGCAGTTTTCCTCTCAGTCTGAGCTTCACTCCCATTTTATTTCCCAGGGAAGGTTTCTGAGGGAAGCTGGTCACCAGCGTGTTACATTAGGACTGGTTTGATGTTCTGCTCAGCGTGGATTAGGGGTGAACACACCAGGCGGGGTCCTGCTGGACATGAATGAGAGTCAATCATGTTAGCTTTTTATGTTCAGATGAAATGCAGACACGGAGATAATGAGATCTGAAATGAGTTTTACTCCGCTTCTATTCACAAACCATCCACCCCTCTTACACTCTCTGACCCAGATCCGCTTCATTTCATCCAAAAGGTCTTATTCTGATTTCCTCCTCAAGGTTTTCTCATCCTTGCCTTTCCTCTCTGTGCAGTTCCTCTGTCCTGCTCTGAGGGGTTCACAGAGCTGGGGTATTACAACGGCACTGTGTCCCAGACAGACTCTGGAGCCCCCTGTTTGAAGTGGACAGAATTTCCTGACTATGTGATGCAGTACCCGGGTCGTGGGCTCGGGGACCACAGTTACTGTAGAAACCCGGACCGTGAGTCCAATCCTTGGTGCTTCTTCAGACAAAACTCAGGAGCCATTGGGTGGGCTTATTGTGACTGCCACCAAGGTCTGTCTTCACCTATTCTGATAAAAAATACAAGTAAACAAAGGTAAACATGGGACTGTTGCCACTTAACATCAAACCTGCTCTTCTCTGTTGTCAGGTGCGGTCCGTCTGGTTGGGAGTTCTGTATCTGGCAGTGGGCGTGTTGAAGTTTACCTGAATGGCCAGTGGGGGGCGGTGTGTAACTCTCACTGGACAGACCGAGATGCCAGTGTGATTTGTCGTCAGCTCGATGTGGGGTAAGAGAAAAAAAAAAGCTAATGTTGGTGACACGTCTGATTCAGCTCAAACCAGTTTGGCCGTGCCAGGGCCTGTGGGAGGTTACCTGGGTACCCAGAGAAAACCCGCACATGCATGAGGAGAAAATGGTTACGTCTGTACAGAAAGGCTGCAGCCAGGATTTAAGCCTGCAATCTTCTAGCTGTGACACAACAGTGCTACCAACAGTTTCACCATGCAGCTTACAAACCTGTTCAGTTTAGTCCAACTCAATTAACAGTTCACTTTAACTCCAAGTGTCTTTTTGATGCAGCTATTTTAGTAACGCTGGATCACTGTAGGGTTAACATAAGTATTTATTTTGGGTTCTTTTTAAGCTAAATATACTACATGTGACCAATAAGATGTGAATTTCTATATAAATATGGAAATCCAGTCTGATTGGTCTTTGAATGTTTAACCAGAAGATTTAGAATTATTTGTTTATTCAGGGATCGTAACACACTTCGTATTAATTCAAACAGAGTCAAGTTTATAAAAAGTAAGACATTTATTTTCTAAATAATTAAAAACATGACAAATAGAAAACACTTTATGTGATGAATGAATCTAAGTGGATGGAATGTGAGGTGTGATGATGTGTGAATGTGATGTTATCAGAACCCTCGTATCTGGAGAAACTGAGTTCTGAGTGGGAGTGAATTTGGTCTGCTATAAACTATAGTGATGGTTTATAAAACCACATCAGACGTAATCTGTCGCGTTTACGCGCCCTCTCGGAGACCCCCCGTGGTAGATCCGGAATGTGTTGAGGTCCGGGGACCCCAAAGGTACCGAAGTCCGTAGAAGAAACCGCAGTGCAGACTAGACCGGTCTTGAGATGTCTCCAGGTCATGACAGGTAGTTATTTGTGTCTATGGAGGACTCTTAAGGAGTCGGAGTTGGTTCAGCTTTATTCTGAAGGAACCGTTTGCGGTTAGCTGTAGCATGCAACAGGTTTTGACAGCTTGTCTAAAGATGCTCTGGGTTAAAGAGGTATTGCTTCGGATGGTGGGTCCGAAGCTTTCTCAAAAACTGACTCCCTGAACTGAGTTCTGTTTTAACAACGGCCATATTTTGATTACATGGCCAACCAGAATTTGACACGTAAAGGGCTTTTACCAAACAAACCTCAGAACATCAGATAGAAGAGCTCTGATTTGTGGATCAGAAAATCTCTATGTGCAGTGACGTTTAACTTTAACTTGCGTCATGGAGATATGGTGAGTGGGTGTGAGCTTGTCAGTAGATAGTGATTCACTTGTTAAATCAATTTACTGATCATAACATAATATTCATTTCAACTTCAGTAATTTAAGCATAGATTAATCACAACATTTTTATTATTCTTCAGCCATTATTATTCATTCAATGTAGGATTTTTTTAACACTCCATTATTCATAACGTATTCATATCCCTCCTACTGTTTGAAAGTTGAATTAGAACTGTTGTAAAAAAAAAACTTGCTGCAGCCTGCTATAGCTAGTGCTAGCAACGAGCTAACACTAATATGAGCTGACTAAGAAAAAAGCCATGAAGTAAAAAGATCCACTGTCGGACAAAAAAATATTATAACTTACAAATCCAAGTGCAACAAAGCCAGGTCACCAGCAGTGTGATTTTGTAGCCTCTTTTAGCTCCCTCAAACTATTGTAGGCCGTGCCAATGTTCACTCTGGTTTTAACTCTTTGATTCACCTTCAAAGACACATTACTGTCTTACTTTTACTTCCAGGCTCCACCATGGTGCCAACAACTAAAGATTAATACTTCTTCTCGTACTTTTTATTGACGGCAAACAGAAACAGCTAACTGCTAGCCTTTATATTAGCTACCAGCTCTAAAAACAGCTAATGCTGTAAAGCAGAGACCTTCCACTAGTGCTCCCTTCTGAACCTCAAAACTAGTAAGTGCAGTTTCTCTCCAGCAAAGGGCTACAGAGTTCTGTCCGATGTGAAGCTGCTCAAGTTTATGGCTCAAGAACCTCTGACACCAGTTTCAAAGCAATAGCTTAAGAAGTTAAAAATAGTCAGATTCTGATTAATTAATTTAGATTCAAAACTCTAATCCTTACATTCCAACTCAATACAGTCAGATTCAGCAAACGTATAATTATAAATGCTCACATGTGACAGTTCAGCTGAGGAAGCTTACAGATTGCATCAGATGTTCAGTCCAGTTTCTTGATCTAACACTTGAAAGCAGCCGACTAACTGAAATAGTCTTCATCACATGCAGATTACTTAATTTTGTTCTAATAAAATTCTTTCTTGCTGACTTTTAGTGACATTGGCACCACACTGCAGCACTCTCAATTTGGCTCCGGCTCCGGCCTCTTTCACTACGAGCGTTTGGGTTGTCATGGAGATGAGGACACCCTGAGTAAGTGTCGGAGCAGGACGTTCGTCACCGGTGACTGTAGCCATGGAAACGAGGCGGCAGTAGTGTGTGCACCACCAGAAGGTCAGTGTGACTTTTACACCATTGTTGCTATGAGACCTGAATATTTTCTCCCCCACAGCTGAGAAACAAGAGGCTGATGAAGGTCACACAATTAAAAGTGTGACAATCTGGGGCAGATGCTGCACATGTCGTTGTCCTCCTCTCTCAGGTACCGGCCCTCCACTGCGATTGGTCGGAGGCGAGGAAGACTTTGAAGGTCGTGTGGAGGTGTTTCATGCAGGACGGTGGGGCTCCATTTGTGACGACCAGTGGGACGACAGAGACGCAGAGGTGGTGTGCAGACAGCTCGGGTTTGGGTACGTTTAAGACTGAAGACAGGCCATAACTGTGACTGGTTCTGTAGCTGCAGGTTCAGAGGAAACTGTGTTTTTGGACAGTATTGCTATCCTTCATTTGCTTTTGACAAGATTTTATCAAGAAGTTCTGCATTGATTTGATTGGTTAACACTTAGATGTGATGTTCAAAATACCTATGGAGTACTTTTTAAAAGTGCCTTCCCTAGACTAAACTGTTCAGTAGGTCTTAGCTAAGAAGCAACCCCACACATAGATTGTCTCTGGATGCTTTATTGTTGGTAGGACTCAGGACTGATGGGAGCGCTCACCCTCTCTTATTTCTGGATGCTCTAAACAATCAGAAAGTGAATTATTCAGAGAAAATGACTCTACTCTTCATCTGACCAAACCCTGGACCTCAAGTAAAATATCAATCAGTCCCTGATGGTTTACTTAGAGAGCATGAGCTTTGCTGCTCTTCTCCCTTTGTGGGATGATGCTCTCACACTGCTCAGGTGGTGATCCGATCCCACAGCTGGATCAGCTGGTAATGGTGCGGGCAGAAGCCTTTTCCACAAACGCAGTAGGTTTTAAAGGGTTTGAGTTTATTTGCATCCCAGTGAGGGGGATTTCATTTACTTTTATTCATTCAGAACATTCTGGAGTTGAAACTTCATCGTAAAACAAACACATAACATTTTGACGATGTTTTTCTATTTAACTTCCAAACTTTTGGCCTTCTAAATATCTCAGAAGAGCATCAGAAATGAAGAACAATTTTGAATCATTTGTGTAAAACATTCAGTTTAAGTATTTTTCCTTTTTTGAAAAGATTAAATTAACAGACGCTGCAAAGAGCTGCTCCTCTCCTTAGGGGCTTAATTAGGAAGTCTTTTTTGATACAACCCAGGAGAGCAAAGCTTTGTTGTTTAAATCAGGATGAATTTGTGTGGATTACATCTGAACATGCGCAGGCGATGCCTCCTCTCAGTCTGAGCTCTCCAAAAAAAAAAAAAAAAATCACAAACAGCAAACAGGTTGTAGCTGTGAAGTGAAAAACATCCCTCAACACGCGATTGCATTATGTCTCCCAAAACACAAGAGACGCATCTCGCCCTCTGTGTCTGCGTTCATAAATAATAAATAACCCAGCAGGTTTGTACAGGGCTGCACACAGACTGACGCTCACGAGTTTTGACACAGTTTAACAAAAAAGTTGCTGCGTTTCTTTCCCCAGAAGGGTTGGTTTATTCTCTCTGAAGTGTTCGTGTGTGTCAAACACCGACATTTTTTCAGGTTACCAGAGTTTTACCAGTTCTCTGGAGAAAACTGGCATGCAGGTTTTAATATTTCAATACAAATAATAAAAACATTTAATAACTAATCATTTACAAATAAGTAATTCATGAATTTAACACTACTCATATGTAAAAATGTTAAAATTTGATTTCATCACAGCACAAATACACCAACCGTTTGGTTGTTTCAGAAAAGTTTTTGTGGAACCTGTTCTTACACAAACTGTGTGCATGTGTGTGTGTGTGTGTGTGTTGTAGAGGTGTAGCAAAGGCCTGGTCCTGGGCCCACTATGGTCAGGGTTCAGGCCCAATTCTGCTGGATGCTGTAAAGTGCACCGGGAATGAGCTGTTCCTGGATCAGTGCCCCCACGGTGACTGGGAGCAGCACAACTGTGACCACATGGAGGATGCTGGGGTCTCCTGCAGCCCTTATACAGGTCACACACACACACACACACACACACACACACACACGCACACGCACACACACACACACACACACGCACACGCACACGCACACACACACACACACACGCACACGCACACGCACACGCACACGCACACACACACACACACACACACACACACACACAGCTCCTGTAAGCAGCGGTGACCCCGGCACTGCTATTTATATCTCCAGAGCATCAATAAATCATGACTCTGTGAAGCAGCAGCTTCCTGTTTGAGACAAACGGGTTTATGAGGGGAAACAAGTCGACTCATGTAACTAAACTATGATCAATAATTGATCAGAAAAGTTAAATGAGAGTTGTATCATTAAAGTGTATTTACAGAGTTTTGGCTTTGTTTCAGATGGGGTGGTGCGGCTGGTTGGAGGAGACAGTCCCTGGGAGGGCCGGGTGGAGGTGCTCCACAACGGAGACTGGGGGACGGTGTGTGATGACCACTGGTCCCAGCAGCATGCAGAGGTGGTCTGCAGACAGCTGGGCTACAGGTACAAACACTAGATGAAAATCAGATTTAATAACATAGTTATCAACACACATAAGGGACTTCCATTATATGCTTTTAATTTAAAGGGCATTCATTGAGTTAGCTATTTGACAATAATTCATTTCACATATTTAAAAACAACATTTTTAAACCTTTTAAAACTCTTTTTTTTTTAAGTTTCAGGCTTAAGCTGAAAAAAAAATCCTAAAGTGTTTACAAATGATCTGGCACTAAATAGGATTAACCCATTTAAAATACTTTCTCTTTTATGGAGTTTGTTTCCTGATATTTTATTTTATTCAGTGAAGTTGTCCATCCACACATCCACATCATCCCTCTGTGATCCTCTTCCCTCATTCTTGGAGCATCTTATTGCCAGGAAAAACCTGCTGATTACTTCCTGTTCAGGATGGACCTGCTAGACAGAAGAAAAGTGAATCACGTACACACAATTCCTGCAGACTGATTGACAGCGGACTCGAGAACTCATTAAATCTGGACGTCACATCCCACAACAGACGTGGCTTGTTTTTGCCTCCGTTTTTACCAGATAAATCAAAGTAAAAATAAAGGATAATGATAAAATTAACCTTTTGGTTCATCTTTTATTGAGTACATAGTATACTATACAATAGACTGCATTTGTTTAAAAAGGGAAGACCCAACGAAGATCCAGATGATACAAACCAGACAAACCAACAATAAACTCACCATTGAATATTTGAGTTTCAAAGTTTTATTTTGTTAAGGATGATCAGAAATATTGGGTTTTTACATTCTGCACATTTTGGGCATATATACTCACTGCTGTAAAAAAAACAAAGCTGAACAAAAAATGAGTGGAGATCAAAACTAGAGTCAAAGGCTGGTATAAGAGAAGGTCCTTAAGAGTCCTTAAGAGTTCTTTATGATCCAAATAATGTAGAAAAGAAAACAGCAATTATGATATTGAATATATTTTGCAGTTTTAAACTAAGATTTCTATGAAAAATGGAGGAGAACAGTTATTACACAAACCAATCTCGCCATCAGTGATGATGATGAACAGGAGGAAAATGACATTGAGGAAGATTGTCAAATATAAAATATTCTTAAATATTAAAATCTCTGATCAACTATGGATTCTTTCGGTCTTTCGGTGACTGAAAGAACGAGATCGCGGATACAAGCAGCTGAAATGAGTTTTCTTTGAAGAGTGGCTGGGATCTCCTTTAGAGATAGGGTGAGAAGCTCGGTCATTCGGGAGGGGCTCAGAGTAAACCCGCTGCTCCTCCTCATCAAGAGGAGCCAGTTGAGGTGGCTCGGGCATCCGATCAGGATGCCTCCTTGACGCCTCCCTGGTGAGGCTTTCCGGCCACATCCAACAAGTAGGAGACCTAAAGTCATGGTCTGTGTCTCTTTGTGTTCCTCATGTGTCCCCTGGTCTTCAGCCCTCCAGATATTCCCTCTCAGGTCCTGTGTTCCTTCAATCTCCCCCAGTCACCCCTCTGCAGTTTTTATAGGTTCAGCTTCTCATTTTATTAGTCTCTTTAGAATGTTTTTTCCACAGGTTTTTGTAGTTTCCCTTCCCCTTAGAGTATTAGTTTATTTAGCTGCTCATCTTGTCTTTAGGTTTTTTTTACTCTTACTCTTAGGTTATGTTAGTTTCCTCCCTGATTAGTTAATTGGTCTCACCTGGTTCTCTCTCCATACACCTGCAGCCCATTTGCCTCCCATCATGCCCCAGTGTATATAAGCCCTGTCTTGTCTCAGTGTCTTGTCGGTCCATTGCTTGTGTGTCAGCGTTGTTTTGTGCTCCAGGTGAGCTTTCGTATCTTGTCTCCATGTTTGGTGCTCTAAGTGAGCTTTTGTTACCTCGCCTCTAGGTTTTGTGCTCTGCGTGAGCTTTCATTCTCCTGGTACTCAGGATTTTGTTTTTGGCTTCCTGCCATTTTGGATTTTGGTTCATCTCCTTAATAAAAAGGGTTTTACTTTTAAACGCTCCTGCTTCATGTCATCTGGGGTATCTGCATCTTGGGTCCTAACAACCTCCTTGTTCTCAACGTGACACCTAAAGGTAGACCCAGGACATGGAGGGACTATGTCTCTCACCTGGCCAGGGAACGCCTTGGGATTCCCCTGGGGGAGCTGGCCCAAGTAGCTGGGGAGAGGGAAGTCTGGGCCTCTCGCCTTAGGCTACTGCCCCCACGACCCGACTCCGGATGAGCGGATGAAAATGGATGGATGGATGGATGGATGGATGGATGGATGGATGGATGGATCAACTATAGATTATTCTTTTTATTGTTCAATAACTTTTCAAAAATATTCCACAGTAATCTGTTTTTATAAAATAAACTATATTGTTTAATAATTGTGATATATTCTGTATTTCTGAACAGTGATATGATGTTCTAAAATTAGCTAGATTATTCTAAAGTGTCTTATAAGTTAGCTATACAGTTGAAAAATAATGTTTAACCTGTTCATGTTATTTTATGTTGAGGTTTCTTTTACCAGAACAGGGTCAACGTCCATATTTGATCATTTTAGAAAAATGTAACAACAGAAATACACTTTGGTTAATAACACCCTGTGGTTGAAAAAAAAAATTAAACTACTTCAATGCGTGCCCTATAAAGGGTTAATCTTTTTTTTTTCTTTCAGAGGTCATGCTGAGGTCGTAGCAGACAGGACGTTTGGTGAGGGCGTTGGTCTGATCCTCCTGGATGATGTCCACTGTGAGGGGTCGGAGACGTCCCTGCTGGACTGTAGACATGGCATCTGGGGACGGACTGACTGCTCCCACAGTGAGGACGTGGGTGTTCGCTGCAGAGGGAGATCCAGCCAGGAGACCAATGAAGTGCCGGTCATTGCTCCTTCCACAGGTAAACCATGACAGAGTCAACTGAAGTCAGGCTGATGGAGGCAGCAGTTTGAAGGTTGTTAAAACTCACTAACATTTACTGGTGTTGGACAATTTAACCAAGATCAAAAATATTAGTCCTTTTTTTTTTCACAAGAAGCAACAGGATTTTTGTTATATTCAGATTTATTCAGAACATTTTGTCCTTCCACCTAAATATGGAACATGATAGTTTTCTAATGAGAACGCTGGTGTTTGACAGTCTGGACATACAGTCAGATCCATAAATATTGGGACATCGACACAATGCTAACATGTTTGGCTCTATACACCACCACAATGGATATCAAATGAAACGAACAAGATGTGTTTTAACTGCAGACTGTCAGCTTGTATTTGAGGGTATTTACATCCAAATCAGGTGAACGATGTTGGAATTACAACAGTTTGCATATGTGCCTCCCACTTGTTAAGGGACCAAAAATAATGGGACAATTAGCTTCTCAGCTGTTCCATGGCCAGGTGTGTGTTATTCCCTCATTATCCTAATTACAATGAGCAGATAAAAGGTCCAGAGTTCATTTCAAGTGTGCTATTTGCATTTGGAATCTGTTGCTGTCAACTGTCAAGATGAGATCCAAAGAGCTGTCACTATCAGTGAGGCAAGCATCATTAGGCTGAAAAAACAAAAGAAACCTATCAGAGAGATAGCAAAAACATTAGGCATGGCCAAAACAACAGCTTGGAACATTCTCAAAAAGAAGGAACACACCGGTGAGCTCAGCAACACCAAAAGACCCGGAAGGCCACAGAAAAAACTGTGGTGGATGACCGAAGAATCCTTTCCCTGGTGAAGAAAACACCCTTCACAACAGTTGGCCAGATCAAGAACACTCCAGGAGGTAGGTGTAAGTGTGTCAAAGTCAACAACCAAGAGAAGACTCCACCAGTGTGAATACAGAGGGTTCGCCACAAGATGTAAACCATTGGTGAGCCCCAATAACAGGAAGGCCAGATTAGAGTTTGCCAAATAACATCTAAATAAGCCTTCACAGTTCTGGAACAACATCCTATGGACGGATGAGACCAAGATCAACTTGTACTAGAGTGATGGGAAGAGAAGAGCTTGGAGACGGAAAGGAACTTCTCATGATCCTAAACATACCACCTCATCAGTGAAGCACGGTGGTGCTGGAAGTGTCATGGTGTGGGCATGTATGGCTGCCAGTGGAACTGGTTCTCTTGTATTTATTGATGATGTGACTGCTGACAAAAGCAGCATGATGGATTATGAAGTGTTTTGGGCAATAGAATCTGCTCAAATTCAGCCAAACACCTCAGAACTCATTGGACGGCGCTTCACAGTGCAGATGGACAATGACCCAAAGCATACTGCAAAAGCAACCAAAGAGTTGTTGAAGGGAAAGAAGTGGACTGTTTTGCAATGGCCAAGTCAATCACCTGACCTGAATCTGATTGAGCATGCATTTCACTTGCTGAAGACAAAACTGAAGGGAAAATGCCCCAGGAACAAGCAGTAACTGAAGACTGTTGCAGTAGAGGCCTGGCAGAGCATCACCAGGGATGAAACCCAATGTCTGGTGATGTCTGTGTGTTCCAGACTTCAGGCTGTGTTTGACTGCAAGGATTTGCAACCAAGTATTGAAATGTATAAGTTTGATTTATGGTTCTTATTCTGTCCCATTACTTTTGGTCCCTTAACAAGTGGGAGGCACATATACAAACTGTTGTAATTCCTACATCGTTCACCTGATTTGGATGTAAATACCCTCAAATACAAGCTGGCAGTCTGCAGTTAAAGCACATCTTGTTCGTTTCATATTGATATCCATTGTGGTGGTGTATAGAGCCAAACATGTTAGCATTGTGTCGATGTCCCAATATTTATGGACCTGACTGTATTCTCAACAACAGAAAATAAAGCTTTGATCGCCATATCTGGTCTTTGGGGGGTCCTGCTCTGCCCGTCTACACGATCTGGTGATTAGAATAGGAACAAAGATGCACCAGATGACATTTATAACACATAACATCACTTTAGACTGGGCTTTGTGGAGGCACAGGCATGAATATGAATGAGAGTTTTCTTCCTGCCAGGCCCCCTGGTGCGTTTGGTGGGTGGCAGCAGCAGGAAGGAAGGTCGAGTCGAGGTGTATCTCCATGGAGACTGGGGAAGTATTTGTGATTCTGGCTGGAACGACCTGAACGCCGCCGTGGTGTGCAGACAGCTCGGACATAGGTTTTTGTTTCTGTCTGTCTAAAACTGTTTTGTTTTAAAACTGTACAAAAGGATAACATATTCTGGCTTTTCCTCAGTGGTGGAGCGGTGGCAGCTGGAGGGTTTGGTCAGGGGAAAGGACCCATCCACCTGGACCAGGTGAGGTGCACAGGGAAGGAGGAGTTTTTGGGAGAATGCCCCTCACTGGGTCAGAACATCCAGGGCTGCAGACGCAGAAAGGATGCAGGGGTGAAGTGCGACGTCGCACCTCGAGGGGCATCGAAGAAGACCAAGCCTCAGGAGCTGAGCTGTGGGCTGAGGAAGCTAGTAGAGGAAGAGGGGAAGGAGAGGAGCCAAAGAGAGGAGAACATGCTCAGGTACTGCAGGACCATCCATCTTCTGAACCCGCTTATCCACACAGGGTCACGGGGGGCTGGTGCCTATCTCCAGCAGTCTCTGGGCAAATAGGTGGGGTACACCCTAGACAGGTTGCCAGTCCACTGCAGGACAACACAGGACACACACACACACACACACACACACACACACACACACACACACACACACACACACACACACACACACACACACACACACACACACACACACACACACACTTAAGGACAACAGAGAGAACAATCAACCTGACAGTCATGTTTTTGAACTGTGGGAGGAAGCCAAAGTACCCGCAGAGAATCCACACGTGCACAGGGAGAACATGCAAACTCCTAGCAGAGAGACTCCAGGCCGGGATGTGATCCCAGGACCTTCTTGCTGCAAGGCAAAAGCACCAACTATTGCACCACTGTGCTGCCCACTGCAGAACCACTTACTGTAAATATCCTCATATTCGTTCTCAAACCGTGGGGAAGGAGCTCTCTCTAGTGGTCCTAAATGGAAACTTTAATCATGCATGAAATAAAAAGGTGCTTCAGACCAGATATGCTAATAATTAAAAACAGTAGTTTTGCTTTTATGTCATTAATTTGGAGCAAAAACAGTCATAATAAAAATCCAGCATGTACATTTAATAATATTATTACTTAGGGTAAAAGTAAATGTATTTATCTGATTACCTTCACCAGCATTATATATATATATATATGTATATGTATATATCCCTTATTTGTCCTTAGTGCATTTTTTGTGCAGTCAGGTGTGTTTTTGTGAATAATTTTGGCTATGCAAATGCAGTTTATCTAGTTTATTGAGACGTTGTGTGTTTTGGGGGAAATTACGAAAAACAATTAGAAAAATTGCTGTACTCCATTCAATATAACAGTTAAATAATTTTGTAACATTAATGGAGTTGGTGCATTTTTAGCACCACTGACTTCCATGTAAATAAGTTTTTCTAATGAGTCTAAATATTAGCATTTTTATTATTATTATTATTCTGTCTGGGTTCCCAGGCCAGTTGCAGATTCAATTTTGAGTTTTTAATGTTTCCCACTAGACTGCACATTTTCCCTATGTATATACCGGGGCAACAATTAATGCTGCATTCAAAATATTAAATAAATCAATAAAATTGATGAAAATATTTTTATGCCCATTGATGACACTCAAATGAGAAAATTTGCCCACAAAACAAATAATCTGGATATAACACACAAGAAATGTTTACATTTTTTTCCTTTGTTCACATTTCTGGTTATGATCATACACTTGGACAATAAAGGGCAAAATAAAAGGGTTAAACCTCTATATAAAATATTTTATTATATTTTGTGAGTACTGAAGCCAAGGACATAATTCATGTAAAAAATAGGGAGTTATGAAATATTATATGAGGAAATATTGTGTCTGCATTTTTTGTGCACTAAGGTTAAAATTGGGACTTTTTTATTTTTAGAAAATATGAAATTACAGAAAAACTATAAAGCAAAAATAAATTGTATGCCTATTTGTGACACTCCAAAGCTGTGATAGTTTAACCCCAAAACAGGTCATCTGAACGTAAAACATAAAAAAATAGTAATTTAAATTTTTTTAATGTTTTTTTCACATCTCTGGTATTGATCATAAACCTGGCAATAAAGGAGTTAAATCTCAGAAACACATGCATTTTTATTATATTTTGTTAGGGCTGAAGCCTAGGATGACATTCATGTAAAAAAATTGGGACATATGAAATATGAGAGAGAGAGAGAGAGAGAGAGAGAGAGAGAGAGAGAGAGAGAGAGAGAGAGAGAGAGAGAGAGAGAGAGAGAGAGAGAGAGAGAGAGAGAGAGAGAGAGAGAGAGAGAGAGAGAGAGAGAGAGAGAGAGAGAGAGAGAGAGAGAGAGAGAGAGAGAGAGAGAGAGAGAGAGAGAGAGAGAGAGAGAGAGAGAGAGAGAGAGAGAGAGAGAGAGAGAGAGAGAGAGTTCACCTTTATATTAAGCTCTATAATTTATAGTTTATGCCTTGTTTGATGTCATTCTTCTCAGCCAAACATCACCTATGTGAATTTAGATGCATTTCTTCATTTTGTCATATTGTATTACCACACTGAATTTGAAGGTAAACAAAACATTTTAAATCTGAGTAGAAAAAAATGACATATTTATTGCAGTGAAAACCCCAAATATTTGTAATGAATGCTTTTCAGCTCTCAGAATAGAACTATAGGGTGGGAGTAAAATCAAAAAAGGTCAAATGTTGCAAACAATTGTTAAATGCAAGGTTTTTTGCATAAAAATGCAAGGCATGTCTCAAGTGTTTTTCATGTAAAATTGGTAGAGTTCCACACTTTCTGTCTACCTCTGCTACTTCCAGAAATGTCCACCAGAAGACAGGTTCAGGTTTAGCAAGCCATTAACTTATACACATATATTTACAAAGAAGTTGTCATGACCAAACGCCATAGTTTATGTGTACCAAGCCTCAAAATCACACACAGCAGAACAGCAGAGGCTTTACATGTCCAGTGGGTGTCCTTCCTGACTTTGTCCACCTGGAGGCAGCATCGAGCACACTCCCTGAAGCAGAAAGCTTTCCCTGCCTGCACCTGGCAACTATTAACATCTGATTTTGTGATGTGGTTCATAACTCAGCCTATAGGATGAGCTTGGTCTTGTTTTTCTTGCTGACTCCCGAGTCCTAACTTATGGTGAAGGGCAGCGAGAGCCAACGGGGCCAACAGAGAGCTCTGTTTGTAGGATTTCATCCTGCATCTGCCACAGATTGAATGCGCAAAAGCACCTTTACTCTTATTTAGTTTTAAGCCCCCTTTGTTTTTAAAAAGCTGTAATCGTGACGCTAAGTGGTTTCCTGGTTGCATAATAACAGGAGTAATGCGACCAGTGCGCTATCACGCGTCAGCTCGTGGATTAACTCCAGAGGGTTAAAAACACATAGTTTTTGTATTCTCTGGCAGGACCACTTGGCCATGGCAGGTGTCGGTGTGGCTCCAGTCTCAGGAGGTGGTCGGTGGCCCCCTCTGCAGCGGGACTTTGATCAGCCCTTGCTGGGTGCTGACGTCTGCATCCTGTCTCACCAGGTAAACGCTGAACTTAATTGTAATTCACTTTCTGTTAGCAGGAGGCTGATTCACTGGAACAAGTCAGCATGTCTACCTGAACTTACAGGTTTGGCAGCGATCCGTCCAGGTACGTGGTTCGAGTCGGAGCGTCTGAGCAGAGTCTCACCCCAGAGAGGGTGGTGGTTCACAAGAAGTTCAAGGGTCAGAGTGGAGGTCATGATTTAGCAATGCTAAAGCTGCCCAGCACCAAGGGTCACTGCCTGACCTTTGCACCCAAGACTAATGCAGCATGTCTTCCTGCTGCTGAGGCTACAGCAAGAGAAACAACTCCATCATCGTGTGTTGTCATGGTTACTACAAGCTGGTCAGGTCCAGGTTTGTGTTTTTTTTATCTCGGCTTTTTCATGATAAACAGCATTCATGTCTTTTTCAACAGATTTACACATTTACACGTATAAGAGCCTGACTGTATTATTTTACTGTGAACTATTGAATCATTGGTTCTAAATATTGAACCCAAGAGTTGGATGAAGTATATTAGCTGGTATAGACAGTTTGGTAAATCATAAAAAGCATATTATCTATCGATCACCTGTTGTATTGCTGGTAGGCTGTGCCTGTGATCCATCATTCCAGGAACAGCTGCAGTGATCAGCTTTACTGTTGAAATGATCCTTTAACTTGTTTCTCTTCATTTTTTCTGCCTCTGTCTTACATAAAGACCCATTTCACGCCAAATCCATCAGAAAGCATCAATACTTTTCTGCACATTTGAGTCAAACAGCTGCAGAAGCATAATTTAGTTTAGTTTAACACAGCTATGAGGATGCAGTGCAGTCTAAAATATTAAATCATAAAATCTAATACCAAATGTTTAATATTGAGTGTGAAGCCCTTTGTTCTTGGCCTTTTAAGTTATAAATAACCACCTGATGCACATTTTTCACACCACTAAGGGGAAACTTATAATATTAATTTACTACAAATAAACTAATCAGTGAGGTATTGTAGAAACTGTCTCTTTCACTTGCGGTGGTTGCAGAGCACTGATCTAAATGATCTCATCAGTCTAACTTTGGCGCCACCGTGTGGCTGATATTTAAAGTTTAGGATCAAATATGACAGTCTGCTAAAAATATGATCATTACATCTGTCAAGACATCATTTGAGGAGACTGAGCTGAAATGTTTTCATGGCTCTAGGGTGAATTATGGCTGATGTGTCACCTTTTAACCCCTCCCAGATTCTGTTGTGGCCTCCTGGGTCCCTCTGATGTCGTCATGGCAATGCAAGAAGCGCTATGGCAACAGCTTCTCCAGTCATGGCACACTATGTGCTGGCAGCCCTCCAGACACCAGCCTCCTCCATAGTGACGGTTGCCAGGGCAACTCGGGAGGCGGACTGGTGTGCCAGGAGGAAGAGAGCCGATGGGTCCTCGCAGGGCTTGTTGCCGGGGGTTACGGCTGCTCCGACCCATCCTCTCCAGCTCTGTACACCCGAGTCAGCCGCTTCAGGAGCTGGATCGATGAAGTCATGGACTTACACGGGCGTCCTGAGGAGACGCACACTCTCACAACGCCACAAACTGACCTGACACATGCCGACAGTGACCTTTCACACATATACGACAGGAAAGATGAGCCTTCCCACACACATGGCAAGCTCAAACACACACATGCACACCCTAACCAGCAGCCTCATGTTAAAAGCACACACACGTTCCACACAGAGGATGTGGATAAAAAACAACAAATGGTCTGATTGGGGCTGTGCTGCTGGTTACCACTTGTGCCATGTGACCACCAGAGGAGGAGATTCTCCAACTTAAAGTTTCATTCAAACCTGAATAAGATGTGTTGAAAGTATTTTTCATTGTCAATTTGTTTTTGTGAGGCGGAGCAGAGACTGGTGGCTTATTTAGGTCAAGCCTGACCAGTTAATCAGCATGCTATCCAGGACCTTTTACCGATAAAGAACTGAAAAATCAGCACAGCATGATTTAAAGGACAGTAGAGTTCAGAAAAAAAATCCAAGGGGCATTTCAAAGATGGTCACACATGAATCTATGCTAATACCATCCATTCTGTGTCCTCTGTTTGACCTATTAGGAATCTAACCAACAAAATGTGTGATATTTGTGCAGGATGTGCATCATCTCTGCCCCTCTCCTGATGTAGATAAACTCCTGCAGCAGGAGAGGCTTGTCTTCAAATTAGCGCTTTATAAAACGTGTGTTTATTTTTCAACAGGGCTTATCTTATCAGGGTGTTGTCTTATACCTTAGCTGGTGAAGAGGCTGTAGGGAGCTCAGCTCTTTAACTCAGGACCATACCACAGATTCTGCATGTTTTATCACATTTAATTAGTTTGCTTTTGGCTGAATGGTGCAAATTTTACATGGAAATTACTAAAAATTAGGTCAAGCATTCAGGGTGTGTTCATTGTAAAGAGTGGCAGAAGTGACAAAGGGAGTGATTTTTGAGTTTGCTCACATTTACAAGCACTTTTCGTTTGAACTGAGGTTTGTCTTCAAAAATAAAGAAAAGGCCCAGCTACATTTAGTCTGACCTTTAGGAAAGAAGGTGAATCAACTCAGAATAACAAAAACACAAGGAAGTGAGGGATAGGAAACAGGGTTTGTATAAAACACATGGAGCCCAGTTCTGATGTAGTCTGGGCGAAACTCAGAATAAAGGAAAAACAACATTTTATTCCTGTAATTCTCTAAACTAAACGAATTAAACAGCGGCTCTACCTCACACCGCCTCCTATTATAAGCTGCATTATCATTTCATCAGTTCTCTACAGTGTATGTAAATTAGCTGTAAAGTCCCTCTAGTGTTCAACACGAAGCACTCGGCCAGTCTGAATTCCCCCTTTTGTGAGGCCGTCGCTGCAGGCCTCGCCTGGAGCGTTGACGGCTGACGTTTTGTGAGAAACAAAAAACAGATTTTTACATGATGGCTTTAAATGTGGAGTGCAGCTTGTCAGAAATGCATGCACAGTTCAACCCATTTAATCTGCATAAGGAAGCAGAAACACAACTCAGTTTGGCAAGTGGTTAAATGTTCTGAAACATGCAAAAACGTTGGTATGGTCCTTTGAATGTGTTCAGAAGCTATTGAAGCCATTTAAAGCCGACTGCCGGGTCATATTTATGTTCTTTTGTACTGCTTTAGATAGAAACCGTAGATAGATGCTCAGATAGTTAGCTTTGTAGATAATAAATAGCCTCCCTGATGAAGTGGTGTGAGCAGAGATGTTGAACCAGCCAGAAGATGGCGCTGTTTCTCTTTCTAACAGGGCTCCCTATTAAAGTCCCTGGTGAGTTTGTTTTTCTAAGGTTGTTCTACGTGTTTTGGACCTGTGATGTTCTGTGAGTCCTTGTGTCGTGAAGCATCTTGTTACCTGCTGCCACCGTCCTCAGCCTGCTCTTCTGATTCTGTACATAAGTTCCCAGTTTCACCTCCCCAGACTCGATGTTCTGCTACGTAGAAGCTCCAAGTTCATGTGAATACAGCTTGTCCATAAGATGTGAGGCTGCAGAGTGAAAATGCTCACTCTGAACCCGTCAGCTGTTCCGTGGTGTTCTGTGCTGAATCATGGTGGAGTATTAAAGCAAAAACCTGATGAGAACAACTTCCACGTGTTGCTGTCACGTCTGTTTCCTCTCAGAACAATCACACCATCCCAAAACACACAGACTCAACAATAAAAGGGATTCATTCCAAGAGTATAATTGAAAAGTAAATCTTTTCAGCTGCTGCTTCCAGCGTTCCCTCAAGTGCTTCTAATCACGGATCAGAGGAAGGCCCAGTCGGAGCGGATCGACCAGTCTCCATTGACATTCACAGAAACAGTTATTCAGAATAATTAGCTATGTTATTGTCTAATCTAAAATGGGATGAGATTACTAGAATAAAATATTGATGGTTGTGTTTGATTTATTACAAAAACCCTCAGAGTAAACATCTTTATGTTCCCACTGTCAATAAGATCGACTCAGGTTGGATGAAACGCAGCTTTAAAAAAATGAATTATTTATTAGGGAAAATCTAATGGAAGCTATTAGAACCGAGTGGTGAAGAACCTTTATTTTTCCTTATAGGTGATAAATGATTAAACTGCATCTTTGCCTCCAGTTGCCAACACATTGACATGTTAGAGTTAATTTAGCTCCATTTTTCTTCTGTTTCAGAATGGAAGTGTTACCATGTGGAAATACTTCACCGTATTTAATGTTTCACAAATAAAATAGCACAAACGAGTCTTAACCCATTGTTGATTGCTCTCTGAATGGCCTCAGTTCAGAGAAATCGACTCAAACAGGCAGGACTAGTTGTCAGATTCAGTGTTTTGAAGCTACACTTAAGAGCTTTTAACATTTTCAGCTATTGTTTTCAAACCGGTTCCACTGATTCTTGAGTAAGAAATGTGAGCAACTTCCCATTGGACAAAACTCTGCAGCCCTTTGCTGACCAGAAACTGCACTTGACAGTTTTGTGGTTTGGGTTGGAATGCTAGTGGGAAGTCTCTACCTGCTTTATGGCAACAGCTGGTGTGATGGTAGCTGATATAAAGGCTAGCAGTTAGCTTTTTCAGTTCGCTGTCCATCAAAAAACTCAGGAAGAAGAATTTAGTTTTTTCTATTGGCATCATGGCAGAGCGTGGAAGTAAAAGCGAGGAAATGGCTTTGGAGGTAAAGCAAAGAGCTGACGCCAGAAGGAACATCGGTGCAGCCTACACTCATTTGAGCTGGGCTAAAGGAGGCTACAAAATCACGAACAGAAAAAAAAGGCAGCACCGGTATTGTAGATGGTGTGAAAAACCTCTAAACCAGAGATGGAGTCACGAGTGAGTCTCACTATTTTTGTCAACTCCACCTAGTGGTTACTCATATATTACGGCGTTTGGACGTGTCCCGTTCATTTCGGGGGACTCGCACAAACAACGCTTCAAATCAACTCAAGTAACGCATTGCAGCCATTTTAAACATGCGTTTGCGTCATCAAACAGCAAGTAAATCACGGCCCTAAAGCTGCTTTGGTGAATCTACAGAACAAGCTAGGTCACACTCATCCCACCCCTCGGGTATTTTCCTGAGATGCTTCTGCCTCAACCAGAAACCAACAATGCCAGATGAAAAGAGATAGTGCTAAACACCATTCATTGTTTTTGTAGTTCTGAACATCTTTTGTTGTCTGTGACTTCAAATGGTGTTTTTTTGGGGGGGACTCTGGTAGTTTGTCCTAAAGCAGAAGTGGTAGCAGCCGGCTGTTTCTCCTTCTCTGATATTATTGAGTGGAGAACCTCTCACATCAGTGGTGTTCTGTTGCTAAATGCATGAGTGCGTAATGGTGGACCCAGGGACATGCAGCGATTCAGTGAGACCGACAACCGGATAGTTTTGGCCCGAAACATGTTATTGGCTGAGGTTTTTAGACAAATGCGAGAGAACCACTTAGTTGTTTGTTTTCTTCTTTGTAAATCTCCATAATATATTTATAGCTATACTATGTTAGAATGTTGGTAAGAGACATGAAAAAAATGTTTTTAATTTTCTATTGCAGCTTTAAGGTCTCACACAATCCTAGCTTCCTTCTTTAGACTGGAGGTCAAAACTGCTGAGTCATGTTAACTTGCTAAAAGCATTCTCACCCTCAGGTGAGCAGGGTGGAGCAGTAAACCTTCCAGTTACTCCAGTATCACAGTAGTTAGCAGGTTTGTGTACCTTTAACAGATAATAATGCAGTTAATCTCAGTTAATCTGGGATCAATCTGCTCTGTAGAAGAGGACAAAACACAAAAAGTATTATTTCTAAGAAAACTAGGAACTAGCAGGGCCTTCATTGGTTTAAATGTTAAAAAGCTACAAAAACCTAGAGGTGTTTGATCATCTGATAGTAAAGATTGTGCACTCAATTTGATGGAGATTAATTCTGAGGGCGTCTGCACCAAAAAGCTCAAGACAAAAAAAAAAACATTCTTCAAATTCCTCTAAATTTCCAGGGAACTACTTACCTGCAGGCCCAAAGATAATTAACTTTACTCGACATCAGGGTCAAATGGGTCCAACCGAAGAACACTTTCTGTAAGATTGAATAAAAAGCTGCAAAAGGCCACACAATCCTTCGGGAGGTTCAGGAAAGCTCCACAGATGGAGAACATCCAAACCTGGTGAAGCAAAGCAACAGCGATACCAAGTAGGACATCTCAAACAGCATGCAGGTGTTAACCACTCTCCATGCAGGGACTGAAAGGAGCCAATTAGAACTCATTTGGGTGATTAGGAAGGAGCAATTGAGATGAAAAGCTGAGGAGGCCATTAAAGCACTTGAAGTCAGTGCACTGCAGCAAAGATGCAAAGAGCTGGAACAGAGAGAGACCCATTTCTAGATTCTCCTTAGATCTCCCTGCAGCCTTGCACATATGAACGATGAGCGCACAAGCGAATGATGAAGAGGGATTCACACAGCACTGCCTCCAAAATTCAGGAAACTAAAAATGAGGACTTTAAAGACAAACCCAAAGAAATCAAAACGTTCTCAGAAAAGAGGCAGAATGTAGAAGTATCTCTGACACCACATCAGGGCCTCACTCTGTCTGACAGGAAGAAGGTGAAGAAAGCAAAGAATCCCCCACCCCCACCCCCACCACCACTCAAATAGAGGGGGTTCACAGGGTTGAATGAAGAAAGGGTTTACGTTTTTAGTTGAAAGAGAAGAAGAAAAGGGTAATTGGAGTTACTAAAGAGTCTGTAGAGAGGCAGAAGTGGTTTCCAGTATCAACTCTGCCAGACAATAAAGCTCAGGGGTTGTTTGAAAGCATCAATGCTTCACTTGTTCTCATTCATCAGAGCAAACTGAAGCAGGTTGGGATGAAGTTTCCTTCTAGGATGCAGATATTCATCAGCTAGCAGAACCATATTCTGGGAAACCTGTTAAGAAGTGGGGTTAAGTAGAGCAACCACGAGCATGCAGTGTCTTACTAGCAGTAAATGGCAAACTAATGTTATCTTAAGGGTGTGGGAAACTCGTTTAATCAATACATTTGCTGTGGTCTCTGGTAGGAATCAATGCCTTGAAAGCCATACTTAGGGCAAAAAAAAAGCCCAGAAATGCCTGTTTCAGTATGGACAGGTCTGCTGCATCAGAGGGCAGCTCAACACAGCAGGATTTGGAGTCTAATTTCATGATATTTGCACATCTCGCCTAAGATTTGATAACAACAATGCAGCTCTACCACTGACTACTCTGGCGTGGAATTGTTGTGATGATGCTTCTTGTTTAATGTTAATTGCATTGTTGACACTATTCCGGAAGGGCAAACAGGTTTTTGACCGTTGTGGCGTGAAGACGTTTGAATGGGAATGGAAGCGAATTACCCCTGTCACTGTTTCACCTGGAATGCAATTAACATTAAACAAGAAGCATCATCACAACAATTCCACGCTTAAGGTTGTTTTATTTAAGCAAATAGTAACTCAATCAGTCAACGTTGGATCAACACAGAGCGTCAACCAGGTCCCGGTCTAACAGCCTCAGAAGTTCAAGTAATGGACTTGACTTCTTGACTTCTACAAATAGTCCTTCTGGAATAGTGCCTAATGTCAACAGTGACATCACTACCTTTATTCCGACCAGTAATAATGACACGCCCGCCCCACATATCAATTAAAACATCAAGACAAAAGAAAAGGAAACAACATGTTTGGCTCCTACAGGTACTACTTTTCAACCAAATAATAATTTTGCTAGCATAGCATGCACTGAAGTGGTTGATTCCTGGAGAGAAATCTGTCAGATTTGAATGAAAACATTTGGATAGAAGCAGGTGATCAGCTGCATGGAACGTAGCTAGCCAAGCATCATGCATGTTGTTTAGTAGAGAAAATAGCAACAAAGTAAACAATGGCCAGTGCCCACACTGCAGCCTACTGTCCTTTGAAGTGCATTTGGTGGAAGTTCATGTAAGGATTCGAGTGCATGGTGAACAACTGCCCAAATAACTGCTGAATAAGGACAAAGGGACAAACTCCACCTGCCAAAAGTGAAGTCAATGCAGAAGTGACAAAAATAGAAGTTTCTTTTATTCTATGTTGCTTTTATATGAGCCTATTGTACTGTGTTCAGCACCTTGGGCTACTTTGATTGGTGGCAGGAAGGCGTTTAATAAATAAATAATTTAATTGAAATGATAAATTATTAGGGAAGTGACAGGTAGCAGGTGAGTCACCAACACTAGCACTAGCAGCTTGACCCTTCCCTCAGCCTCAAGCGAAAAGTGTTACAGCCTAGAAGGCAGAGGGTAGCAGAATCACTCAACCATGGAAGTGGAAACCTCCTTGGCTTCAGTTCAGCTCTTCAGAAACCTCGGGGTGATGGCACAGAGGATTTGGTAATCTTATATGTACAATCATTGATTGGGATGGTTAGCATCGCTTCATCGATTGCAACTTGGCGCTACTTTGCTGCTTTAAATTATATGAAAAATCAACGATAGTTCGATGATCAACTTTGTTGGTTGTGAATAGAGGGGCGGAGCTTTCAACTTCACTACCTGGTGGTGAGCTGGCTTCGATGGTGGGGGGTGCCGGTCAGACATGGCAAGTCTAAATGTATTGTGAGGGTCTGCTGGGAACGCCAGGTGGAGTCTCCTGTCAGAACGAGCTTCAATTCCCACCTCCGACAGAACGTCAATTTCATTGCATTTATTTTTTTCCGTTCTTACCCCAGATTTTCTAAATCGTTGTGCTTGATGAAGCCGTCTTAAATAGGAAACCTTCATCACTGAAATGGTCTCTTGGCAAATTAAGCACCTTGGTCTGAAACTGGATGGAGGACGAATAAATGCACATTTTTCTGTCCATTCATCTTTAAACTGTCCATTTTCAGCATTCACTTTCTCTTAGTGAGAAATTAGAACATGCAATGTGTCTCCCCTCCGAAAAACTGCAGAGGAATAATCAATGAATCAGCTGCTCCAAAAGTCAAGGTAACATGTCGCTCAAGCAGATGAGCAGCTTTCTGTTATTATTTAAATAGAGTGGGATCGCAGCTTGAGGGCCAGAAAGTGGAGATTCTGGGTTTGGGCCGTGGGCTGCCTATTGAGGGACACTGATTTAAAGGCTCAGGAACCCTCTGCAGGTGTTGATGGTGCTGATCAGTGTGACACTTTGAGTCTAGAATATTGAACTTTTTACCAATATTCTAATTGTTTGAGATTTTGAATAAGGGGTTCAATCCTTAATCATTACAATTATAAAAAAAATAAAGGCGGACATATCTGGCTTTGCATGTTACGAGTCTATCCAATACATTAGTGTCACCTTTTAAGTTGAATTACTGAAGTAAATAAACTTTTGCACCATATTCTAATTTTTCGAGTCTAACCTATAAACAACTGAGCTTAAAGCAACGTTTAACTTGTTTTAAACAGCAGTGATTTCCTCCCGTTTATTCTGAATAGTAGTTAGTTGAAATAATCCCTCATAAGTACATTTCTCCCCGATTCTTCGTCATGAGATTCCTCTGATTGCTGTAGAAGGTAAGATGCGGTGAGCCAGAGCTTACCTGGAATGTGTCCCAAAGCCATCTCAGTTTTTGTGAAATATGCGAGGCAACTTTTAGAGCGGTTGGTGACAAAATAGTGCATTAACGCGGGCAAATTGCACCATTTTGTAACTAAACTGCAACAAAAAAAGGAAAACCCCTCTCTTGACTTTGCAGTGTTGTACCAATTAGGTGAATCAGACTGAAAATGTACATTATCTTTTATTTTTATATCTCCACTTAGTCGCCCAGTAAGATACTGGTTTTAGCTCAACCAACTGGTGTGATTCTAATTGAGAGCTTATTGTCAGGCCATTAGTTTGGCCTTTGTGTGCAACACTTTGATCAACAAAACAAGCAAAAGCCAAAAGAAGTAAGCGTTCTAGCGAGCATTCATCTGAAGCAAACGTGTTGCAAAAATATTGACTATTTTCTGGTTCTGCTGGTACTGCTGTGAGACCCGCTAACGACCCGATTCTATGCAGCGACAGACTTCAGGCTCAGCTCTGACCAAGAACACCAAAACATCAATTAGCAGCACAATGCAATAACAGAAACCTGAACCGTGTGTGCTTTATTTTGGGTTTAAACCTCATTAAAGCCTTCTATTACAGATGTTATCAAATCCGCAGCATAAATGTATCCCCAAGCTTTAATCGGTAATTTTTAAGGTCGTGCAGCACCTTTACATAAAACAAGTAGAACATGCAGCCTCAGTTATAAGGAGACTTTTCGTGATCCCAGGTGGCAAAATATCAAATCTGTATAAAAATGTAGTTTTATTAGCCTATTTTCTGTTGTAACTTTCAGTTTGCAGGATTTCTCTTCTGCTGTACCATGAAGCAGAAATTCACTTTTACTCCTTGTGTGGGAGTAAGATGAAATAACATGCACAGCAGTCTACAGTGTGACTCATTTTTATTTTTAGAGGAAGTGACTCATCTGAAGGAAAAAATATAAGGCCAGCATAAAAATAGATTTCCTTTCGTTTTGAGTAACTTGGCCATTTTTGGCTTATTTCAGGGATAGTTAGGCTCAGTCTTAGAGAAAACCAGGAATTAACACAAGTCACTGGTTACAATTCAACATGTGCTCACTCACATTTTATAGGCCTCGTTACATAATCCACATCTTTTGTGGATGTTGGGTAGGCGTTACAGTTGTACCGTGCTTTTACATTTTTAACAGTTTCATGACGTTTGCTTGATAGTAAAAAAAAAGTATAAAGTAGAATTTCAGAATCCAAATCCAACAGCTGTTAGTATGACTGGAGACATTTGTAGGAAGCCCCTGTGAAAGGACAGTGACGTTTCTTTCAGGACCTCGGCAAAGTCAAAAGTAATTTAAGATTCAAGAGCCTACTTCTGGCTTTTCTCCTAATTTCTTTGACACCAACGGGTCAGAGGTCTCTAACAAGGCGTGCCCCCCGTGAGTTCCTCCCTTTCCGTGTCTTTGATAAAGAGTGAGTGTCAAAGTTAACCAGCTGCTGAGCTCTCATTACTCACAGAGGGAGCAGGACCAGGGGAGCTGGCCCAGATCTCAAACTCGCACAAAAACCTGAAAATAACTGAGACTGGAGTGAAAAACAGCACAAACTCACTTTTAAAATAAGCATTACTCAATACTTCAGTGAAATCTGTGCAAAAGGATGGAGAGGGAGACGGGACAAGGAGGGAGGTGTTGGACTGACGGCAGCGATTCTTTTATTTATGTTTGGAAGAATCTGTCACATTTTGAACTTAATCTGACTTTATAAGTGATTATGATGAAGACTTGATGCAGTGGTCGCTGGTGAAAAATTTTCTCGGTAGGGCTACGTGTGAAATATTTCCCTTTTTGGTCGCAATATAATTATTAGATTGAACATTTAGACAATGGCTACAATTACAAAGAAATACTTAATTCCCCTTCTCCAAATAAGCAGCTTTACAGATTCAAATTTAGAGATGCATTACACCATAATACATAATTAACATTGTACATGTTTAAGAACAACTGGAGTCCATGATTTCATTTCTTATCTTTATTCACATTTTATTTTGACATTTGTTTTCTAGCTTGAGTTTTCAGTTTCCAGCAGCCTGTGTGTCTTAATCATCTGCTCAAAGCTGCCCACCTCAAAGTGCAATACCCAGCTTCACCAGCAGGGGCACAAACACGACTTCGAGTTAAAGCATTCATCAAGACAGCTGGTGAAAATGCTATTTAACTCAGAGTGCATGTAAACACACAGTTAGACAAAAGTGATAAAAATGCAAAAATGTTGTAGTTTTTTCCCTTTCTTTTCATTTTCAAATTTATTATCAAGGAGGGTGGTACCCTAGTGCCCCCTATAGACAAGCCACCATTAAAATGATGTCAGCCAAGGGTTAAAGATAATCTTTTCAACGAGTTGATTTTAGTGTGCAAAGCTGTCAGTTCAATTCAAAAGATGAGTCACTTTTAGTTAAATTCTAAATATAATCGCTCAAGATTAGACCAAAACAACTATAACACAATCATTGTTCAAAACCATAAATGAACAACTCCAAAGACACAAACCAGTGCTGAAATAGTATTTTTTTATTAAATACTTTCAAGATCCATGTTTGAAGAATAACAAAGCTATGATGAAGACCAACTAACACTCAGACAAACACTTGATAGTCGTCAATTCGTGGTTGCTTTTTCATTATACATCATGACCATGCAAAAAAAAAAAAAAAAAAAAAAAAGAAAAAAAAAAAAGAAAAAGAGGAAATAAAAAGAAACAGCCAGCATCCATGAGAAGGCTGGTGAGGAAAGCGCAGCCCAATAATATATCATTACAACGCAGGGAACACATCAAGGGCCTCATACCAAGCTACGGCTCCTGAACATTTTTTAGAAGATTTTTTTTGTTATTTTGCTTTTATATTTTCATGTCACCTATTCAACATTCTGGATGGATGGAATTAATATTTCAAAAGATGCAAATATATATATTAACACTAGCTCCATCCGTTTTTAGGTAGGTACATGGTAGAAATGTGTAACTGAAACATGCATATAACTAGGTGTCCCGCTCCGATTCCCCAACAGTGTGAGCGGTGTCGGTACAGGATCTACTCGGGTGCAAGATCGGCTCGGGGTCCTTCGACTGCCGATGACGTCAAAGTACGGCAAACCCACTCGGACAAAATACACTACACATCTATACTGTTGGAAAGAATTTAGCAGTTTCGTTTTTAAAATAATGTTTCTTACGACGTAAGTTTGTGTTTATAATGGTATTTGTAAAATAAAACACTATATTGTATTCATAATGTTGAACTCCTCTTTGAGCACATCCCTTGAAGGATCATAGGTATTAGCAACACCTGTGAAATTGTATTTGCAGGAAAGAAGTGTGTCCCGTTTATTGAAGTATTTTGTGTTTAGAGTTTTTGACGTCTTGTCCATGCGTAGTTCAGGTACGCTCATAGCTGCTAGCCAAAACTCTGGAGTTAAAAGTTTTCTGGCTTTACTAAAATACCTGTCTGTACTTATTTGATTGATGGTAGTTTTACTTTCTATTAGACTCCAAATGTAATCATTTGGCACGTTTCTAATTCATAATTTGTAATAATGTAATCGGTGATATTAGCATTAGCATTCCTATGGGTTTTTCCACGTATATTAGCATTGCGCTCACCACTCGCTGCCAAATTGCAGCCTTTGCGATTAGAAAATCTCCTTTTGTCACATCGCAATTTAATTGCACATGCAGTTAATCGTTCAGCCCTAATATACATGCAGCTCTATGCTAAAAGTGTATTTTCAAAGAGGTAATGATGGATTTCTTTGCAAAAGTTGTCCATCTTTCCAACAGAAAGATTTGCCTGGACCAACGTAACGTGATAACAACGTAACGTGATTACGTAATTCCGTAAGGTTCATGTTCAGCCAATCAACTACTTTGACGTCATCGGCAGTCGACGGACCCCGAGCTGATTTTGCACCCAAGCAGATTTTGTACCGACACCGGCACCAATCTGCCCCCCCCTCCGAGCAGGCACCATTAGAAAACCACCAAGGGTAGATTACATTGATAATTTAGTTCTGATCAATATCCTTCATTTTGTGTCGTCTTTGCTTCCTCCCTCGTGTGTGTGTGTTTTCACATGGAGAGTGCAGAACTCCAGCTTGGCGGATCGGCAAGTTACCAATCGACAACAGCAACATCGACGACAACAAAAAAATAATAAAACCAAAGGTTAAAACCAGTAACGACACAGAAAGGAACAAATAAACGATTCAAGAGCAGAGACACATTCAAACACCTGGGAGGGGCGGAGCCATCGGAGGCAGGGGGTCAAAGATACAACCGCAAACACTTCAGCAGCATGACAAGGGTGGCGCCGGTCACACAGCAGCGGTGCAGATATGTTACAAAAGCCGAAACACCTCCAGGTGTGTGTGTGTGTGATATGAAAAGATGGCTCACAGCATTGTGGGGTCAGGCGTTAGGGACACGTTGAAATTCTTAATGTTTAAATTGGAGCGTAGGGGTTAAAATCTTCATGTTTTTTTTTTTATTACCCATCTTCATAAACAGTCATGCGGCCATGGGAGTGCCTACAGGAGTGTGTGTGTGTGTGTTCACATTAGCCCTGACCTTTAAGGAGCTACCATAATCTCAGGTATCTGAGGGATTAGAATGAAAGTTTTGAGAAAACAGTCTCTCCTGAAGATGAGTGAGAGTTACACAGGTGTGTGGGTGGTTCCCCAAAATGCACAGGATGAGTGTCTCTTAGATACATGTACATATATTACACCTTTCTACATATATCTATACAAACACTGCATTTACACAGTGATTCACAAACCAGGCCCTTGCAGAAAGCCGAGTGACAGACTGAGGAAATTTTAAAGAGAAGATGAATAAAAGAAGAGGGAAGGAGGGGGATAAACGAGGGAGGAGAGGGGAGTAAACATGCAAAACACAAAAGCATTTCCCGCTCGCCTTCCACCTCCACTGCATAAAAACATAACATGTTAAATGTGAACAACAAAATCCCTCGTTAAACTGAATAATCTCAGCTCTTCTATTTAAAGAGTCTTGATGATAGGGTCAGTGATAGCAAAATAAAATAAAATGAAAATAAAATAAACACTCCGCTTTTTCACAAGAACGCAAAATGGATCAGGATGCCAAAAAAAAACCACGTGACCTGCCCCAGTCCCACAACAACACAATATCCGTTCAGTCGGAAAACAAGCACACAAACGAAAACACAAACACGTAAAAAGCCTACACTAAAGTTCTACACTTTGGTGCTTCATGTTTCTGATATCAAGTTTCTCTCCTCATCAAGTTCTCGGAGTAAACTTGATGATCATTTCCCCCCTCTAATTCATCGGAGGAAATTTTCCCTTCATCTCAACATCCAGGTAGTGAGCAGGACACTCCCATCCCAGTAATCCCTAAATGTGTACAAAAATCTCAGCTGCTTAGCTCCTGCTGCTCTCAGCTCCTCTCTTATTACATAATGATAAATGCTTGGTTGGGTTTTGGTGGTTTCTGGTACATCTAGTCATAGTTTACACTGTATATTCATTACTCATACTCATAAACTGTCACAAGTTCAACTGTATATCCTCTCCTCCCCCAGGACGTCTCATCTTGCACAGGCAGAAAAAAAGATGGCTGCCAGGGGAGGAACAGAGGGCAAAGATGCACCCTCCAATCAGGCGCCAGATGCATGCATCATCTCATGGGGCCGGGGTCTTGTGTTCAGCCGGTCCCCAGCAGGTCAAAGGAGGGACAGGATTGGTTGGTAACGTAGAGAGGGATGCAATTTCGCCCGGCCGGGCTCCTGGCACTAGCCAATCCACGCAGAGGACGCACCTCTTAAACTCACTTGCTGAAAAAACTGCCCCCCACAACTCACTCCAGCAGACTGGAGGCTCAGGACCACTGGGGAGGGAGAGAAGAGGAGCTAGTTAGGGGTTAGCTGGAACTCACTCGCATACAGAACATTTATAAGCTTTGTTTTCCAGTCTGGACATCATTTCAACCCTTTATCTGCTGATGAGTGTGAACACGACAATAGTTGAAGCATCTCTGTTCCCGACTCAAAAACAAATTAGGTCCTATTTTTAGGTGAAACATGTCACGGTCTGTTAAAACATTAAAAACCTGCTCACCTACTCATCTCTGTGCTTCCAATGTGAATTCCTAGAACCTACTAGAATCTAATCTACCCAAGTAAAAAGAACCAAGGAGAATAATGTCCATCACACAAAGTGGGCGGAGCCTGTACACCTTTTGAAACAGAGCATCAGGTTCCAAACCTCAAACAGGTGGCTCAAATGAAATCTACATGGTTCTGATTCCAAGATCAATAGGTAGTTTATTATAAATGAATCGATTTTCTATTGACTTCATTGATAAATATTTGTAATTCCTCACCTCCTCCGGTTTCTTCTTCTTTACCTTTAATAAACAGCCTCCTAAACTGAGGCACAGCAGAGAGAACGCAGGAGGGAACAGGAAGTCATTTCAGGCTAAATTTGAAACAAAGTTCACCCTTTTCTACAGTTAAAGTCCATTTCTGACTGGGCTTTGAATGGTGGCGATGAACAGGGGACGGCATTCAAGATAGTTCTCTATTTCCTGGCGAGAGTTTTAGGGACTCGGTTATGAGCCGCGGGAATTTTGAACACGTTCAACAACAAGTTCTCACAACAAATAAGGGGCAAAATTTAGATAATTTAAGACTCAGTTGCAACAAGGAAAATGTACACAATAATCGGTCACAAATATTTTGTACTCGCGTCATTCGGACCACTTATTAGGCCACCTATTGCTAAAACACTGACCTAACATGCATCAGCTAAAAATGGGCAGAATTTCCCACAATTCTTAATTTCAAACAAGTCACCAACAGCTGCAGCCCACTTAGATCCACCTTAGATATTCAATATTATTGATACAACATTAATCGGGCAGATATCAGCAACAAAATTTAATATCGGGAAAAAATTGGTATCGGTTTTCAGTTTTTAACATGCCAGGGGGTCTCATTTATCAAACATTGATTAAGAATCCTTACTAAAACCGTACTTAAGCTCAGCAAAAAAAATTTACTTATGCCAAGTAGGTTTGTGATCTATCAAACATGGAGTACGCACAGCTGCACGCAATCTCCGCTTCATAAATCAGAGACTAACGAGAAAGGTTCTCAGCTGCTTTTTAGTCACATCCCGCCCTCACCACGCCCACTTACTGCCATAAATAGTCAATGCAAAAAAACCTTGTGGATCTCATGTATATACATAAGCCGGCTTGTTGCAGCATTTTGATCATGACCGCAGATCAAGGAAGCGCTATTTCACAAACAGAAATTGAGGTACTTGTGGGTGAGGTGGAAAAATGAAAGGAAGTGCTTTTGCAAAACAAATAAGAGAAAATCCATGGAGTGGCACAGCGTTGCTGAAGCCGTCAATGCTGAGTTCTTCAGAGAGATCTGTGGCGGATATAAAAAAATGGTCCAATCGGAATTCAATCCCAAGGCTCCCAGGTGAAAGTCACGCACGCTAACCAGTCACCCAAACAGAGATCTCCCTTGTCCAAGTAGTCAGGGCGCATGATCAATCGGGTCACAGTGACAGGACGCTCACACGGTCACAGACGCATGACATTCTGTCTCAATCTGTCCCCCCGCTGATATTCTGCGCTTCAGGCTGTGTGTGTGTATGCGCGTGTGTGAGTGTGCGCGCGCATGTGTGTGTGTGGGGTCTTGTTCTGTGTGAAAACGAAGCAGTACAAGTGATAATGCTGCAGGGTTTCATAATTTTATCCTTCTCAGCAGCAGCACTGCAGGTGCTCTCCATGTCCAAAACGTGCGTAAGCCAGGTCCTTAGTCAACGTAAAGTTGCTCACATTTTTACGCTAAGTTTTCTTTCATAAATCTCAAAGTTTGCGTGGAAAGTTGCTTACGCAGTTTTCCGACCCCGTTTTGTGCATAAGCAAGCTTTATGAATGAGGCCCCTGACATGTAATATACATAAAACTCTTCAGCTACTTGTCCTCTCCCTAAAAATGTCTAAGTATCAGAGTTAAAGTATTTGAACTATTTTAATTTTGCATGACTTATGAGGCAGAATTTCCTAGGGATGCACCGATGGATCGGCATTTGATCGTAATCGGCCGATGGCGCCCCTATCGGTTTTGATCGGAATTTTCAAAATAGATCAAAGCAAACCGATCAGGTAGGGTTGTCACGGTAACCAGTGTAGCGGTAAACCCCGGTAAAAAAAAAAAGTTGACAATAATAATAACCGTCTTGTTTTTTAAAAAACTATGTTATCTTGGTGGGTTTACCGTGGCTGCGGTGTAGGCGCGGTGACCCTTACCAGCCACCGTATCATCGGCTGAAGTTGCCGGCTGCACATGCGCGGTTTGCTGTTTACAACCAAAACTTTCTTGAAGCTAAAGCTGAAATAATGGTCAAAGGAGGAGACGGCAGCGCTCAGGACATTTATTATCCCTCAAAGACGACAAAGTCGGAAGTACGGGCATCTTTTAGATATTTGAAGAATGCCGAGGGAGTTTATAGAAGACGGACGGCTATCCTGTTTGCAGCACGTGCAGAAAAAGTGTCTGTGAAAGGCAGCAACGCTTCAAATCTCATGACACATCTGCGTGACCATCACCCACAACTCTACAGTCAACGCAAGGCAAGTTAACGTTAGCGTTTTAGCTAAAATGCGTGATCCGAGGATTTGGGTTGAGGGAGAATGCAAGGAGTCGCTATATAAAGCAGCCGCAGCGCTGCTACCTGCATATAAACCGTGTCGCGGACACCCCCATGTTGAAATGACGCTATGCATTACGGGGCTCCCAGGGGCAGATAAGAGTTGGTCTCTCTCCGAGAATAATTATGAATTTAACAATGATTACTGCCTGATGACATTTTCCCACATCTGCAAAGCTCACTGGAAGGACACAAACCGAGGACAATATTTTCCTGATATAGGGATTATTACTCAAGTAAGGGTAAAAAAGTATCTGATTAGAAGGCTACTTGAGTACTGAGTATCATCTGATCTAATATTTTTTAAATGATGACATCAAACAGACATAAAATAAGAAGTTATGGGCAAATATTGGTATTTTAAAGACTAAAGGGAAAAATGTAAACAAATAAAAAACATAGTTACAAAATAACACATTTTAGGCAAAATTTAGACACAAACTGAGGACAATATTTCCTGACATACAGGGTTTATTTAATTGTGTGAAAATGTAGCGCGTTTAAAAAAAATACCGCGATAATACCGAAAACCGTGGTAATTTTGGTCACAATAACTGTGAGGTTAAATTTTCACACCGTGACAACCCTAATACAGACCATTTTAGATTAGGTTACATTTCCTTTATTCCCAGATTATGTAGTTTGTAGCACTCATCATAATGTTGTAGAAAATTTCTGGCCAATCCACGTGGTATCAGTGATCGGTATCGGTGATCAGCATTCTTTGATATCGGTATCGGTGATCGGCAGCAAAAAACCTGATCGGTGCATCCCTAGAATTTCCCCCCGTGTTGCGAACGTACGCTGACCACACAGCACGTAGCTACGTGTAGCTAGCAGCTAACAAACAACTAAAACCAAAACAGAATCTTCACTCAAGGTTTTTCTTAGCTGAAAATCTTTATCACCATAGCTGCAATATACGTACAGAAAAAGAACAAATACATTACTAATACACACATCTTAGCTCAAAGAGAATGGGATTCAGCTGTTGATGGAGGCAAATGAAATGTCCCACTTTTTCAGTCACTAATTTAAATTTAACTAGCGGTCATTTTGTGGAGTAGGTGTTTAAAACACAGGCATGTGTGATAGGAGAAATATGATGTTAGGGACCAAAAAAGTTTTAGTTTTTAATTTCATGAGGGGTAACCCAGCTTATATCGATCTGGTTTATATCCATCAGACACCAAGAGTGGATATAAAATATTGGATATAGTTAAAAAAAAAATACAATATTGAGCATCCCTACAAAAGAGCTTTAAGGTTATACGAACTTCTAACCATGGGAATTTTTGTGTTTTGAAATAGCAACAGCAGATTAGACTGTAAAAGACGAAGATTACAGTGGTCCCTAGTTGGAAATAAACATCTCTAACTGCAGGAGGACAATCGAGCCTCTGGGTCTAACAAATTTATCATAAGACCTTAGCGATCAACAATTAGACCTCTAAAGCGGTCCCTGGTGTACACGTTTCATTTACAGAAGGTTTAGACCGCCACACATTCCTGAGTAACACACTAGTGTTCATCTAAAGCCACAAAGTTATACTGACTGTTTTACTGTGAAGATGTTTCGAACAGACGCACCTGATCACTGTAGTGGTGCAGCAGGAGCTCCTGAGCAATGAAAGTGAACGTTCAGCCACTTCCCATCGCGGCGATGCCACACCCGGGTCTCCTCTGACTGGCTGGAACGAGGGCGGCCCGTGGAGTCCACAAACTGCGTGAGGCGAATGTAGGCGATGCATGCGGCGTCCTCGCCGATGAGGTGCACATGGGGGTTGAGCAGGGTGGTGTGTACAGGCTTGTGGTTCTTACTCAGCACTGGACAGAACAGAGAAAAACAACGTGTTCAGGGATGGTGGGATAGTCGTATCTGAGGGAGAAATTTAGCATGAGGACGGATCAGTCAGAATGACAGGGATAAGCTGTCATTTCACTACACTTCAGGCATGAAAGCACATGAAGGAAAACTCTTGGGAGGAAACAAAGTAGACTACACCATCAGAGTGTGAGTGTGTGTGTGTACAGCAGAGAAAACACATAAAAAGCCTCCTTGATGTTTTGTCTCAAAACAAAATCATCCTTCAGGAAAAGTAACTTCAAAACTGGTAAAAGTAACACTTTGTTTTGAGGAAAACGGATCGTTTTTAAAGTTTTGGTTTGAAAGGAAACTGAATAAATAAGTGATTATACTATTTTTAGGCTCCCAAAGCCTCCTGATCAAAACCTTCAGTGATTTTGGCCTCGATAACAAACTCAAGAGTATGTTTGCTATCCTGGGTCAAAGAGGAGCAGACGTCCTCAAAGTCTGAATGACACTCCCCCTGGGTGCTTTAAATCACATCTGAAGATGCTCCTCTCTAATGCCCAGATGTTTTTCAGATAATAATGTTAAGAACAAGCAGAAAGAGCTATATGACATTTTCGATAAGTTCTTGGATAAACATTTACAACAGATTAAAGATCAACTTTACTCGTATTTTTAATACATTTGCAGTGGTCTCTAGTAGGAACAACCACCTTGTAAGATGTTCTCTGGGAAAAAAAAAACTCTGATGCTCCTGTTTGATGACAGAAGTAAGCCAGAGAATGTGAAAACAGACGAAAGGCTTTGGAGTCTTATTTCCAGATTTATGGACATCTCGGCTGATTGGCTAACAGCAATGCAACTCTACCACTGACTGTTTGATCTGCAACATTGATGTTTTATCTCCACAAATGACACAAGCCTGGAGAACTTCTGCTGTGTGGTGGGGATGCTAATGCTAACGGTTAGCTTCTACTAGTCAAAATGTTCTCTGTTGTTTCCTGGACACTAAAACAATGGACTTCCCCATCATGAGTCAAGATGGGTGAGTCCATGAATGTTAATTGACAGTGCAACGTACAGTGCGGGCCAAAAGTTTGGACACACCTCATTCAATGAGTTTTCTTTATTTCAGGACCCTGACCATTTACAAAGGGGCCAACAAGCACCAACCACCTCTGGGAACTCATTCAAGACTGTTGGAAAACCATTTCAGGTGACTACCTCTTGTAGCTCATCAAGATGATGCCAAGAGTGTTTAAAGCAGTAATCAGAGCAAAGGGTGGCTATTTAGAAGAAAATAGAATATAAAACATGTTTTTAGTTATTTCACCTTTATGGTTTGGCCTTCAGTGAGAATCTACTAATGTAAGTGGTCATGAAAATAAAGAAAGCACACTGAATGAGAAGGTGTGCCCAAACTTTTGGCCTGTACTGTAGATCTATCAGGATTTTCTGAATAGTGTTTTTCTGGTCTGTTCTCTATCAGCAGCTAATGCAGGAGAAAGGTGTAAGAGACTGTTTGTTTTCAGCCTAAATTTAAACTCAGAGTGACCAGAGTGATCATTTTCAAAAATAAGTCAAAATGGTTACTCAGTGAACCTGCTCTTTAATTTTAAACAATCAAAACAAAAATGGATACAACTTAATTTTACTGATATTGAGCAACAATTTCACGTGGTAGCAGCTGAGACTTACAATACAAGCTCAGAGCACTAGTCTTCATACAAGATCTTAGCTTTGACCATGATCATTTCTCGACAGTACACCTTAGTACTGCCATCCATTGTTGGCCGCTTATGCGGGGTCGGGTCGCGGGGGCAGTAGCCAAAGCAGGGAGGCCCAGACTTCCCTTTCCCCAGCCACTTTGGACAGCTTCTCCAGGGAAATCCCAAGACGTTTCCTGGCCAGACGAGAGACATAGTCCCTCCAGCGTGTCCTGGGTCTTCCTTTAGGTCTGGTTGGACGTGCCAACAAAATCTCACTAGGGAGGTGTCCAGGAGGCAACCTAACTAGATGCCCAAGCCACTTCAACTGGCTCCTCTCGAGGCAGCAGATCTACTCTGAGCCGCTCTCAGAGATAGGGTGAGAAGCTCTGTCATCCAAGGGAGAGCCCAGCCACCCTGTGGAGAACACTCATTTCGGCTGCTTTTACCCACGACCTCATTCTTTCGGTCACTACCCAAAGCTTGTGACCTTAGGTGAGGGTTGGCATGTAGATGAACAAGTAAATTGAGAGTTTCACCTTCTGGCTCAGTTTTCTCTTCACAATGACAGACCGGTACAACGCCCGCATCATTGCAGATGCAGCACCAATCTGCCTATCGATCTCGCGTTCCATCTTTCCCTCTCTCGTGAACAAGACCTTGAGATACTTAAACTCCTCCACTTGGGGCAGGATCTCATCCCCGACTCGGAGAAGGTATTCTACCTTTTTTCGACTCAAGACCATGGTCTCAGATTTAGAGGAGCTGATTCTAATCCCAACTGCTTCACTCAGCTGAAAACCGCTTCAGTGAGAGCCGGAGATGACGTTCTGATGAAGCCAAGTGGACCACATTATCAGCAAAAAGCAGAGACCACCAAAACTAATCCCCTCAACACATTGGCTGCGCCTAGAAAACCTATACATAAAAGTTATAAACAGAATTGGAAACAAAGGGCAGCCTTGCCAGAGTCCAACTCTCAAATGAAACAAATTTGACTTACTGCCGGCAATGGGGACCAAGCTGTGGCACCGGTCATACAGGGACCTAACGGCCTGTATCAGAGGGCTTAGTACCTCATACTCCCGAAGTACCTCCCAAAGGGTCTCCCGAGAGATGCGGTTGAACACCTTCTCCAAATCCATAAAACACATGTAGATTGGCTGGGCAAACTCCCACGCACCCGGCTGGACCCCCCAAAGGGTATAGAGCTGGTCCAGTGTTCCACGGCCAGGACGAAAACCACATTAATTCTCCTGAATCTGAGGTTAGACAATCCGTCACAGCCTCCTCTCCAGAACCCCTGAATAGACCTTACCAGGAAGGCTCAGAAGTGTGATCCCCTGTAGTTGGAACACATCCCGATGTCCACGTGACATTGCGGAGCCGCATCAGCCAACACAACCCTACAAGATCCAGAGCCTTAAGGAACTCTGGGCAGATCTTATCCACCCCCGGAGACTATCCATCAAGGAGCCTTTTGACCACCTCAGCACCAGAAATTGGAGAGCCCAACCGAAAGTCCCCAGACTCTGCTTCCTCACTGCCAGTGGGATTGACAAGGTCTTTGACGTACTCTGCCCACCAATCCACAATGTCCCAAGTAGAGGTCAGCACCCTACCGTCCCAACTATAAACAGTGTTGGTAGCGCACTACTGTCTCCTCTTGAGGCGCCGGATGTTGGACCAAAATCTCTCCGAAGCTATACAGAAGTCTTGCTCCATGGTCTCACCAAACTTGTCCCACACCCGGGTTTTTTTGCCTCTGTGACCACCTGAGTCGCATTCTGCTTGGTCTACCAGTACCCATCAGCTACCTCTGGAGTCCCACAGGAAAAAAAAAAAAAGACCCGATAGGACTCTTTCGTCAGCTTGACAGCATCCCTAACTGTTGGTATCCACCAGTGGGTTCGTGGATTGCCACCGCGACAGACACAGACAACCCTGGGGCCGCAGCTCCGGTCGGCCGTCTGGACAAAGCACGGGGCAGGGCTCACTTGGACTCAATGTCCCGCGCCTCCCCTGGAGCATTTCGGAAGTTCTGTTGGATGTGGAAATTGAAACTTCTTCTGACAGGAGACTCCACCAAACGTTCCCAGCAAACCCTCCCAATAATTTTGGGCCTGCCAGGTCACCACCAGATAGTGGTCAGTTGACAGCTCCACCCCTCTCTTCACCCGCGTGTCCAAGACATCGACCACAGACCAGATGAAACAACAACAAAGTCGATTGAGTTGAATTAAAAATAGCAACAAAAAAAATAAAAAATTAGCAATAAAAAGTAATACATTTCATTTTAAAGCATCTAATCTTTGTAATTCCTTTCTGCCCCTGAAGCTTAGCTTTTAAAATAAGTTTCACAATTAAAGGTTCAATTAAAAGCTTTACATTTAGTGCAGTTTGCACTGACTGTTGTTATTTTGTAGTAAACATCTTAAAAAAAATAAACAACAGCTTTCTTTAGGGGGAAATCAAAGGCCAGATGCTTTAAAGTTTCCTCCAAAGACATGATGCATGTTCCTTACCTGGCAGCCACATTTACACTGTGTGACAGACAAGTGCAGGAGAACACTTACAGTTTTCAAAGTAGAACTTGTGGAAGTCCATGCCTTCCACTAGGTTTCCCAGAGCTTCTGGTTCAAAAGAGGTGAGTCCAGGATCACAAATCTTCCTGTAGAAGGATAGTGGAAAAAAAAAAACATCTGACTATAACAAAAATTCACACGTTCCAATAAAAATCCACATTTTCCCACCAAGAACTCACGTGTAGGCATCAAAATCTCCATTGTTAATGGCTTCAATCAGCTGCTCCGTTATCTTAATTATCTCCTGTTTACGAGCTGCAGCAAACAGGAAACAGAAAACACAGAAAGAGAAGGACGCTGGTGAGAAGGCCGATGAGACAACTGATTGGCATCTTTTCTCATAACCTCAGCTGGTGTCTCCCTTCACACTCCATAGCTCACTGCTCCTCTTAACCCCAACGCAGCTCGACCTCATCTCAGCGTGTCACTCATCTTCTCACCTTCTGTGTGACGTCACTGAAATCAGCTCGGCTGTGAGCGCGTGCTGACACCAAACCACAAACTGCCCGAGAACACCACAGGCTCACGAAAATATCTCCAACAAAATTATCAGCTTTTATCACAAGCTCGTACAGTGATCTGACACGTCTCAGCAAAAACAAGGGCAGTTATCTCTTTCAGATAATGTGGGACAACAAAATATTCAGAGGTCTCTGTAATGAAGATTTACCAGAAACTCTTAAAGACAACTTTTTTGAAAGAAAGCATAATTGAAATGTCTGAGTTCTGATGTTTATGACCTTTTGTAGTCGCAGACACACTTTAGGAATCAACTAAACCAACTAGAGATTTTCAGCACTTTGTCATTGTTTCTCCCACAGAAAGCCTCCTTACTTTCACTCATCTCACTTTCAGATTCACAAAATGTCACATTAATCACCCGTCTGTTGAGAATCTGGTAGAGAAAGTTCACGTCAACATTGACGCTCCTTGTATCAACACTCAAAGCAAAAACAAAATAAATAAAATTGGGTAAAAGAAAAGAAGTCCAACATATATTTAGACCAACAATGTGATAAATTACTTTTCAAGGGTTTTACAGAATAAAAACCAGTGAACCTGAACTTGTTTCACTTCATGTTTCTACTACTTCACATTTAAAATTAAGTTATGTGTTCAGGTGGAAAAGAGCCCATCCATAACATAACAGAGGCTAAATCACATTAAAATGCTTTTAGCAGAAAGAGCTACATGAAAGTGTTTGGAAAGTTTGAAAACAGGAATTTAGTGACGTCATCTGTGAGGTTTAATTAACCTATTCCACTTGTCCGTCTACAGTAGTGACTATGTCCAACCACATTTTACACGCACACGACCAGAGGGCTCATTTTACAAGATATTTAGATGGTATCAGCTCAGTTTGCTTACATGTGATAACATCTGAGGCAGGACTCAATACAATTACATTTAAAACATTGTAACATCCAGCAATGGTCAGTTTTCACCTACAGATTGACCTACATGCCATTCTGCAGAAATAAATTTCATTCTCTAAAGTGGATTTTACATCCTAGCTTCCAACAAACCCAGAAGGATACTGCAGCCTTGTTGACATTTCAGGAGGAATAAACAAACAAAGCCTTCTTTTGATAACACAGCAGGATTGCTCATTCTCTGAATAAAGTGACTATTTTCAGCCCATATAAGTTAATCAATCGTGAAAGGAAACAACAATAATGGTTGATGAATAATAATAATAATGTCTTGATTAATCTGTGCTTGAATTACTGAAGTTTGAAATGAATGTTATTATTACAATGAAAGATTTATACATATGATGATTAGTAATGCTTGATGACAAGTGAATCGTTATCTACACTCAGACACAAGGTTCATTAGAGATAAATTAAAGTTGAGTTAAACGTCATGACACAGATATTTTCTTAGCCACAAATCAGAGCATCCTGTATCTGAAAGAAGGCGTGCTGTTCTGAGGTTTGCTTGTTAACACCCCTTAACATGGCACGTCCCAGTTGGCCAAGTAAATCATAATATGAGAATATTAAAACAGAGCTCACTTGACGGCGAGTCAGTTCTAGAGAAAGCTATGGACAGGCCATCCGGAGCGAACTCTCTTTAACCAAGAGTCATTTTGGCAAGATGTCAAAACCCTGCTACACGCTGAAGCTGACACAGCAAACGGTACCTGCAGAACAAAGCTGATACAGTTCCGACTCCCTAAGAGTCCTTCTAGACGCAAACGATTTCATCTATCTGTTGTGACTCGGAAACATCTCTGGACTGGAGCGTCGGCGCTGCGGTTAATCTACCAAACCTCGGTGCCCAGCGGCCATCCGACCTCCCTGACCTCCGGATCCGCAAAGACGGTCTCCAAAGAAAGGGTGAGGTAGACACACAAGCTTCTTTTATAAGACACACCATGCCGGCAAATCAGCGTAATATTACCACAATGGTATGTCTATAAACATGCCATGCCGGCATGGCGTTGCGCGAATATTGCAGCATTCGTTCCGCCTCGCTTGGTAGTAATATTGCAGTAATGGTCTGTCGTATGCGCCCTGGCGCAACAGAGGCAGATGTCATGATGACGTGGGGAGTTATTTCTGAGCTCCAGCTGGCAAATGCATTGAAAATGAAAGTAAACACAGGCAATAAGGTTTGCTTTTTGAACAAAATCAGTTGACATGGCAAACTGGAGCGCCGCAGCGCTCCATGAGCCTCTCTGTTAGAGCTGAAGCTCAGATCACCAGACTGCACAGAGACTGATGGGGACAGACGCCTTTAGGAGCTGCTTGTAAAAAAAAAAAACGTAACGATCACGACTTCAATCGCAATAAAAGCAAGTTATGTCCAAGATAAACTGAAGTCTGCGGCAGTGCAGACCGCCGCCATACCCCCTTTATGCCGCCATCACCTAATCTTTTATAAAATTGCCACGATTGCACCACATTACCGCCACGGTCTGATCTTATAAATGACCTTTATCCTCCCCAGGGAGCTGCGGCAAGTCCCGTTTTGAAAATGCTATGGTCCTGTAAAAACAGCTACAGATTGCGTCTGATGTGGTTTTGATAAGAACCAACTTCATAGTTTAATGCAGACCAAATTCCTTTTCACACCCAGAGCTCAGTTCTCCTAGATACAAGGCTCTGATAAACACATACCATTAAATCACCACACATCACATCCCATCCTCTTAGATTCATCCACCACAGTAGTCTTGGTTAACTTGTCATGTATTTATTTGTTTAGAAAATAAATTTCTCATCTTTTATAAACCTGACCGTGTGAATTGAGAGGAAGTGTGTTGATCCCTGGAAAAAGCAAAGAATCCTAGAATCTTCTGATTAAACATCCAAAAACCAAGCAGGTTGATATTCTATATTTATATAGAGTATCACAGCTTATTGGTCATAAGTAAAGGTAACATATGAAGCTTAAAAGCAACAACATTTACCCTCTACAACATTAAAGGTGTGGTTCACTTGCATAGTCAATACATTTTCAGTGGTCTACAGTAGGAATAAATGTCTTGTAAGTCGTACTCTGGAGAAAAAAAGTTGGGATGTCCTCTGTTGTTTCCTGGATGCTAAACCAACAACAGACTTCCCCGTCATGAGTCAAGATGGGTGAGTCCATGAATGTTAAGTAACAGAGTGATGTAGATCTGTGATGATTTTCTAATCCTAGAGTTTCATCATCTATTTTCCATCAGGAGCTAATGCAGGAGATAGGTGTAGGAGACTATTTACATGTTCAGCCTACATGAAAAACTCAGTGACCGATTATAATCAAAAATATGGGGAAAAAATAAAATTCAGTGTTCCACACCTTTAAAACTATTTTAATATTTGAATGAACACACTACAACTCTAAAAGCACCCGTTTTATCATTTGTGAGAAATGTAAGTCGCAATTTCTTTGTGTTGAAGATTGTCCCCTCCCAGATGTGTGTAATTAAATTGTATGCCAGTTTTATTGAAACAGATATGAGACATTTTCTCTGCTGATCAATAAAACACTGCTGTTCATCCCCTCAGATTCTGACAAGCATATAAATGAATTCAGCTAATGATTATTTATATAAAACATAAGAGTGAAAACTTGGTGCACATTGATGTAGCGCTGCTGCATTTGAAATGCGACAACCGAGTCCATCCCTCCAGTGTTATAAGAGCAACATGATGCAATGATGGAAGGAACTTTCTGAAGGGTCTTTGTCACCAGAAACAATTCATGCTTCAGTTCTACAAAAAGCATCTAGCATGCATTCAGAATGAAACATCACACACCGGTTTCAGAATTTCCATCTGCTTGACGCAGAGCAGGCCAACTCAGTGCTTACTTTACTTTGCTGTAGAGAAACCGCTCTAAACATCACCTTTTTTCAATCCGTTAAGTGCCTAACTTATTAAGTTTAAATTTCTACTCCAAGGACCCATCAAATTAATCTATTTTTTAAGCTTTGGTTTGAATTTATAATGTGTTTGTGAATATTACTTACACAGCCAGATAGTTTCAAACCTCCTCTAAACCCAAACCTTTAACTTTAAGCCCACATAAACCCAGTGGACCAGTTATTAACCAGCTGAGAGCTGCAGCTTAAGGTGGAAAGTCACAGGGCAGCAACAGTTGGTGAGTCACTGGGATTCTCAAGGACGTTTACAAAGTATACTGAATTGTTTGTCGAGTTCAGGGGCGGCGTCAGGCCCGGCTACTTGGGCTCAAGCCCCGAATGTTTTATGAAAAGCCCAGGATCTAAAATGTGGAAGTAACATGCAGTACCAAAGTCCAACAGAGAGGGAGCAGCTGGCAGTAGTTTGTATACAGCCTGCCTGAGCCTCCACCACTGAAGAAGAAGCCCTTCAGCAGCCAGCTTCTTCTACACTCTCTGCCTGAAAAGCATGTGTGAAGATGGACATAAGGACGTGTTTTAGACCAAAAGTACAACGACAGAACCCCAGCTTTGATGAGACTGGTGTTGACTCAGGTTTGTGAGTCTTATTTGAAAATATTTGTTGTGCTGCTGGTTTGCCTAAAGTTAGCTTACCATCAGGTAACGTTGTTGGAGAAAGAAAGGGAATATTTACTATCATCTCACACTAAACACTAACAGGAACAATACTCTGCCCTGAATATGTTTAATATGTAGCTTCAGATTAAAAATTATGTGGTACAAGACATATATGATGTTGACTAGTGCGTGTCATGTGTGTGTGTGTGTGTGTGTGTGTGTGTGTGTGTGTGTGTGTGTGTGTGTGTGTGTGTGTGTGTGTGTGTGTGTGTGTGTGTGTGTGTGTGTGTGTGTGTGCGCGCGTGCACGTGTTAAGCCCCGGATCTTCTTCAGTCCCAAATCCGCCCCTGGTCGAGTTGTCAATTTCCTTGCATGAGTTGCAGAGCCGTGTTCTCACTTTGGTGGAATAAGAAAAACCGTAATTTAAATTTCTCTCTGAACACTCGGTCATTTCCACAGCCATCTAGCTTAGTTTCTGTGTCCGCTTGAGACAGCGTTGGGAGGGGTTGGTGGCCAAATTGCAAACAAATGGAAAAAACATTGAAATGTTTTTGAAGCAAGATTAGAACAAGAACATTTAGCTGACCGTCCTGCAAATGCTGCCATGTGTTGCTACATTACGTCCCACATGACCCAGGTATAAACATTTAAACGCAAAGAAAAACAAAGCCCACATATCCTTGGGACTTTTCACCCTTTTACCTTCATGCAAAGTGTTGAGCCACAAAGCTGAGAAATGACCCTTTGAGGCTGAGAATCATGAATTCTGACCTTTGACCTTTCCCCTAAACTAAGTTCTGACCATAAGACTTCAGATGTTTACACAAGACTGTTTAATTTACTTCTTCATTCAGGCTGGTCAGAGAGAAACACTTAGGTCTTCTGCCTCTCACGGGCTGTTTAATGACGATAAATGAATCTGAACTTTGTGTCTCCAACTCGTCACCAACAGCTGCAGCCTTTTAGGGCGTAGACGCATGCCTCGATCACGACTGACAACTCATTTATTGAAAGGATTACTTTCCTGGGTTTGATTAGCTCGCCTGTAGGAGTGTATGTGTTGGGACTTACTGGACACCCACAGAGAACTTCTCAGACATTTAGATAAAAACCATCAGATGGATCAGGTTAAAAGTCATTGATGCTGAATTAGGTAAACAAGAACACCTGTTTCACCCTCAAGATTCAAGTGGTGCTCGCTGCAGAACCACAAAGGTGGAGCTGCACCAGAAGGTGGAGCTGCACCAGTCAGCCCCGCCCATTCCATCAGAGTCAGTCCAATTCCTTCCAGTTGTCAGACTTGATAGCATTCTGGAACCAAAGAGGGTGTTATAGCTAATATCATCTAAAATGCAAGATTGAGGACGGAGTTGAGAAGTTAACTGAACAGTTTTTGTAAAGGTTCCATATAATTAAAAATCTAACTTTTGGAACTTTTTACCATGTTATATTGTCATTTCCTCATAAGAAACACGCCAAAGCAATTTTTGGCCTCATTCATGCATTTTCCTCCCATCTCAGCTTCAGTTTGGTCTCCTCCCCCGAAGCGGGTCTGGTCTTGGTTCTCAAATCTGGATATTCTGGGAATTTTCTGACAAATTATTTCTGAAATGACTTCTACTGAGACACTGCCAGAAAAACCATACATCCCATCTACAAAGAAACACTGGACGGCACAATTACATGTAATGCCACTTGCTTTTTATGTGAAGTGGTTATGGAGTTAAGACTGGGATGCAGTTTTGCGCAGGTTCGCCTCCCAGTAGCGGCAGTATAAAGATAGTTTAAAACCCGTTTTATTCTTTTCTATCTACACTTGCCAGTACTATGTTTACAATTTATTGGTATACCATTTAAAATATAATTACTAATGTGTTTTTTTTATTTGTTTATTTAGCCAGTGTGAGTCCATTTGTGAGCAGAGTTTCAACTAAAATGCTGTTTAGGAACGACCACATTCAAAGAACTTTTAGAGACATAAATATTTTGCAGAAAATAAACATTACAACTAAAATATAAACAAATTAAATGTTTCAGCTGGCTAAATAGATTGCTGCTGACCCCACCGAGAGTCTAACCATCAGCAGAGAGGAAAGCAAAACTCATGTCAGACGATCTTGCCACTGGACTACCAGAACCCATTCAATGGCCTTAAATGCTGTTGTATCTCGGTTTTGTTGGAGCGGCTGTGGGCAGATATTTGCTAAAAGAAACCTTTTCATTTCAGGATATATTCAGGCTTTGTCATGTAGCAAGTTATATTTTTCTTGTTTAATTGGAGCATAGAACATAGCATTAACAATTCTAAACTAGTAACAGCCGTAATTCACGTGGGTCAGGTTAGTTTGCGATAAGTTGAAAAACAAAAACAGAAGAAGTCAGTGGGCTAGGCGGAGTTTGAGTCAATGGGCGGGGCTGATTCTGGTGCAGCTCCACCTTATGGTGCAGCGCCGCCTTTGTAGTTCTGCAGCGAGCACCCTCTCTCAAGATCTGGCTCTGAGCAGCAGTGGGTTAAAGACGAGACCGGAAGAGACGGCTCAGGACATTTACAACCTGATAAGAAATAAATAATCAACCGCTTTGAAGACAAACGGTTTTATAGCTTGAACAGCTACAGTGAGTAGAAGGCGGGGAGGGCTGGGTTAGTCGTTAGTGCTGGTGTGCTCTTACTCTGCTTAGTGTTGCTTTTAGCAGCGACTGAGTTGCTCCCTAGTGGAGCGGCAGGAATGGAGGACTGCGATTGGTCAGAGTCGGGGCAGGAGCTGTTGCCTGTGCTGTTCCATGCCATGCGCTTTACATCATGCGATGGAACTGAAACACACAACGGATGGTTAACAAACATGTGGATGGACAACACACAAGACTCACGACATACACATGCTTCATGCAGGAGATGGATGCGAGTTAGTTTTTATCAGAATTAGCAGGGAACCAGATGGGCTTGTGACAAACGTGCAGATGGGTGATGTTAGCAGGAGGCAAGATTCATGCAGCTCTCATCATGAAAGACTGGAATGATTACTGCTGCTCACATTCACTCTACTCTTAATGTTCATATAGACTAACAAAGCTTTCTGAAGCATCAAGCCAGTTCTTGTTATGAGCGGATATCATGTCTGCAGGGAAAGGTGGCATGTTCAGGTAGGAAGGCAGGATGGGAGGAGAAAGCCAGGAAGTGATTCAGCTGTTCAGGTGAGTCAGGGTCCAAATAAATTTTTTTTTAAAATACATAGAAAGAACATATATTATAAATAAGTGAGAATATGTCTACTAATGAGTTAAATAAGCAGTGAACCAGAACAAGGCATATGCAGAATGGAGAAGCTACAAGATGCTGTGGTGAGCCGAGTATGGATCCAGGAGAGTCAGACGAGCAGCGAGACCCAACGGAGGACAGTTTAGGACACTCAGCTACAAGGTAAGCAAGGCTACCTCCAGCTGGAGCTGTCATAGGAGGGAATATGAAGTGGTCACCCAGAGAAACACACACTCACTTTCTAACACACGCATTCAAGGTTCCCACACTGGCCCTGATGGGGATTCTACAACTTCTTTTGACTTTTGATAGTCAGGTCTGTGACTAGAAAGTGGATGTGTGACTGTAAAATATTTTAATAAAGACAATAAAGCGGACGTGAGCTATTCTTAAGCAGTTGGCACACAATTTATATTATAATGGGCATGTAAACGCAAAAGAGGTTGTTTGCATTTCTGAAATTGTATCCTCATTAAAGGAACACCCAGCTTATCACAACTTGGATTTATTTTTCTTTGAGGCAGCAACACTGAAGGTTTCCTAACTGTCCTGCTTCTGGAGAACCATGTGAAAGAGGTCCTCCACGTTCCACCAGACGCGTAAGCGCCATGCAACATTATAGGTGCTTTTCCCTACAACCTCAGCGATGTGTCCTTTCCTATCCGGAGCATTTCAAATGTGCATTCCACTAGGTTGGTCTCACGAGACCACAAAATCACTGGAGAATTGCAAGATCACATGTGATTTCATCAGTTCACACAATAACAAGCAAGTATCCAACAGAAGCTTTATTCACTTCTGTCCGTGTGCTGTGGCTAGCTTATCACTCGCATTGAATGAGTGTTGTGTTGTAAATGGCCGAGGGGGTGGGGGGTACATACAGGCCATTTACAATATTATTTTCTGCTCTTTTTACCTCCGCCACAGAGGATAACTGGATAGTTAAGCCACAGGAAATCTGCACATGTCTTATTTTGAAAGTTGCAGGATGCTTTACACTGCTCCCGTGCTTGACTTCCTATCTGGCCCAATCTAAACTGCTGAGCTTGATGCATTCTGGAAGCACAGCAGGTAAAATATAAACCTAAAGCATTAATTTAGCAGAGCTGCAACATTATGCCTCTAGGTTGCATCAGAGACATGCTGCTCTGCACACAGTGGCAACAAAACCATTTAGTAGCTGTATACTACGCTTCAGATGTTATGCAATGGTACGAAGTCAGGCCAAGAGCTTCTTATTCATTTGACTTGCTGCAACAGCAATAAATAAATAACATCAAATAAAAATAACTTGCCACCTTGTCAATACGAAAGCACCAAAAATACTCATCAGCAGATTATTGGCAGGTTTCATAGGTTACCTGTGGAGACAACAGCTCAAGACTAGCAGTCAAGAGTCCATCAGGAAAACACTGACCCCTGGAAGACCACTCATTCAATTTAAAATTCTTAGGACTCTATTGACAATCATATTTCAAAATGTAATTGATTCCAAGTAAATGCAACTTTGGACAAATAAATTTATCTACATGTTAAATGTTTTCTTCTAAACCAACAAGGTTGGCAAACAAATGGTTGTAAAGATGCAACAAAAATAACATGTCACAAGTTTTCCAAGCGCTTTTCTTTTCTCAGATCTGAGCAAACGGGGAATTAAAATCCAAGTTGCAATAAACTGAAATTATTTAGGATCTAGTTCCATTATATTTAAACTCTCCACATGATTTCATTAAAAATGATTTAACTTAAAAATAACTGCCAATAAGAACCTTTCTCAGGCTACGTTCACACTGCAGGCAAAAACGCATCAAATCCAAATTTTTTCCCCACATGCGACCCATATTTGTTACGACAGTCTGAACAGCAAAGATCTGATTTTTTCTAATCCGATCCAGGTCACTTTCATATGTGGTACTGATCCTGATACATATCTGATGTTTTTGTAAGAGACTGTGGTCTGAATCCGTCATTAAATCTGTCTCATACGTCTCTGAGTTAGTGGAGGTGAGCGTATTGTGTTGACGTTCCTGAGGAGAAGCACTGACAGAAGGATTCAGGAGTCTGTCTGGACATCCTGTCAAGTTTTGAAATTAAAAATACAGGAGAGCACGAGAATGGGAGGTGCTGTTGGAGCAAAGCGTTTCACTGGACTCCGTGAGGGGGGGGTCTGTGAATTAACTTATTGTCGGAACATTTTCGGTGACTAATAATTCAGGAAGATGGCCGGAATAAGGAGCAAAATATTTTACAGTTTGACTACTTGTCGAATGCTGGTCGCTGTGGGGAGAGCTTTTCAGTCGTAATGTGAACAGCCACGCGCGCACGCACGCACGCACGCACGCACGCACGCACGCACGCACACACACACACACACACACACGCACGCACACGCACACGCACACACACACAAAATCGGATTTACTTCAAATAAATAAATCAATAAAATCGGAATTGAGGACCAACACCTGCAGTGTGAATGTAGCCTTAGATGCCAGAGATTCTTCCTGTTAGCATTCGTTACAGCTGCTGATGGTTTGCCTTATTGTTCTACTAGCCTCGTGTATTTGGTTTAAATATTTTTACTTGTGTTATTCACAAACATCTGACTGAAAGGAATTTAGAAACCAAGAAATTTCCGATTTGCACGTGTAGGAGTTAAAAACACAAGATGAAAGTATTAAAAACCAGCGGGAACCCTAAAGTTAAGGCTCAGTGGATCACAGTGAAGGCGAAGCTCAAACACTGCCAGTGACTAAAAGAAGCCAAAGTGGGGGTGGGAGGATGGGTGTGTGGAGGGGGCGTCAGGTCCTTGCCAGGGGCGACCAAAAAGCTTCTGGTTGCCATGGTTACACTTACTGGCAGGCGAGCTTTGAGGTGAGGGCAGAAGTGGGGGCATCTCCTCTGCAGCGCTGCTCTGACTCAGCGCCGAACTGTCCGCTAGAACACACACACACACACACACAAAATGTAGCCAGACACACAATAAATAAACACAAACACATACACACACACACAACACACAGTCAAATCTCAGACATGTGTTGAAGCTCAGCACACCTGTCAGCCACTACAGTCAAATACACACACTTCACTTCATTGGCAGATAGAAGAAGAGAGCGAGTAAGCACAGGAGAAAAGGGAATAAAATTATTGAGTACCTTTCCTACCTTTCATTTCCTCCTCGTCGTTTGTAGCATTGCTCTCCGTTGATCCCTGAGGTGGCAAAAAAAAAAAAAGAAAAAGAAACATCAAGTTACCAAAACCAACACGACAGGATCTAAGATCAAGTTGACCGGAGCTGTGAGATAATTAAAACTCTCTGAAGGAGACGATCTTACCTTGACTCCATCAGGAGGGTTGTGCACCACTGTGCTCTGAGATTCCTGCAGAACAGAACAGACAGTCTGAGCCATCTTAGTGGTGAAACTGTGTTTCTCAACTGGATTTTAATTAGGGTCCACTTACTGCATTTAGTAATGTCACATTTACTTCTTCAATTCATAGATTTAGTCTCTTCTATTTCCCAAAGCCCAGGATGTAGCTCAACAGTCCCAGACCCAAAACACAAGTGTACCATCACTTAGGCCAACCCCCAATAGTCAGCTTTGGGCTTTAAATAAAAAGTGGAACAGTTCTGTTGTACTGCCCATCAATAAAACAGAACTGCCCCCCCCCCCCCCCCCCCCCCCCAAAAAAAAAAAAAAAACCAATTTTGGGACCTGTGACACCAGCTGAGACACACATTCAGAGAAAAGCAACCCAGCTACAACACAACAGAAATGGGACTTACTGCATGCAAAAAATCACTTAAAAACCAATCCGTGCTAAATTTGATTAATGATTTATTTTGGCAGTGTGGTCGGGATGCCAGTAAGGGTGTTAATGAAGATAAACAGAGTGAGAAAAAGTCATGAATGAGCTAAAACATTTAGATAAACCAAATGAAGATGTTAGGCAGGGCGGTTGCAAGACAGGAAAATAATAAAAGGGCCTGTGGTCAGGTTAGGGACTTGACAGATTAAGTGGAGAATGCAGCTATAAACACAGCAGTCGTTTCAAACTAAAACTTGACAGAGTCTCCTCTAGACAAACAACTCTACTGGAGATAATTGCAACACAAGTCATGCTCCTTATGAAGCTGCAAAGGTGCACATGTCGAGCCGGAGATTCAAAGTAATAAATGAAGAGTGGTGAAGGATTTCCAAAAGGCCCGATGCACATCTAGCTCAGGAGCACATGTGCACCTTAGGGGACAAAATGACCAGAGGATGAGCCTGCTGCAAGGAAAGACACAGCACAACACTCTCTGGACTGGAGATGGAGAAGAACAAGCATGATGATGATGAGGATGAGGCAAATGAAGCTACTATGTGAGAGTTAAGAGGAACTGGCACAGCGGTGGCCTACTATACCATCTGAGCGTTGGTTGCCATGTTGGTGTCTTTCAGGGCATTGATGGCGCTCACTATACTGTTCTTACTGTTGTTGGTAGAAGGCTGGGATGAGAACGCAAACAGAGTGAACACAAAAGGCTACAAAAACACACTGATGCATCTGAATTAAAACGCCTTTTCGGGAAACGAGGCTAATGTTCACCCAGGCTTCGGGGGCTGTTGAGAGCTAACAGGATAAATGAGAGGGTGAGTGCCACAGAAAGGCCTCTAGATCATCCTTTTTACTGCCTCACTAACTCTCCATGCCTGTGCCACTTAACACAGAGTAAAATCCCTGAGGGCAAAAACGATGGACAGGGAGGGCAGGAGAAGGAGGAGAGAGCAGAGACTGATGGAAAAACGCGCGGAAAGTGAGCGGCGGACTTCTGACCGAAGCAAACTTTAGGTAAAAAAAGTGTTCAACAACAGAAGTTTTAGAAAATCACCAAAGGAAAAAGGTTCTCAAATCTGTGTGTGGAACTACAAGAATTATAAAACGCCACCAAAAAACAAACAAAGCAATAAAATCTAATAGGAAAACAATTATTAAAAATGAAAGATTTAGTGGTTGAATCAAAAGGGAGAAATGGTAGAAGGGATGAGCTAGAGAAAACAGAGGTCGCCAGAGGTCAGAGAGAGGACAAGTCAACCTTACCTTAGCAGAATCCGACTTCTTGTTGAGTAAACTTTTACATGCTGCGAAAATACAGACGATGGAAAAAGAGGAAAACAGGCAAAAATGAGTCTCAGTCGATAACAGCCTCGACGCCATTTCACCCACTTCTTAGCCTCTGGTAAAACTTGAATCTACTGTTTATATTTCTATGAAGCCCCATTAACTCCTACTGACAACGTAAAGCTAGATGTTTTCAGAGAATAACATGCATTTAATGGACTTCTGGTGCAGTTTACCCCAAGCTGAACAGGTTTCTACACTCTGCAAAACCCATTCACATCTTATTCCATTCACTGCCATCTGGGGATAAAAGAGAAACCTGAGAGCAAAGTAAACTTCCTACATCCATTTCCTGTCTGGAAGACCCCAGCAGATCTAGAAAGAGAGTGATGGTCAAGACTCAAACCGCCGCCAGGACGGACAGCGATGAGCTAGGTTAATGTAAATCATTGATTTCCGTTAAAGGCTCCAGCCAGTTTCCCCTCCGTCTAAAGCTTTCTCAACTCTTGTCTGCTTCTTCCATTTTTCTCTTGTTTTCTACCGACACATTCACAGTTTCCAAAACTCTTGTGTTTCTTACCTTCACATAAGAAATGGGAAGGGGTGGGGGGTGGGGGGGAAGGAGGGTTAGAATTTCACTAGAAGAGAGTAGAGATAAGGGGAAGAGTATTTGCAGCAGCAGCATACAATATCAAGTGACAACTCATGCTTCTTAATCCTGGCCGATACGTTGCTTTTATCTGGGCTGGACCATGCAGCATCCAAGGAGGAGAAACGGATGTGACAAAAGAAAAGTTCTCAGTCCACAACGAAAGAAAAAGGAGAGCTGACTGATCTGCTGCTTATGAAGATACATCATCAACCAAAATGTCTGTTTGCTTTAAGTGAAGGTGGAGCTGCCTCGTTCAAATGCTTTCTAAATAAGCCCCCCGTCCTTTAATTGAAGAAGTTTCCCTGGACAGCATGGATGTCGAGATGGCCGACAGTAGGCTTCCTGCACCACTACAGCATCTCGCCAGCCTGCTGGTCAGCAGGAAGGACTTTTGGAAAGCATCTAAAAGTGCATCACTCAAGAATACTTCAAAGGATTTAAAAATTACAACCAACCAACATGCAAAAGGCAGCAAGGCAAATGAAAATAAAAAAAACTAGACATAAGAGAAATGCTTCAAATGCACAGATCAGATTTTACTTTAACGTCATTAGAGGAAAGACCATGAGCAAATTGTCACACCCTGCCTCAGCCAGAATTTAAAAAGAAGCGCAAAAAAGCAGTTCAAGTGGTCAAATTTAGCCGTCATGAGTGCCACTGTCAGAGAGCTGACAACAAACACAGATAGATGACTTAAGAAAGAGAAAATCTGGAGTGATGATGTCACACATGATTTTAGGACTTACAAACAGGCAGCTTGGTCCAGTCTCAGTGAGGAAGCCCGTGTTTTATTTAGGAGGGGTGGCTTTAGCTGACGAAGCACCACAAACACCCCAAGTCTCAACACATCAGTAACACATTGTACAGCAATAGCAGCGTCCTGGGACGTCTCCAACAGTTTAGGTCTACACAAAACTCCTTTGAAGAAATGCAGAGCAAAGAGGATTCTCCCGACTAAAACCATCACAGAGAATCTAGTTTGCTCGACAGTCTTTTCCTAATGTAAAGGATCCATGGAGCCACCATAGGAATCGTCGACCTTCACCACTTGTCTCCACTTGGCAGGATCAGAGGAGAGCCATATTTTAGTACTCTTAAACAAGACACCACATTGCATGGGTGAACGTTTCTGAGAGAACTAAAATGGGCTTTGAGAGGGGGAGATCAGATGTGTGATGCCTTTATTCTGAAATACAGGATGGTTTCAAGAGACATCCTGCCTCTAAAATCTCTCCCCACCTCAACATCTGCCTCTATCCTCTCTCCTGCCACAAACCTGGTCCGACGATGGCAGCACGCCAACCCAGCTCTTGCCAGCCCCCTGCAGTGTCAGTTCCCGCCCCCAGGATACATGCCCCTCCTCATCCCCCGCCCCCTTTCACCCCACACCCAGCCTTCCAGACATGGCTGGGGGGAGCACAGGAGCGTAAGGTGTCAGCTGGAAATCAGTATGGAGTTTGCCTGAGATGACAACTTAACTCGTTTAAAGACAAAGATGGCTGCGATTGAGAGGCAGTGAAGTGAGAATGCAAGAAGCACTTTAAGGTGCAGGTTGAACTGATGAGAATGGCTTAAAATAAAGTCTAATGTCTTTGCCATACAGTAAAAACACACCCATGACACCCCGAATGAGCAAAGGCTGTGTGAGCACGCATGCATATGTGTGTGAATGTGGATGAGGATGCTGGTGGAGGTTGCATGCAAGAGTTTGGGGATGGTTAATGAGGGCGCACCCTGCACCGTGGACCCGAGAAGCAGCTGTGTGTGCAGAGAGGAAGTGGATGGGCGTGTCTCTGGGACGTACCTTCCTGAGCCAGTGAGGCCGTGGAGGAGGCGGCAGCAGCAGAGTTGGTATGCTGCCGGCCCACTATTGGACAGAAATGCTACAGTTGGGAGTGGCTATGCAAAATAAGCATGTTCAATCATGGACCTAGAAAACTACAGCATGTGCTGGCAGCAGCCCACATCCATCCAACACTTTGACAAAAGTGGGCTACAGCAAAGATGTGCACCCCTGTGGTTTCATAGACCCAGGCTTGAAATTGTTCACCATCGACTGACCAATTAATTTGAAACTGAGTACAAGGCTTCAGCAGAAACGAGTCGCTCTCAGCAGACTCAGAGAAAAAAAAAATAAACACAGCAGGTCTATAGTCACCTGTTTATAACACCATACTTGCCCAAAATATAAAAGTCCAATATAAGATTAGGCGTTCTTCCATCAACTAGAGCCCTGCATTGGGACTGGGACCTCATAGGTCCCAAAGCAAATCTCACGGGGAGAGGGCGGCAGTACAACTGCTGTGGGCGGCTAAAAATAGGAGGCCCCAAAACTGTTGGTAGGATGGAGAGTACAGAGTAGGTTGGTAACAGAACCCTGCAATGGGACTGGGGTCTTGCGAGATCCCCCTGACAAGATGCAAATCTGGCACCTGTAAGGCTGCCGTGGGCGGGCGGCTAAAACAATTCCCAAATTCCCGGATGGACAGTACAACTGAGGTAGGTAATAAAATTACGGCCGGAGAGAATAAAACTAAAGAAAAGGAGGGTAAATCTGATATTCAGACGCAGAATGGCCGCATATATTGCAGTATCGTATGAAAGTGACAAAAACAGAGAGCGGGCGGCAATGGTCAGAAAATCAGTGGAAGCGGAATTTAAAACCGTCCCGCGCAGGGCTCCATTTAAACAGACAAAAGCTCCATGGGCAGCAGGAGAAAGGGACACACACAGACACACAAGGAGAAACATTAACATGGACAAGGACGTTACTTACACTCACATACCATCATGTACATGACACAATATCACTTTCTAACCTGAATACAAACAGGAAGCAGCTCACCTATAATAATTCATTGATGTTAATACATTACATCACAAAGAAATGTCACGTTTCAATTCAGTCTAATGTTTTAAGTGAGAAAAACCTGTATGCACACACACAAAGGCATATTGTTATTTTGAGGACGAGTGGGTGTGTGTGTGTGTGTGATGAGGGGGTTAAAAGAGGTGTAGAGGACTCTATCCACTCTCCTTCCTCCTCTCCCTCTGCATGTGCTGCGTGGGAGGCTGAGGGCGAAGGGCACACCCACCTGAGAAGTTTCTGGACACCAGCATGGTGGTGAGAATGGCTCCCTGGAGGAGAAAACGAAGGAGGGAAGAAGTGAGAGAGGTAGAAGGTAATTTTTATTTGTAAGATTTCCATTTTTTCTGCCATCTGTTTGATATTCAGTCGAAACAGAACAAAATGCTTTCTTTTCATCCATCATAGCAGCAGATTAAATGTATTCAATGATTCAATAACCATCAAACCTTCATGTAGAAGGGTGATTTGTATCTACAATCTGATTAGAGAAATCCACCAGCTCTTAGCGGTTTTATTCTCGAGGTTTTTACATTCGCCTCTATGCAAAAGAATTGAAATGATGAGACAAAAGCGAACAGCCGCTCCTTGAGGCATTACTTTGCATGCATAGCTGTGAATGAAAACTACAGCAAACACAACTGAATGTCATCTAAAATGTTTCAGTGTTGCTGTCAAATAAACCATTTAAGCTTCTGATACTTTAAAATGTCTCCAGGTAACTGCAGACATTTAAGACAGTTCACAACAGCTACTCAAGTTTTCTGTAGATATGTCACACACCCTCACCTCAACACAGATCTTGTACCATGCTTGACTACAGCATTAGAAGACAATCTAAAATAGACAGCTGGTGGACAAGTTGTGGTAAAACCCCAAATTCACTAAATCATATCATGTTGAACAAATTCCAACAGATAAAATACTAGGGGTGTGCCATCTTACCATTTTGATTCAGAGTCTTTCGATTCAATTATTAAATGATTGTCATCATTGTTTCATAGCTTTCTCATATTATTTCAGCACACATTAATTCAAGTTACACAATACCTTCTACTCCACAATCCTATTGATGCAAGTTTGAACACACACCCAACATACTTTTGCATGAAATCTACAGGATAAACGTGAATAATGAAATTGAAAGTAAACACTGGTCTTTCGATCTGAAGCTCAGATCACCAGACAGTTCACGGGGACGGTGAAGGACAAACATCTTTTAGAGCGGCTTGTGGAAAAAAAAACCTAAAAAGCGTGGCTTCAATAAGCATAAAAAACAAGTTATGTTCAAGCTAAAGTGGAGTCTGTGAGGGTGACACCCCCTTTTACACCAGCTTCTTCTCTTCATCTAACCCGGGATGGAAACGTGCGAGGTGCTGTAGCATGTTGGTAGTACTGCTATTATATTTTAGTTTAGTTTAACACGACTTTCCTTTAATCCTCCTCACAAGTAACTCTCACGTTCTGTGGCTAAAGCTAATAAATAAGCTGCCGCCATTGCTGCTTTGTTTTTATCTGCTGGTCCGTCTACTAAAGTGTCCGGGCAGCACGCGTAACTTCTAAGTTCCTGCCACGCTTTGCGGCTGTTTCTGGCATTTATTTAAAATCATCATCATCATTGTCATCTTCCTCCGCTTATCCAGGTCCAGGCCGTGGGGGCAGCATCCCAACTAGGGAGCTCCACACCGTCCTCTCCCCGGCCTTCTCCACCAGCTCCTCCAGCAGGACCCCAAGGCGTTCCCGGACCAGATTGGAGATGTAACCTCTCCAACGTGTCCTGGGTCGACCCGGGGGCCTCCTGCCGGCAGGACATGCCCGAAACACCTCCCCAGGGAGGCTTCCAGGAGTCATCCTGACCAGATGCCCAAACCACCTCAACTGGCTCCTTTCGATTCGGAGGAGCAGCGGTTCTACTCCGAGTCCCTCCCGAATGTCCGAGCTACTCGCTCTATCTCTAAGGCTGAGCCCGGCCACCCTACGGATGAAACTCATTTCGACCGCTTGTATCCGCGATCTCGTTCTTTCGGTCATTACCCAAAGCTCATGACCATAGGTGAGGATTGGGACGTAGATCGACCGGTAAATTGAGAGCCTGGCTTTCTGGCTCAGCTCCCTCTTCACCACGACAGATCGGCTCAGCGTCTGCATCACTGCAGACGCCGAACCAATCCGCCTGTCAATCTCCCGATCCCTCCTACCCTCACTCGTGAACAAGACCACAAGATACTTAAACTCCTCCACTCGAGGTAGGACCTCTCCCCCGACCCGGAGTTGGCAAGCCACCCTTTTCCCGTCGAGAACCATGGTCTTAGATTTGGAGGTGCTGATCCTATAATCATTAATGAATCCATTTTGATTTGGCGAGTGTCAAATAACGATGCATCGAATAAATGATGAATCGGCACATCCCTTTAACGTGCTGAACAGACTATTTTCATGGGTTTACACGATGCTATAGAATGAAACAGACTTTATGCAATGACGCCTAGATATCAACCGCAAATTTTAGGACAATGTCTTTCCTTTTCTCATACAGAAACATAACAGTCAGACTTAAACGGGTTGTTTTTCTCAGACATACGAGTCAAAGTGATGCTTCTTGCAAAGTGAAGCTTCGTGGTCCATTGCCATCACAGAGACATCTACAAGCTGCTGTCTTCAGAAACGCCCTGCCTCATGCTCTTGTCTTTACATTTTCATGGTTGTGCTTTGGAATAGTGACCGGCATTATGCAGTGTCCTTCACGCTGTCCAAACCGTCAAACAAACTGATTTTCACAGATAATCCCAAGTGTGAAATGCCCCCATCTGTTTGTTGGGGCATGACTGTGCAAATAGCTCAGTCCGTTGCATCATAATTGTGCTTAGTCACAGATCTTTTTGTAACCGCTTGTGTTTTTATAAAAGGTCGAAATTTAAGATGTTGCTCTTTCAGTTTTCTTACCGAGGCTTTGATTGTTAAAAAGTCATATTCTAACATTTTTATTAGTGATGCACCGTTACAAAATTTTTGGGCCAATCTCCGATATTAAGATCACTGTTATGGCCGATAACCGATATTTGCCGGTACCGATATACTGACATTCATACTTCTAAAATTAGATTTTGTATAGAAAGAAAATTATTAAAGCTGAATTTATGTTATTATGTACACACAACACACACATTTACGGTTCCGAGACCATTTCACTCACTGTTCACATGACTAAACAAATACATATCACCCCCCTCACGCGCTGAAACAGGCAAACAAATGGAGACAAGATGGAAAAAATATCGGTTGTTAATATCGGCCCGGTTTTATTTATCTATGTTAAAATATATGTTAAAAAATGAACATCGGTCGATACAGATATTGATACAGATTTATTGTCCATCCCTAATTTTATGTACATTTTCTAATTACAAATCACAAATTGAACCTGTCTTAAGTAAAATTTTCATAACTAACCTCAAGGATTATGTCTGGTTTTCTGATTTGTATGTTAGTATAAGCTTTAATGTGTTTATTTCACAGCTTATGAGGAGAAACCCAACAAGTCAAAAAGAACAATGCAATTATTCACAGGTAAACCACGAGTCCTCGGAGTGGCGTTGCACAGGAAACTACTGAATTCTATTGTAGATTTTTTCCATAGAAAACTAAATAGAAAAAATTGGATGTCCAAACAAAAATAATCAGCACTCAGGAAAAAGCAAACATCCACACAGAGTTGATGAAAGAAAAGTAACAAATTAAAATTAAAGCTGGTCACCTTGAGTTTTCGGCGAGCGTTGAATTTACGGAGACATTCGACTGTTTCCTGCCTGTGCATCATTGATGCCACTGTGGAGCGGTGCTGTAGGAGAGCAGAACCAGAACATCATTATTAACTTTGACAAGAATTAGTGGTTTACCTTTGGTTGCTATGTTGCATTGCTGTGTTTAATGTGTGTTTGGTTGCAGATGTTGGCTGGTTTAGGTGGTTACTTACGCAGACCCATGGGTGTTTCAGGGCTTGTTCAGCAGTGATTCTTTTAGCTGGGTTGATTGTCAACATCTGGTTGATCAAATTCTTTGCTTCTGGAGTCACCGTGTCCCACTCTGGGGATGGAAACTGAGAAAAGATTTTCAAAAAGAAAGAAAGAAAAAAAAAGACATGAAAAGACTGGAAACAAAAAACCTTTTCATGGAGTTTGCATCTGCAGGTTTCTGGCCCGGTCGCCCCAACTGAGTACCAGTTTTATCAACAGTACGCACATAAAAAACTGTTTATTAACTTAGAGAAAATGTGCTAATGTTGCCCAAGCAGAAGAAGAGTAAACTAGCCAGAAAAAACTGCAACGTAACTTGATTAACCAGCAACAGAGAGGGGGATACACCTTCCCATTCTCGAACTTCCACAGAAACACACCTCTGCAATGCGTCAGGAAAGCCCTGATAGGATCAATAGCTTTGGACCACATCTCAATTGGACACTATTAAACATTCAAAAACTGCTTAGCCAACCTCTGCACTGCACCCATCACAAATGCACAACACACACACACACACACACACACACACACCAAGACACAGCAGACCTACGTCGTATGCCCCAGCTTTGATCTGCTGATAGAGTTTGTGTTGATCTTCATCCCAGAAAGGAGGATATCCAACTAACAAGATATAGAGAATAACACCTGGGGGAGGAGATAAAATGGGGAGAGGAGGATTTTGTTACTGCAGAAGGAGCACTCAGCAACAAGTGACTTTTTCCACAGCAGAATGTAATATCATTAGAAAAAAGCAGCAATAAGAAAATATTGATTCATGAGGAAAATGCCTTTGTTATAGGCTGAAATCAGCTCTCTGAAACAGGTTGAAAGATTACAAATTAATCTTTATTTTACCATTTCCTTTACCCAACTAAAATGGGTGCTAAACGATTCGTTTAAATTACCTGACATTTGTTTAAAAGAAATTAAAATAAGCCCACAGACTGCAATAAGCACTAACTCACCACATGCCCATATATCCACAGGTTTGCCATAGGGATCCTTCCTCAGGACTTCAGGAGAGAGATAACCCGGAGTACCAGCAAATCCTGTTCCGAACATTTGAAACAACAAACTTTACTGGGGCACGTTCACACAATGTTGATAAAGGCTAATTTTTTTGCAGTTATAGGACATTTTTAAATAATAACCTGATGAAATATTGTGCAAGATCAGACTATGACAGTCACAAGCTAATGCCCTATAATCATCTCATTCCTGCTGGGGAGTGAGCCAAATACTGGCAGCTTGGCTGCTCGCCAAGTCAAAATGACCTAAGCATGAACTAGAAAGTGGCGGCAAGTCTTTTGGGCAATAATCCCCACTCGTTTTCTTTAGCTCCTAAAGGCAGTGATGTGTTTCTTTGCTGACAATGTCTGAAAGAAGTGTAATCAACAGTAATTACGACCTGGTGGTCAAACAGGTTGCTTAGAGAGCAGATAGAGCTACCTGGACTGGTTTGAGTTTGCTGCTGTGTGTTTTCTTACCAAACCAAGCCTGCTGGTCTCCCTGCACCTCGATAGCAAGGCCAAAGTCTGCCAGCTTCACTGCAGCTCCCTTCATCTTACTGGCCAACAACAGGTTCTCAGGCTGGCACACATAATGTAAAGTAAAATATAAGACAGGAGATCAAGACAAAGATAATTACAGAAACTCGGAAGTAAAGCCAATTCTTATTTTTTATGTATTCAACACAGCTTGTGTGTGGGTGAGGTAAAGGCGTATGAAAAGAGATAGAAATACAGAGAAGGTAGGGAAAGGATGGGTAGCTGACAAATCTCCACAATACCATATATGGTCATGGTTTCGTAGCCATAGAAACCATTCGGGTGTCATTTCAGCAGCGCTGCAGACTGCATGCTAAATGGAAAGTGTACTTAGCGAGAGGCAGCATGTGTGGCGGCGTTCTAAATGGCAGTTGTTTGGGCAGCGGGACATGAAGGGATGCAGTAAAAAGCTCACTCAGGATAAAAGGCCAACCAATCAGACAGGCAGCGCTCCAGGTAATGGCGTTCTTCTGAAACACACAAAGAGCTGCCCACACGTTTCACACGTCTTGAGATTTTAATGCCACAAAAAGCACTTAATGCATTACAATGTAGTCCAAATAATGTTTTTGCTTCTCTGACCTAAAATAACTTTTTATTAAGGATTTCTTTAGATAAGAGGTTGCAGAGAGGCTCTCTTCCTGCACTCTTGAGTCAATCAGCATTTGAGCCAATCAGCAATTTAGGACAAATAAAAGTCCCTCCCATGCTGCTACATAGGTGGTGTGATGTCACTCAGGTTGCCCTGGCAACTTCTGTGGCTATGCCCTCACCTCTTCCCTCACAGCAGAACTAAGATAACATGTGTGTGTTGCTACATGTATGTATGTATGTATTCTTCGAGTCCCCATCATTTCCTCACCATTGGTAAGAGGCAAACGCTTCCACGTGATCATGACTTACCATCTCTGTGCTCAGCATGAGCACACATGCATGGGCACAGGGACATATTCTGGTCAAGGACAGACAGGATGACAGATGTGACAACAGATAGAGAAATAGAGGGGGAAAGCAAAAGGGAGGGGAATGCAGGGAAAAATGGATGAAGCAAAACTGCAGAGAGAGAGAGAGAAACAGAAACCGAGAGCCATCTGTGTGTTGCCATGGCCACGAGCAGAGGTGTGTTAGAGTGTGTCGTTGTCATGGAAACGGGCAGCCACTCACCTTGAGGTCTCTGTGCACAATATCATGCTGGTGGATATGATTGACACTCTCCAAGATCTGACTAATGCAGTGACTACAGAGAGACAGAGAAAAGAGGACAAACAGGGCGGCGTGTCAGCCACTGGCCTTCATTACAAAAACATGACATGCACTGCACATGATTTGTCTGTGCTGCATTTCACTGAAGCCTAGGGAAATTCTGGTGCGACTGCAAAACTGTATTTCACCGAAACGTGCTTTAGAAAGCAGGGAGGAGAAAAGCCCGGCATCATGTGTGATGATTACAGAAATGAAACTAAATCTACTGCACGTAGAAAGGCAGTAACAGGTTATGCTTGTTTGATACGATGTAGGAGGTTTGTGTGTTTATACGCGGCTTCTTCAACCCCAGCATCTTTCACCGTTTAGCAGCACACTCGATGTTACAATAACCCAGTCTGACCTACAGGAGACTGAAAAGCCTCTCACATTGCATGTGTGTGTGTTTAGCTGACAGAAATTCTAACCAGCTGGAAATAGTCGTATTTTTCTAAATTACTAGCTTAGTGAAAAAGCTCTGAATTATAAAAAAATAAAAATAGACATTAAAAGTAACCAGTGTGTTGTGTTGGTGCTATTACTATCGTCTTCATTATCTCTTATGTAGCCCTGACGAGAATGTTTTTGACAGGAGCTTCATCAGAGTGCTGGCTCATGGGGTCTTGCAAAATTTGCCTACAAGCTAATACAAGACTCATCATGTTACTGTCCTCCTCAGTGTCATGTCGGCTTTCACAATTTCTTCAAGGCTAAAGTTGATGTCATACGTCTGGAGAGATAAGTGTGTCAGAGGTCAGGTCTCGGTTCACTTGTCTGTGTGGGTTTATGAACATGTTTAAATGTCCAAAGCATCACATGCTGAATGGACTCTAAAAAAACTTTCATTTGACATCGACATGGTAAAAATTCAGCTGGAAATCTTCTTTAATGCCATGCTGTCCATCAGCCTCAGCTGTCCAACATTCTTAAACAGTTTAGTTCTTGACGGATAACACAACAGGTCCAGTTAGCATAGGGGAACAGCTGACAATAGACAAATCCATTTAGTGGGTTGGACTAATGCTGTTAAGTGATATTAAGATATGAGCTGAAACAGGGATACAGCACATGAGGAATGCTGGGAATTCTTCCTCAATTCTCCCAGACAAGAATGCTGTGAAAGGTATTTGCCTTCTTACCAAGTTCGTTTTTGCCATTTAAATGTTGCCGGTCAGCAAAAACATTTTAATATAACCAAAGAAAATTTGACTAGATACAAATTTTACTTTTTAAATTACAGTTTTATTTACTATGGTGGGAAAATCCTACCTGGTTCTGTGTGGAAAAGTATGCAGCCTTTAAACTTTAATAACTAACATCCTTGGTGGGAAAAAACTGCAATCTGATGTTTGAGATAAAGTATAATTTATACTTCTGTCAGCGCCACGAGACAGAGACGCGTTGACAGAGACATTTAGTATCGGACTTCTCCGTCAGCTGGGGATTGTCGCAAAGCAATTGCCTGCCAGGACAACAGAGGGCGAAGCGCTATTCTGAGGTATCCTGCCACCATTACAGTTAGGGTTGAGCATCGTTTGATTTTGAATGATTCCGATTCCAATTCCTCGTTTCGATTCCAGTTCCTATCGATTCCCGATTCCGATTCTTTGAAGAACATGACATGTTTTACATGAGCCAGCTAACCATAGGTCCTACTTGATGAAATAATCTTAACGTCAACATGAATTTTAATTCTATGAACAATAACATCACCTTCATTTAGACAAAAACATGTTTTTAAGAAAAAAAGAAAAAGACTTGCAGCACAACCAGTGTGTTTGTTTCTGACCACAACCAAAGTCTGGAAGAAGCCTCTGGGATGAGAGGCTAAATGTCTCCAACATATCCAGAAACGTCCAGCTGTTTTCAGCTAAAACTCTCAGGATGATCATGTCCAGGATGACTGAGAACTACACCTCCATGCTGCAGCAGCATTCAGTCAGAACAGGAAGTGAAACCTAAATGTAGCTGCTGTCAGTAACAATCTAACAGATTTTAAACATTAAAACTCAACAGAGATAGTTCAGAAAGGAAATTAAAATGTTCACAACTTAGTGTGTGATTTATTATTATTATTATTATTATTATTATTTATTGTGGCAGAAGCTGGTGTGGCCCACCACAGAAAAGCTTCTCTAGCATGATGACTTTAATTATTCTACAGGTTATTGTTCAGCCTTCTGACGCTCCGTGTGTGTTTTTATTTCTGCAGTGAGACAAACTCACCTCACACCGTCCAGAGTTTGTTCTTTAAAGCTTCTATTAAATCCGAGTTGACGTATTTTAACAAGTTTCCTCTACGGGAGTTAAAGCCAACATCATGAAGTAAAAGTTCAGCAGACGCGTTTGTTTGTATCTGGCCACTGCACGCAGGGTGGGGGGAAGCGGGACTCATGCTGCACACAGACAGCTGGTGTGATCAGCTCTCAAAAGCCTCTAAACTCACGTTTCTCATTTTTTCGGTCTACAAATAAAACATTTGCTGCAAATCTTTGTACTTTTTCGGTCACAGGTGAATAAAGGTTCATATTTTCATACCTTTTCTGTGATGCGTTCTTCAGTCAGTTTTGTGCCTGCTGCTAAATATCTTTTAACTTTGTGACGGGGCAATGGCAAATTTACAGGAAGCAGCGTCCAGACCAATCACGAGCTCCGGTCTCCGTCTCTTTTGACGGATAGTTAAAAATTGGGGCATGTCTCTGTCACCCTCTGCGTGCCCATCGGAGAGCCCCTGGGCTGACACATAATGGCCAAGGTTTGTCCTGCGTTCAAATTTGAATGGCGGCCACCTCTAGCTAATTTTGTGCCGCCCCAGCCTGATTTCACTCTGCCCCCAACTATATGGATGTTATTTTAACTGCAGTTGCAGCATTGCGCCACCACAGGGGCACTGTATCAGTAGCAGTGCACCGAAAAGCACTAAAACCGCTGCGGAAAAAGAAGATCAAAAATAGTTTTTCTTGCGAGTTGGTACATATCTACGGGCTGTTGACGTCATGATTTTCCCCAGGCTCTTCCATGTCAGAGCAGGGCTGTACAGTGCGACGAAAAAAAAAATGGTCTGGGCGTGTCTGTCTATTTTTAATCGTAGCACTGATGCAACATCTTTGAATTTCTATTTTCCCCAGAACTTTTTTGAATAAAAGTAAGTTACGTGTGAGAAAAACCTGCTCAGTGGCCTAGTGGTAGAGTGTCTGCCCTGAGACTGGGAGATCAGGATTCGATTCCTGGTCGAGTCATACCAAAGACTTTGAAAAAATGGGACCCAATGCCTCCCTGCTTGGCACTCAGCATTAAGGGTTGGATTGGGGGGTTAAACCACCAAATGGTTCCTGAGCGCAGCTTGTCTGCAGCTCACCGCTCCCCCAGGGGATGGGTCAAATGCGGAGAACAAATTTCGCACATATATCAGTGTGTGTGACAACTAATGGGACTTTAACTTTAAATGCTTTTTACTGGCGCACAGTGTGGTCATTTGGATGCAGTGGAGGAAATTAAAGGAACCAGCAAAGGCAGAACCGGTCCAAAGTTAGGGATCAAAAGTGCAGCTACACGCAGATTGGCTAATGCTAAAGCTAACGGGTAGCAGTCTCACGATCAAGTGGCGCACAGAAAAGTATATGATGATCGTAAAACTAAGAAAGACTAAACTCTACAAGCGGATGAAAAGTCCCCACCATCCTGTTTATTCTGCATCCTACAGCTCTATGGATCAGAACCGCTGCAGATACGAGTCACATTACTGCTACAGGAGTAGGAAGTACAGCAAGCCGTTGTAGTATATAAACCACAAACGCTTCTATCTTTGAACATAATTAGAACTGGATTATTGCCAACCCGTACATAATGGCACCATTACATTGTTAGCAGCAGAAATTAAATGTTATTACCATTTCCAATACAAATGCATGTTAATGAAATATTTTACTGGATATACTTAAGGTTGTTTTGACTAAGATGAGTGTTATTAATACAAACCTAAAATGTTGCTGAAATATAGATCAAATATTTAAAAATATTTTCACTATAAATATCAGATGGGAAAAAGGGAACTAAACACCAATCTAATGCATATTATTGAGCCTTTTATAATAAGAGTCTGTTATTTCAGCCTGATAATTTAGTTTCATATTTCATATTTTTTAGCAGCAAACCAGTTTTGTTTCACTTGAAACGTTGTCAAACGGAATATTCAATTAATCAACGGGAGCTTAGATTAGAACACTTAATGAAAAAATGTGTTGCCTTTAAAAAAGTGAGGCAGTTGAATGCACAGAGTATGCATGTGCTGGCGCATGGTCAGGATGGTACCACCTCTGCCTCAATTTGAGCCAGGAAAAACCCTGATGGCGTTGCGTGTCTCCGCACTAATGCAGACAGAGAAGTATAAACTGGGCTCAACTGGGTCTCACATCACTGTGGAGGTGTTTTGTCCCCACTCTCCTTTACAGAATCTTTCATTTTAGTCTCAGTAGAGGGTTTTAAGCCTGTTTACATTATATAAATTAGAAATAGACATTTAGAAAGAGACAACACATTTATAAATATTGAAATCATAATAACCTAAAATCAATAAAAGCAGCATTTTGTGATGAAAGATTGTTTCATTAGTACCAGCTTATTCCTTTTGCACTAAAATACAAATGATCGGTGTGCAAAAAAAGAGTGCTGGAAGTAAGGTACATTACTGCACATGTTGGTGGGGATGCATTGCCTGATAAGAATACAAGCTAACCAATTATGTGTGTGAGCACACAAAGACACGGTGGTGCATTTAACCTGAGGGGAGTGTGGTTTTTAATAAGATTACTCAGTACATTTGCTGCCATGTGTGTGTGCACATTAATGTCAGAGAAGCCTTGTGGGAGGAGCTTACCTGGCATCAGCCTCACTGTAGTACTCCCTTGCTACAATGTCTTCAAAAAGCTCTCCTCCTGTCACTCTGGGACGGGGGAGAGAAGGAACAAGCCAAACAAAGAGACGGAACGAGACAAGGAGGCCAAAGGAAGAAGTTGTTAGCATACACAAACAAACCCCAGACATGCGCATGGATAAAATGTCACCGTGTGTGCGTGCAGAGAATATACTCACAGGTCAAAGACTAGGTAATGAAAGCCTTCCTCTGAAATGCTGTCATGCAGCCGCACTGCAGGAGAGAGGGTGAAGAGTAAGGCCAATATAAGAACAGCAACTAGATAACTGAAAGCATTCTGCAGTGTTTGACAGTTTAAACAAAACAAGAAAAAAGCAGACATTTTTACTGCAATGTCTATAGTTTATAAAACTTTGTCATTTTGCTGCTCAGATTTTTATAAACAAATCCCATTAAGCTGAAAAATGTGATGTCTGAACCAGACGGTTGAAAATGCTGCATTTAATTTAAAAAAGCCTGTTTCTTGATTACTGGAACAAAGAAAAGCAGAAGTTTGGTCAAGATGAGTGAATCCAATAACAGGCTTCTGCTGCCATGATGCTGCGGTTATGCGGTAACCACCCCAGCCCTCTTGTCAACTTAACTAAACAACAGCACGATGACAAAGCAGGATCCAGTCAGCAGGAATCAGGCACTGGGGTCTGAGATACAGCTTAGGTTTTAGTGTCAGCAGAGAAACAGTTATAGTTATGTAAAGTGAATATCAGTTGTATAATAAGATGAAGTAGGATGCCCCTGCAGCAAGAAACTAGAGCGACCGTTCTTTCCTCCTCTTCCCATCTGTCTCTTACTCCTCCTGCTTTCATCTCTCCATATGTCTCTTTTTGTGCCCTCTTTTGTTTCAGATCGACTGTAGACAATGGCAAGAAATGTCAAAAAGAAGAGAAAGGACAACAGACGAAGAAAAAAATCTATACAAAGGGGCAAAGATAACAGGAAGATTAGGCAAGAAGTGAAGCAGAGCCCGGGGGTGTGAGGAAGGAAACTAGGACACAAAGCAAAGAGAAACAGGGAAAGCAGTGGTAACGGTGTCATTGACTTTGTCATTCCCCTTCCATTGTGGCTCTCTCTTCTGGACATCTCTATTAAAGCTGCATGTTGTTTGTTTTAAATGCACCCTTGGATAAAAAGTAAAAAATGAGGAAATGAGGAAAACCTGAGGCCTTCACCAGCTGAGTGATTTCTTACACTGTAAGGAGGGATGAGAGATCTGAGCTTAACACAGATAGCATTAAAAAGCCTCAAGCTAAAGGTAGGATAGGCTTTCTCTCAGTCTGTCAAAAATGATTGACTGGTTCAAAGTAATCAATGTTCATCTGAATCACATTTAATAGACTTATACATCTAAAAAACGCACACACACAATAGAAAAAAAAACAGAAGAAAGAATTTGATAGAAATATCTAGAGCAGAATGGGTAGCATGACGTGGTAGCAGCTTAGCCTCTGGTTTGAATCTCGCCTCTGCAGGCTTTTCGGAGTTTGCATGTGTAGGTTTTCTCTGGGTACTCCAGCTTCCTCACACAGACCACACACTTCAGATGAATTAGAGGCTGACCTTCACAATAACCATGTATTTGCATGACTGTTTATCTCACGTATGTCTGCGGCCCTGTGATGGACTGCATCCAGGGTGTACTTTCTCCTGATAAGGGCTGAGAGAGGCTCCAGCTAATCGCTCGCACAGCACAAATCAAGATAAACTTGGGTTGAAAAAACCAAAGATTTTTGTCTTGTTACTAATGAGTTAAGTGTTCGCCCAATAATCGGAAGATGGCAGGTTAGAGCTCAGTCTGTCGCTGTCGTTGTGTCCTTGGGCAAGATGCTTAACTCACCTTGCCTGCTGGTGGCGGTCGGAGGGACCGGTGGAGCCTGTGTACGCCAGACTCGCCTGTCAGTGTGCCCCAGGGCAGCTGTGGCTACAATAGCTCATCACCACCACGGTGTGAATGACTGATTGTGTTGTAAAGTGCCTTGGGGGGTTCCAGGAGTCTAGAAGGTGCCATTTCAAATACAGGCCATATACCATTTTGAAATTAAATTTTTTAATGAGGCACAAAAAAAAACCTCGTCTTTCTCCAACTGCCAGTTCTTCCACTTACTTCCCAATGCTGGGGCTCAGCATCAAATCAAATGTCTTTAAAAATGTCTTTAAAAAATTTTTTTTTACAAAGAAAACTGAAACAAAAACTCTTTATTGCCACTAACTAACAAAAGTTGTAGCAACACCCTTGCCATTTCTGCCACTGGTAGTCTGAACATCTTCTTTCTAGTTGAAACGCGTAAAGCTGGTTAGAAAAGCCAGATGTCAGAAGTACAAAACATGCATTGTAAAACCAGAGAACCAGAAAAATTAACTGGCTTTGTAACACAGGCCTCCATTTATAACCCCATTTACATAGACTATTTTGGTGTTTACCATCCCAGAATCCTTGAACTTCTCCATTGATGATCCTAATCTCTCTGAGCTGTAAAAATGTACGTGAACAGAGAGCTGGATCAATTTGTGTCACATATGTGATCAATTTAACCAGAGTTACTCTTTATTTTTGAAGAATTGCAATCCAGTTGTATATAATCAGTTCCTTTTGTAAGTAATTTTGTCAGAATAAAAGAAAACACAGCAGAAGCTTTAATGCTCCACCTGTGAGGGTAAAACTATAAGGCTTGTCTTCGGCATTTAGACATCAATTCTGATTTCATCACAGCTGGACAGGACAAGGTAAAAACAAACAAAAATACAAACAGAACAAAAGTAAACATGCACGTACATTAGGAGTGTGCTCTCTCACAATTCAATTTCAATTCAATTATTCGATTGTTTGCATTTTTTACAACTGTTTAAGTTTATTTTTTATCACGTCATGGCTATTCATGCTTGATTTAGCACATGTTAATTCAACTTACAATTACCTTCTACTCCACTATCCTATTGATGCAGGACTGAAACACATACCCAACATACTTTTGCATGAAATCTACAAAATAAATGTGAATGAAAATTAAACTAAACACGGGCAGTCAGTCATGCTTTTGTAAACAGAATCAGTTGAGACGGCAAACTGGAGCGATGCGGAGATGCTGTGCTTTTGGTCTTTAGATCTGAAGCTCAGATCACCAGACAGTTCACGAGGACTGTGAAGGACAAACACCTACTGGACCGGCTCGTGAATAAAACTTAAGGAGAGTTGCTTCAATCAGCATAACTTCCACACCCCCTTTATATCTCCATCATGTAACCTTTGTGAAAACACATGATTGTGCCACATAACTGCCACAGGCTGACCTTATAAATGACCACAGGCTCCCTGGTGCTGCATCAGCTTTGCAGCAAAGTAACACCATAGTTTAAAGAAACAGGGTGGAGTCGTGGGTATGTTTTATTAATCTTTCCTCAATTGCTGGCTGATTAGGAGGAGCAACCACCGGCCTCATCTCTTCATCTAACCCAGGATGGGAACGTGTGAGTTGCTGTCGCATGTTGGTGTGGTCCTTTTTTTCTAATACATATAATGTTTGCATATAATGGACTGGGAAGAAACAAGGATCATCACAACAGAACAACAAAAATTCAAACGATGGATCAAAGAAGAAATCGAGATCAGAAGACGTGGACCTAACACCATGAACAGAGATGAAGGAGTGTACACCGGACCATATATGGGACATATATGCTCCACTTTGAGGAAGGCACCCGACTTTGCTAGTCTGTGTATTATTAAGGACAAAAACAATGTTGGTAGTGTTGCTGTTGTGTCTTATTTAGTTTTATACAATTTTCCATTAATCTTCCTCACGAATAAATCCCACGCCCAGTGGCTAAAGCTAATAAACAGCTGCCACCAACGCTGCTTTTTTTTTCTGCTGGTCCATCTCCTAAAAGTGTCAAGGTGGCACGCATATCATTTATGTTCCTGCCACCCTTATTGGCTGTTTTTCAGCTGTTTTTAATAATCATTTATGAATGTTTACAAATCTAAACCAAATTGGCATGGGTCACATGTCGATGCATTGATTAAAAGGTGAATCACCCCTAAAGTGCATGCACGTGAAGAAAAAGAAACTTTTTAAACTTTATTTTTTCCACTTTATAATCAGACTTCTATGCTTTGCATTTAATTCTGTATGGTTATATTTGAGAGATTCTCTGTTTCCCAAAGCCTTTCAAATGAAATCATGGGCAACAGCAAACAACAAAACTCACCGATGTTTGGGTGCTTCAAGAGGCGGCAGATACGAGCTTCTCTCTCAAGCTTCTGATGGTCTGAAACAGAAATACAGTTCATTCCAATTACAAACCAGAATTGTGTTTGGTGATGTAAGCAATACCTCAATATACCACACTTAAACAAAACCCAAAAACCTCACTAAATTGTGCATTTTTACATAACCTTATTTATATGAAGAACATTTAAAGATGATAAAAAGAGCATGGTCCTAGCAGCAAATTTGTTAAGTTAACCGACATTTTCAAGACAAAAAACTACTTTGTGACACAGTCAACTTCATTACCAATAGACCACTGCCTTTAAAATCAAAGCACTGAAACAGAGCTGTGAGACAGACCTCTGACTAAAACCACCACAGACAGGTAACTAGACAGAAGACACTTGCACACATAAACACCAGTGCCTGCATTCGCTCTTTCACACATGCCAAGCACAGAAGGAGATCCTCTGCGTCGGATATGATCTCACAAATGTAAATACTGCCAAGCAGCACCTGGTGGAGCACACAGGAGGCAGGGTAAGATGCAAACAGCTGCAGGAATTTTATTGTTTTGTTAACGGTGCATAAAGGATGTCATCGGCTCTCTGTTCTCTTTTTCATTAATATAATAAACGCCTGGTAAAAAGTATAAGAGCTCCAACTTTCAGCACAGAGACTCATGCAGTTCTCAGAATAAACAGCCCTATTTGTAAAGATATTTTCTGGATTTCCTACTGCTCAAGTTGTGTTTTATTTGCTATATCAGAGAACAGGTTAAGCAAACTGTTTAAGACTGAATACCTCAAACGAGAACAAACTGCATTGCTTGACTTCAGAATTGGATCATCAAACAGTAATCGCATCAAGAGTGCATCTGAACTGTAAATCAAACGCCCAGCATTCCTTGAAAGGGCGCTCATCAACAAACCTTTTCCTCTAGATGAATCACTATCCATCCATCCATCCATCCATCCATCCATCCATCCATCCATCCATCCATCCATCCATCCATCCATCCATCCATCCATCCATCCATCCATCCATCCATCCATCCATCCATCCATCCATCCATCCATCCATCCATCCATCCATCCATCATATCTGTGAATATTGGCAGTGCCTTTTCAGACTGTTTAAGCAAAGTTCATATTATCTTGAGAAATGATGGCATTCTAGTTGCTTAAAATCAAAATTTCTAAATAATATTCTGAATAATTTGGAATTTCAGTTCAATATCTGCAAAACTGACATCTATCCATCTATCTAATCACAGCTGAGAGCTAGAAATATGTGTCTCAAATGTCCCACAGGCACTTTCATTTATTTTATATTATAATTAATGTAAAATAACCTAAATTCAATCTAGAAGTGGCTCATATCCTATCATCCACAACATTACCAGTAATTGTTATAAGCTAAATTCATGATGCATCCTTATCTCGAGTGTCCTCTAGTCAGGATTACACTCCCATTTGGGCCTCACAGCTCTCCGTAGATGTTTTCCCGACTAGGCAGGGGAGGAGTTTAGCATTAACAAAGCTTTGGTCGGCAGACACGATGAAAAGGCTTGCTAAAACATACACTAACATCACCAAATGATAAAAGCCATGAAGCCAAATGAAAAGTTTTGAACAGAACATTGAACCAGAAGTTCCCTGATCGAGCGGATGTGTGAGAACGTTAGGTTATGCATATAACCACTGTTCCCTAAAGGAGAGGAACGAGGTACAACAAAGGTACTATGGGACATCACGCCCTCGTGTGGCCTGGCTGAAGACCCATTTAATCACGCCTGTTAGGCAAATGAAAGTGACGCGGCGTGGAGGCCCTGTCCTCCACTTATAAGCGACCACGTCATTGTCATTCCTCAGATCGATAGCCGCTCTTCACTGAGCTGGGCTGTGAAATGGGGCAGCCCTGCGTTGTACCTCGTTCCTCTCCTTCAGGGATCAGTGGTTATATGCATAACCTGACGTTCCCTTTCAGTCGATTCACTCGGTATAACAATGGTACTATGGGACTTATTGAAATGCCCCATGAGCAGCTATCAAACCTGGTCTGAGATTGCAACCTAAGATGGCAAGTCAGATCCAGCAGAGAGAACCGCAGGGGCCACCGAAGGGGCCAAAACATCCAAGCGGTAAAACCTCACAAAGGTGTGGGGTGTAGCCCAGCTTGCAGCTGAGCAAATGTCACCAACTGAAACACCTTTAAACAGCGCCCAAAAAGCAGCCACACCTCTAGTAGAGTGTGCCCTGATCCCTAGGGGCAGCTGGGAGCCAGTGACGCTGTAACACAGGGAAATGGCCAACACAATCCAATGAGAAAGTATTTGCTTTGACAAAGCTTTACCCATGGAGGGTTTGGTAAAACACACAGACAGTTGGTCTGTTATTCTGATACTCAAGAGTGCAATCTATATAAGCCTGCAGAGCACGAACCGGGCACAGACAATGCAGTCTCCTCTGCTCCTCAGAGGCAAAATGAGGACTATGGAAGCCCGAAAGCTTTATGGTCATGGAACTGTAGTTGAGCGGGATGACCTTAGGCAAATATGCAGCATTCGGATGCAGAGTGACCCTAGCTCCATCTGCTGACATTTTCAGACAGGAAGGTGGTGAACTGAAAGAGCATGAAGGTTTCCCACCCTTCTAGCCAATACAAGGGCTAAGAGCAGAGCTGTCTCATAAGACAGAAGCTTCATGAGTGGAGCATGCTCTTGAGCTCTGAATAGTATTCACCACAGCCGGGGGAAGACCTTTAGCTAACAGGTTGGACCTTTCAGTAGGGAGGCCTGCAGCTTCCACAGATGTGGGCGAGGGTGCTTTTTTGTGCTTGTGACAGAAGGTCATGTCTGAAGGGGAGCTTCCATGGGGGGGCTATCATCAGACTGATGATCTCCACGTACCAAGACTTTGTAGGCCACTGAGGAGCCACCACAATTAGAGACCTGCTCGACCTGCGCACTCTCTCCAGTACTGCTAGAATCAGTTCCACCAGTGGAAAAGCGTAGAGGAGAACGTTGGGCCAAGGGTGCACCAGAGCATCCGATCCCATTGGAGCAGTCTGATCCATCGGAGAAAACAGGGGACAGTATGTGTTTATGCTTGACGCAAACAGATCCACTACCACCCTGACGAACCTCAGCCAGATCTGGGACACCACCTCGGGGTGGAGCCTCCATTCCTTTGACAGAGGTCCGCCCCTGGAGAGCAAGTCTGCTCCGTGATTGAGGTACCCGAGGACATATGCTGCTCTGAGAGACAGGAGATTCAGATTGCACCAGTGCAGCAATGTGTGGGTCAGATTCAGTAGAGGAAGAGAGCGTGTTCCTCCCTGTCTGTTACATATGACACCACAGTTGTGTTGTCAGTGCGCACTAGCACATGATGTCCTCTCAGGTGACGACTGAAGTGTTTCAGAGTCAGAAACACGGTTAAAAGTTCCAGAAAGTTGATAAGAAACCTTGACTGGGTCGAGGACCATACCCCCCTCACCGCTAAACCCCCACACAGAGCCCCCTAGCCTCTGAGGGAAGCGTCTGTGGTCACCACTATGCATTCAGACACCCTCCCGATAGGGGAACCCTGGCAGAACAGCCTTGGTTCTCTCCATGGGAGGAGAGCTACCATGCAGGCTTTGGTGATCGTCAACCTCCGGCGGGGATCACGTGAAGGATGGACATGATGAGAGCGGACCCAACACTGGAAATGTCACATTTTTAACAGTCCGAGAGGCACCACGGCTATAGAGGAAGCCATCATCCCCAGCAGCTGTAGAGCTATGTGGAGTGTCAGTCTGGCTCCCAGCTGAAAGCGCGTTAAGCAGCTGCGTACCGCGGCAATTCGCTGGTCCGACAGACGCGCTCTGCTTGACCGAGAGCAAATTTCCAGCCCGAGGACGGAGAAACTCTGACTCGGAACTAGAGAACTCTTTCTGCAGTTCACAGAAAACCCCAGGGCTTAAACATGGGATAGTACCCGTGCAGTGGGAGCTTCTGTCTGTGTTCAGGAACTCGCTACTAGTGCCCAGTCGTCTAGGTAAGCGAGGATCTGGATGCCCTTCTCCCTGAGAGTGGATAGTGCGCCTTCCACACATTTGGAAAAGGTGTGGGGCATTAGAGCTAACCCAAAAGGCAGAACTGTGTACTCGTAGGCATTCCCCTCGAAAGCAAAGCACAGGAACTGCCTGTGATCAGGATGGATTCCCACATGGAAATAAGCATCTCTGAGATCGATCGTAGTAAACCAATCTCTGGGACTGACTGTGTCCAGTAGCTGTTTGAGTGTTAGCATTTTGAACCTGTACGTGCGCAGATACTTGCTTAACACATGCAGATCCAAAATATGGCGAAGTCCACCTCCCTTTTTCGGGACAACAATGTGGCAGCTGTACCAACCTATGTTTGTGTCCTCGACAAGGACTGCTCGAATAGCTCCTTTCAACAGTAGAGTCTGAATTTCCTCCCGTAACACGACCACAGCGTCGGTATTTACACATCTACACAACAGAGATAAATACGGGTGGTTTGACCAGGAACTGCAGTCGGTAACCAATGGCAACCGTGCGCTTGACCCAGGGGGACACCGCGCATGCTCGCCAGAGGTGAAGTTTTTCTGCGAGGCAACCGCTCAGCGCCTTGGTGGGGGAGCTGCTGCCCTCAAGCGGAAAGGGAGGCTTTCTGAACATCATGTCTGCCACTGGAGGAAAGCTGCTGTTCTCCAGCAGAGCGGGAGAACACATTTTTTCCTGCTCCCACAGAGGCCGATTGCAGACAGGATTTGATGTGAAAATTGAGCTGTCGTTCACCAGCGGAGCGGGTTGACGTAGCTTTATGGGGCCAATTTGAGAAGCATTGTAGAGACACATTGCATCCACACATTGTCGAGTGCAAACAGCAGTCTTTATTACATTTGTGTGCATGTTTTTGTGAACTGTACAACTCTCGCCCCCTGGGGGTGGTAAAGTCTCTAATAGAGCTCCGGGAGTTGACGTCACGTTTCCCGGCATGCAACAGTTCAAATCGAAACGGCGCCATTAGGCAGGCAGAAGCCG